ATCATTGCTAGGTTTCGGTTCAAACTACGTAGGCTTGTTCAAAGAAACAGGGACGGGCATGAAACGCGATGCGAAAAGTCAGGCTTCATACGCGTGATCATGTGACCTTCACCTCCGCCCTGAGTGGTTTTGTGAAGATGTTGGAAAATCATAGAGTATCATGTATGAATAGTAAAGAAGATGGAAATTTGGTCCGATATAATACAATCCGATCCGCCCAGATGAAGTACCCAGCGTACAATTCAATCGCTTGCACGTATGCGCCTTCCCACGCCATGCTTAATCATGCAGTCCAGACCCTCCTCCCCAAACCCCCATTCCGTTGAGCAAGGAAATTCGTAAAAAAAGTGTGTAAGGATATAGGTATCTTAGCCCCCAAACGCCAAAGCCAAAATACTCCGCTCCGCTCGTAACCAAAACAATGAATAAAGAAAATACAGGACAAAGAGACGTAAAAACCCAATCAAATGAAAAATCCCTCCCTTCCTAATAATCTTACACAAATTACTTGCTGAGATCCATGACCGAACCGTCAGGCACAATACTCGTCATCCGGCTGATGCGACTCGATCTTGAATCTGGCCGATTGATCGACATGGCCTGACTCGAGACGCGTACCACTTTCTTACTGGGTTTGGCAACGAGCACTTGCGCAGGACAGACCACAATCTCGTCCTGTCCCTCACCAAAGTCATCACCCTTCTTGACGACCAGTGGGAACAGGACAATCTTGACTATCGACCCACGGCTCTCAAGCTCTTCGTTGGAGGTCGTATCTCCGGAACGCTCGTTCATGAGGGACGCGTTGAACGTTACTTTGGCGACGAGGTCGCCGTTGGTGTCGTACTCCGGCTGGAGTGGCGGCAGCATGATGTATTCTGCGCGTTGGGTGCGCATCTCGATGGATAGTTCGACAGCGAGACGCATGACATTGCGCAGAGACTCCTGGATCTGCCGCTCAAGGTTTGATGGTGGCGGCAGGAGAGTCGAAAGTGTGCTGTAAATTTCTTGCACAACAGCTTCAGTATCTTGAGCGCGCTGTTGAATAAAAGGCTCTCTCTTTGAGAGCAATGTGAGTGTAATAGCTCGCCATTGAGCTACAGCACGTGGTGGACCTGCTTTTTGTTAATGTGAATGTCGTGCATGACTATTTCGAATGTACTCACCAACTTCCGACAGGGTCTTCTCTAGCGACTTGAGCTTCTGTCGCTGTTCTCGGTCCATACCAAATAGATATCTTGTAAAGACATATTCCCAGATCATAGTCATGACTACAGACATGAACACATCTCGACGCTTTACACGATCTGCCAACAAGGCATCGACATCCGAGCCATCAAGAATGGCATTGTCAAGTCGAGTGTCGATCTTCTGTCGGGTAGCTGAGTCCAGTCTTGTGTCTGCCGAGATTTCCGACGAGAGACGGCAAGGTCGGGTGTCCGAGAATTTGGAGAATCGCAATACCCACTGTTGGACATGTTGACAGAGTTGTTGACATGCGCTGTCAAAGTAGTCCTCATCGCGGACAGTGAGGAAGCTTTCGCCTGGCTTCTTGGTTGCAAGAATCTGCTTCTGTAACGCCTTGACCTGTTCTTTGGCGCTGGTGAGCTCTGCGGTCAAACGATCAATCTCGGCGTTGCGCTCATCAAGCGCAATGCCAACTTCGTCACGAACCGCATCGGCCATGCCTCTTGTCATGATTTCTTGTTGTTTTCGAAGAGCTTCCAACTCCCTTTGCGATGCCTCCCATTGCTGTTGAATGAGTTGCCCTTCGGACTGTAGTTGAGCATATCTTTCGTTGGTGTCGTTGGTCAAATTGCGATTGGCCTCATTGAGGGTATTGTTGAGTTCTGTCAGGCGTCGAATCTCCTCATGCAGCCGCTGAATCGTGTCTTTCAATTGCGCAATCTCAATATCCCTCTTGTGGATTTCGCGGTCACGTGCTTCCACCTCTTCGGCAATCAATTGCTCGTCGATTTGGCGCTGGTGTTGCGTAGCCTGCAGCGCCTCCTCAGCTTTCTTGGTAGCTTCTTCGAGTGAATGATTCTGTGCTGCAAGTTGGTCGAGTTGTGACTGTAGATCCATGATCTGCATGCTTTGACGTTTGCGCACGCTTGGTGGGCGCGTGGGCGACATTGAAGACCCTTGGGCCTCACCCCATGCTTCCTGCACGCCGTTAGCAACCTTCGCACCGGCCGTCGCAACAGCATTATCATGACTTACATAGGTTTCTGGCGGCATACTGGAACGGCGACCCTTGCCTTCTCCTCGAACTGGATCGTACTTTGACTCTGCTGCGATGGCAGCGGTCGCTCCAGCCGCAAGTGCGACGTCTGAGAGGTTGTTGGGTGTCATGCTTCTAGCGTCCGGCGCATTGACCTCGCCAAGCCTAGCCGCATTTCTCAGGTCACCTGACGCGCTCCGGTCTATACGACGCAAAGACTGCGTGGAACGGGAGCTCAAGGAGCTCAAAGGACGTTCTTGATCCGTCGTCCTGGTTTTGGCAATATTGCTCATGGAGCGCTCGCTGCGAACACTAGGCGAGCGCTGTTCTGCCATATGCTGCTTGATCGGATCCATACTCGGAGAAGACCGAGGCATCCGACGAGCAGGACTCAAAGTCATATTTCGGTCTACGCTTTCGTTGACTTGATGCCATGGCGTATCTTTCGACCCAGAAGGCGTTCTTCTTCCCGTCGTGTCTGGTGCAGGTAAAGATCTGCGACTTGATGGCGTGGGACTGACCGGTGGTGGTGACTTGAGACGATCTGTAAATGTCTTCGAGCTCTCAGCATGGCGAGCGGACTTTACACCTCGATCTGGTGCCCCGACATCTGTAATAGCTCGTGATTTCTTGTGCAATTGAGAGTCATCGGGACTAGCTTCCTTGATCGTGTCAAGCTGCAGATTGCCAGGCGTACGCATGTGTTTGGGACTGGACATTGAGAGTGTGGGACTCTTCACTGATGACTTCTCGCTGGGGTCACCAAAGATTGACTGATATGGTTCGGTCTTCTTGACTTCTTTAGTAGGGGACATTTCGTTGTGAGGCTTGGACGTCTTCTCCGTTGATCGTGATGATGTGCGGCTGTCCTTCGAAGGCGTATCGATCACCATGGGCGTTTCCGGTACGATTGCTGCTGGGGTCTCGAAACCGCGTGTTGATGGTGAAGAATCGAACAAGTAAGATGTCCGTTCTTTCGTTGCCCGATCTGTGCCAGAGGGCGCCGGTACGCCTGTATGAGCCGAATGGTGTGGGAGTGACGGGCTTTCCTCGGTTTCCTGATCGCGTTCGGTGCGACGTATAGACTGATGAGTTGGTGTTTTAGGCTCTTTTGAAGTTCGTTTCTTTTCGCTTATAGGAGCCTGAACCTGCTCTACCTGTGGACGTTGAATGACCGCATCGTCGCGTGTATTCTCGTGTAAGGACGGAGTGACAGTCCGAATTGGTGAGTCTGTGACGTCGACAGCACTGTCACGAATTCCAGGCAAGGACCAATCCGGCTTAGTACCTGTAGTGGGCTCACGAGTAGTCGAACCCTCTTCTGCAGTTCGTGGCTCCAGAGTGTGAAGACGCTTGCCTTCTGGCTCATCCTCCTCGGACGCCACAGGATGTGCTCGGCGCTTATGATCCACACTTGTCTGCTGGCCGGGGGTCACTTGCTCGGAAATCTTTCTACCGACGCTCTTTTCTTGTTGAAGCGGCACACTCTCTGGAAGAGAAGCCAGAGGTCCGGATTTCTTAGTCTCTACCTTGCGAACCGTGGAGTCAGCCGGAGTCTCAACAGCAAGAGTCTCCTGTGTAGGAGTCTCGATCGCCGGAGTCTCAGTAGCTGCATACTCAACACGATCTTGTGCAAGTGGAGTCTGTTTCGTATCCTTCTTATCCTTTGACTTCCTATCTTTCTTTGATGATGTGTTTGGCGAAGCGTCGATGGATTCCTGATTGCTGGGCTTGTCGGACAAGTCGGCGAGTGTTGATTCACTGGGAGCTTCGCCCGGCACCACAAGTCCTTCTCCCCGGCTGGACTTGTCGTCTCCTCCACTCTTGACAGCTGTATCGGAGGGGAGCGCACGTTTCTTCTTGCCCCTTGCTCTTGTGGTGACGTTTGGAGATATGTACAGCTCGTCAGGATCCGCCTCCTCGAGCACACCAGGAGGGGTTTTGCGTCGGGAGAAAGTTGGATCATTGAGTACATCGAGTGGGTCGAAGGAAATAGCATCCGTAGATGCAGCGGCCACCTCGATAGGCGGTAGAACACTAGGCCCAAGGTCTTTGACAGGCCGCATTCGTGGTGAGCCGGAGAAGGAAGAAGAGCGACTCAGACTGCCGAGTCGCGATGTCGTCGCCCTCTCCTTTGCCGCTGCTACTTCGTCATCATGCCCAATGTCTCGGACACTATGGGAAGAGGTAGATCGATGGAAGGTGGAATCATTGATAACATAACCTGGGTCGAAACCTGACTCAGACAGACTGGCGGCCACTGTAGCAGCGAAATCTACATCGTGAGCAGGAGAGTGCGTGCGCAATTTGTCTTGCGATGCAGCTCTCGAGACATTACGTTTGTCAGAATGCGGCTGCAAAACAGGAGTCACAGAACGTGATTGGCCTTCGTATCGTTCAGCAAGATCCTTGACGCTGCCAATACCGTCTCTGCGTAGTTCACGTGCAGAAGTCGACTCCTCCGCTGAAGTTCCGCGTTCAAACAAGGCTGCTAATTGTTGCGTTTTTGAAGGCTTCTTGCTCAAACTTGGTGTTTGTTGTTCTTCTAGAGAGAAGCTAGGTTGTGATGAGGTCGGGGGAAGGTCTTTGACAGGATGAGATGCGACCGGTGTTTTGTCCTGGGCGGTGGGGGTGAGCTTAGCCGCTGGAGTTCCAGCGTTCGCCTCGATCGCTGCTACGAGAGGCTTTTCAGTAGCCTCAGCATCCTTCTTGGATCGTCGCTTCTCCTTCTTAGACGTCTTCGAACTGCGCGTTTCAGGCTCCGCTGCTTCTGGAATTTCGATCGCCTCTTGCAAGTTATGTGCTGTAGGAGGAGATGTAGCTTCTGCTGCCTTTTTAACAGTGTCAACTGGTATTTCTTTGTTATTCTGCTCAATGGTCACGTTTGTGTCCTCGAGAAAGACCGCGTCTGATTTTGACCCCGATCTTGGCACAGACTTGACATCTGCCTGAGTAGGTACTGGCGGGTGTGCAATGATTGCTCCAGAAGGAGCAGTGACCGTATCCAACTTCCGCTTCCCCTTATCCTTAAACGATGACGTGGGGTCTTGCGTGCGATTTTCGTCCAGAAGTACGGGTTCAGTGCCTGATCTTGATGTGCGTTCTGTAGACTGACTCGGTTTCTCAGAAGTTGGTGGGCGAGTAATGTTGACAGGGTGTTCAGGTTGCATATCCAATGTAGTCGGTATGTCCTTTTCTATTGTACGCTGTGGCTCGGAAACCGGTTCAATGACGGGTCCACTCTGCCCCATTGCTGTATTGTCAGACTTGTCTGGCTCTGCAACGTCCATAATAGTATCCTTCTTCTCGCTCTCCTTCTTTTCCTTTTTGCTCTTCTTGCGAGTGGGAGCAGGGGTCACCGTGTTCTCCTCTTCCATGACGTCTGTAGTTTTCACATCGCTCGCCGCATCGATGTCAACGGCGACGCTTGGCGCCTCGAGACTGGGGTTGACAGTCTCTTCTAAGACCACGGCTGGGGGAGTATTTTGACCGGGGAGGCTAACATCGGTTTCCTCATCGATGACAGTTTGATCTACCTCTGAAGCTACTCTTTCTTGATCTGAAGACTTGGCAACTTTTGCATCGTCTCTCACTTGCTCTTGCTTGGACAAGTCATCATTTTCTTCTCCTTGCACCTCCTTTTTACCAGCTTCTGTAGTGGAGGCGGAGCTTGCTGCATTTTCCACTGGTACATCGTCCTGTTGACTTGGTAACGCTTGAGGACTCTTTTCTCTCTTATCGAGCTTGTGAGAGGTACTTGGACTAACTTCGAAAGGAGTGCTCTGTTCGACGGCTGCTGGTGATTTCAATTCTTTCTCAAGCTCTGCCTCTGTGGTGGTTGTTGGCTGTACTTCATTGTTGTCGGGGAGTGGCTCATTCTTGCTAATCGCAGACGCCTTTGCCTGCTTCTTCTTATCCTTCTTGCTCGATTTGCGAGACGGAACCGAGTGTTCTCCCTTGTCTGGCTCTGAAGTCTCTATAGTAATTGGAGCGATGATAGCATCCTGGCTAGTCTCGAGGTTCTCTGAAGGTCTGGACTCAGCGATTTTCTCGTCCACCACCTGCTCGTCTGCCTTAACAAGCTCGGGCATGAAAGTGTCAGGAGCGCGAAGTTCATCTTCCACGGTAGGACTCTCAAACCCCTCCTTCGTCTCAACCACAACCGAAGATTCGGCTGCAGGAGTCGTCGGGGCTGGTTCAAGAGCACGGTCATTCTCTCCTACAGCAGAAGGTCCAGCCGTCTCTTTCGTCTCCTTCGTCTCGACCGCAGCCAAAGAATCAGCCGCAGGAGTCGTCGGAGTCGAATCAAGACCGCTATCCTTTACCTTCTTAGTCTTTTTCTTTTCCTTTTTGTTGAGCTTGTTGACAATATCGACTACAGAGGTGCTAGGTTTTGAAGCGGAAGACGGGGAAATGTCTTTGGGCACTTCTTCCTTAGCCAAGCTGTTGTCCAGCGCTTCAGAGCGCGCTTTCAAATCAGCTACTTCGTCCTGGATAGCCTTGAGCGATGGTGAGAGCTCAGATGGCGGGAGATTTTTTGGCTGGGTGCCTACTTGTCCCTCAGCGGCGGGCTCGACCGTGGACACAGCTGTGTCACGGGAGTCCTTCTGTATGGGTACATGAGGGTTCTGTGCATCTCCCGCATCTTCAACTTTCGCATCTTGTTGAGGCGCATCTTGTGTCGTTGATCCGGGACCCTGGCAGTCTACAGCAGCTTCAGGGAGGTCAAGTACACCATCAGATGGGACATGCTGAATCTCAGGTGTCGCGACGGGTTCTGTCTTCATGTTTGGCACAGAGGATACAGGCTCTTCGCCTTTCGGATTATCAATACCGTCAGGGCTCATCTTGACCTTCTTCTCGCTCTTTGTTGACGGAGTACGTGAGAGCGCGGCTTCGGGCTCGTCGAAAGTCTTTGGTTTCTGCTCATCTTCCCGAGTGAGCTCTGAAGCCTTTTCATCTTGCTGAACGATGTCGGTATCTTGAGTCTTGGAGTCTGGAAGCGGTACATCTCTATCCTCTGGCGTTGGAAGGATGGTGTCTTGGACGTTTGTCGGCTTCTCAAAGCTTGGCAGAACGGTGGTACTCTGCTCTCCTGGCAAGCGAGTATTGTCTGAAGGCTCCGTCAAAGCGATGTCCTCAGTGGCGTGCGTGCTTTTCCTGGTCTTCTTTTTGTCCTTTTTAGACTTCTTGGACGGCGTCGAGCCTGAGTCTGCCTCAGTCTTCGCACTAACAGCTTTCGTAGGTTTCGAAGATTCGATGTTGGTCTCTGATGACTGAGTGGGAGTCTCCAGCACGGGCACAATCAGAGATGGTTCAGCCTGCTCGATCTCCGAAGATTGGCCTGGATCCAGCGTCTTGAATTTTTCTGTCGGAGCAGAGACTAAGGTAGTCTCCTTCGATATTTCTTGCTCTTCAGTCGAAGGTACAGCAGGTATTGTCGTTTCTTCTATGATCGCGGCCGATTCATCTGTAGCGATTGAAGCCTTCTTTCCTTTATTTCTCTTCTTGGAAGCCTTGCGACTAACTAGAGCATTTTCCTCGTCCCCCTGGATCATAGTTGTGGGTGCAGGGTCAATCGCTGGAGAGCTTTCGGTAAATGTGACCGGAGTTGGCTGCTCGTCAGAGAACGCCTGATCGCCGTCGACCACAAAAGGGCTACCCATATCCTGTTGAGCGGATTCGCCAGTAGTTCTATCGACGAACTCCTGCGATTTTGGTGTTGGCTGGACTGGAGGTGGCTCCGCGCTAGGCCCCTGCTTCGGCGAGCGATCAGGCATTGAATCAGTAACAGAAGACTTATCCTGAGCCTCCTCCAAATTGACGAATGGTTCTGAAACGATGGGCTCCGCGGTAGCAGATTCACTCTGAGATGCCTCCGCTGTATCAAGAGAGAAGGACGCTTTCTTGCTCTTTTTATCTTTCTTGTTTTTCTTCCCTTTCTTCAACGGAGATTCGTCATCGACGACAGTGTCCTGTTTGTTGGCCATATCAGCTTCGACGACTTCTGGAGCAGCCACGCTCGCTTCTGGTAAGACCGGTACTGTCTCAACCGATGCTGAAGGGACCTCGGTGGACATTTCTGCGCCTTGTGAAGCATCTCGAGTAGTGTCCGTTTTGATGAGATCGGCCACAGGTGAAATTGGCGCAGAATCTTTCACTTCTGCTTCTACCTGTGCAGTATCCTCGATGATAGATTCATCAATTGGTGCGGACAAGTCCGCTTTTGCTAGGGCCTTCCTCTCCTTCTTGCTCAATTTGCGACCTGGTACAGTGTCTTCCGTGTCGACAGCTCCTGTGGTGACGTCAAGAACTGGTTCTGTGATGGGCGCGTGCTCCACAGGCTTCGCAATAGGCGTAGTCACAGTTTCACTCGTGGGTATCGAAAGAGCGTCCTTGAGACCTCTAGGTTCAGCGGGTTTAACCTTGTCTTCAACTGCCTTTGTAGGTTGTGATTCCGGCGTTGACTCTTCGATACGAGGTTTCATATCCATTTGAGGCTCTTGCGTTATCGATGTTACTTCTGTCGGCGGTGTTTGATTCTCAATGGCCTCAGCTAAGGTTGGCTCAGAAGTTGCAACTGGTGCGACCTCTGCCAAAGATGGTGTATCAGAAACGGCCTCGACTGGGCCCTGTTCTTCTAGAGCAGGTGTCGAGATTCCAGATTTCTTGCCATTCTTTCCCTTTTTCTTCTTTGAGCTCATCGCGGTGCCTGATTCTTCTGGTACTTGCTCGGATTCTTGTACTGGCGTGACAGTCGTGTCAGAAGGCTCGACAATTGGCTCTTGATTGTGAACGGGATCCTCATTAGATATAACGGGAGTTGCCTCATCTGCGATCATCTTCCGGTTTTCTACAAGTTCTTTTGGCATGTCTTCTTGAGTCGTAGATATGGGAACCTTCTCTTCAACGACAGGAGCGAGTATCTCTTCTTGAAAGGCAGGAGAAGGAACTTCATCTTGACTTGCAGGAGCTGCTATATTGTCTTCAACAGTCAATTCATTGCCTTGATCGGCTATGTCAACCTCCGGAATGTCAGTTGCAAGTCGCGTGGGTGCATCTTCGACAATTGAAGCGGCAGCATCGGATGATTTGGCCTTTGACTTCTTAGCCTTCTTCCTGTCTTTCTTGGATAATGGAACACTCTCTGCTTGAACAGCAGAAGCAGGTACTGCGGGTGTATCTACAACGTCAGCATGAGGCGGCCCATCAGCAATGCTTGGGGCGGTCTCATCTGAAACCGCTGGCTCCGAAGGTAGTTCGATCGCTGGCATAGCTGGCACCAATCTCATGGCTTTCTCGTCCTCCTTTTCGTCCCTGGTTGATGTATCGAGGGAGGCATCATTGATAGGTACGGCAACTGGTTGATCGACCTCAGGCGGCGATGTCTCGACTGGCGCAGACACGTCTTTGGCCTTTTCTACCACGTCTTCAGGCACATTCTGCTCGACTGGGGTAGCGATACCAGACTGGCCTTTCGCCTTCTTTCCCTTTTTCTTCTTCTCCTTCTTCGAAACCGTGGGCTCCATGGCTTCCTCGGTAGACTCTGGCCGCGGAAGCTCGCTGGAGGTCTCTGGAACCATCCTAACCGTCTGAGGCTGCTCAGCGACAATCCCCTGGGTTTCTTTAGGGTTCTCGGGCAATTCATTGCTGCGCTGTTCAAGTGGAACTTCAAATTTTTCAGATGGAGGCTCTTGGACTTTCGATACCGCTTCAGGTTCGACAATGGGGATTGACGCTTGTTCCTTCTCTTTTTTGTCCGCCTTCGATATCAGAGTCAAACTTCCTTCAGTGGGTATTTCCGTCGGCTGTTCGGGCTCGCTAACACCAGTGGCTGGCTCCTCGAGGATAGTTGTCGATGTATTTGGCTCTGGAAGGATACCATCTTTAGATGCGCCAGCGGCAGAAGATCCAGTAAGAACCTCTGGCATTACGACTTCAAGTGCTTCCTTGATTCCCTCGCTGGGCTCATGACTGGGACTTGGAGCTTGCGTGGATCTTTCTGGTTCTCCAGTAACTTTACCAGGCTGCTCGACCACATCGCTGGATGGTTGCAAAGTAGTATCTTCTAGCGTCACGTCCAAAATGGCAGATTCACGCTTGCCTTTCTTTCCTTTCTTCTTCTTAGAAGGAATTGCCCTGGTGTCGTTCTCGTCTTCCGCAGGGGCCTTGGGCTGCTCAATGCTGGTCGCAGGAGGGCCAGATAGGGCTGCTTCAGGCTCAACGATGTCGACAGTAGGCTCAATTGCAATCACATTCGATTCCTCTGAGCCAGCTGCTGGCTCCGGTAGCGCAGACTCTTCAGGGCTGATCGGCTTAGGTTGGGGCAGATGCTCCACATGTGTCGACTCCTCTGTACGAGATGTTTCCGGTTCCTCGGCGGGTGAGATCATGGTAGGTACGCCAGGAACCTCAGTAACTGCACCAAGGGACTCAGTTGTTGGCTGAACATTGGCTGAAGGCTCCTCGATAACCAAGCACTCCTTCGTCTCTTTCTCAGTGGTTTTCCCCTCATCCACAGAAACCTTCTGATCTTCTACATCAACTCTATCCAATTGGCTCTCCACCAACTGCACGTCACCCTTCTCATCAGTGGCAACTGCGAGCTCCTCACCTTTGCTCTCAGGCTGCACATCCGCACTCGCATTCGCATTCGTTGAATCAACAAACTCGCTCTCAGTAACAGGATGGGAATATGAGGTCGGTACCCCCGAGAAAGATATGGGCGTTTCCGAAAGTGGAGAAGGTGACAGAGGCGGCTGAGCATCAGGAACCTTGGCCTCCTCAGGCGTCTCAACGGCTAAAAAAGGCTCAGTCGCGGCCTTCTCGGATTGCTTCTTAGTTTTCTTCTTGTCTTTGCCCGTCGACGTTGTTGGCGTTGACTCGTCTACATTCTCGGTGGGCTTCACATTGCCAATGTCTTCCTCGGTCCGAATGATAGAGGACAGATCCTCAGTGGGCTTGTCTGGGACGGGCGATACATCCTCACGAGGAATTGTTGGCTGATCTTCAAATACAGGCTCCTTGGGATCTTCTACGATCGGAGTTGCTGGCGCTGAAGGAGTATCTTCAACTACTGAGGCACGTTTAGCCTTCTTTGCTTTCTTCCTTTGAGACTTCGACATAGAAGCCCACTCCGCAGGTTCAGCCTCGGGCTCTTCCTTGTTCTCAGTCTTTGGAGCCGGAGCACTGACTGAGTCATCCGTTGTAGAGGCGACAGTGTCTCGAGGCTGAGATAAATCTGGAGCAACAGGCGAGCTCAACGCTTGATCATCCGATGTACTGGTAGTCTTTGCATTCTCGGCACGAGTGACAGTATGTTCCTCATTCCGAGTATTCTCATCCGTGAAATCGTTGACAGCTTGAGAAGATCTCCTTTCGTCGACGACAGGTTGTAAAGTCTCATCAATAGATGAAGATGGCACATCCTCTACAGCCGTAGCAGGCGTAGCAACCTGTCCATCCTTCACAGTCGCAGGGTCCTTCACGCGGTCCGTGATAGCTGGAACATCAAAAGTGGGCTGTTTGCCCGAAGGAGCTACGACCACCTGCTCGTCACGATCAAGCGGTGTAGCAAGCCGTGCGTCATCAATTGGCATCTCTCTAGCTTCTTTGATGAACGGTTCCGCGGGAGATGTGGGCTCCGCAAGCTCGGCCTCGGCCAGAGATTTCCGCTTGGACGCTTTCTTCGCCTTTTTCTTGCTCTTCTTGGACTTCGGCTCAGAGCTATCTTGTTCTTCGGCATCTTGTACAGACTGTGGAGCTGCAGAGACTGGAGCAGGCAGTCGCTCAGCATCCCCGACCGTAGGAGTCTGTTCGCTAACCGTTTTGGGGGATATTGGCGTTTTAATCAGCTGTTCAATCACCGGCACTGTCGGCTCAGTAGGTGCTTCGAGGGCTGTCTTTCCAGGAACTTCAATCGAAGCTGGGAACTCCGTTTTCTTCTCCAGAGTAACATCCGTCTTGACGTCTGTGTCGGGGGCTGTCATAGGCTCATCGACCGGAGTTGAAGGAGCCAACAGCCCCGCCTCAGTAGACGAGTCGAGCTTGCTGGCCTTTTTCGCCTTCTTTTTGTCTTTCTTCGACAAAGGCGCAGAACTTTGCTGATCGCCGCTTGGAATGGTGGCCTCAATCGGTGTTGAGACAGAAGAAGTAGGGTCTTCAGGAATGACAGTAGGAGCATGCTCTACCGTGGACGTTTCAACAACGGCTGCAGTAGGCTCATCAACCTTGAGCTTCTGAGAAACGGTTTCGCGCGCTTCGTCGACCTTGGCCCCCTCATCAACAGTATAAGGAGCCTCCTCAACCCTCGATTCCTCAGTAACAAGATCCGCCGTAGACGGTCCAGCAACAACCCCAGACTCTGGAGCTGACTGTGCAACATTTTCAACCTCCTTCACGTCATCCACAAGCTGTCTATCCGCCTCGTCGACTGGAGTCAATGGCACCGACAGAACAACCTCAGCTCCTGAACCATGCTTCGATTTCTTGGCCTTTTTCTTGTCTTTCTTTGATTTTGCTGTCGACGGCTCTTCTTGGGTGTCTTGTTGTGACTGGCTTTCCTCTGGGACGCTCGTGAGAGTAGTGGGCTCATTCGGAATAGCCTTGGCGGGTTGGTCGACCGTCACTTCACTCGTTGGTGGCTGCTGTTCATGCTGCGCGACAGGCACTGGAGGTGGCTCGTCAGTTGCCTCGACCGTAGGAGGTTGCTCCAGGACGACCGCATCCTTCGATTGTTGCTCTTCAATTGTAGCAAGAGCAGGCTGTTGCTCATCGACAGGTGGAACCTTGGTACTCTCAGTTCGCTCGAGCGGATTCTCCAATCTTTCCTCCGTCGGTGTCTCGAGAGGTGTTGCCGTCCCGCTTTCCGCAATGGATGTCCGTTTTGCCTTTTTTTCCTTCTTCTTCTCTTTCTTGAAAAGAGGCGCTGCCTCTTCTGGAATAACGGTATCTTGTGCGACCTCTTCGACAATGGGACCGCCTACATGAACTGATTCCTCAATGGCAGGAACAATGACAGGGGCGCGTTCTTTAGCAGGTACGTTCTCCGATGTTGGCTCCTCTGCGGTCCCTGGGGCAACAATTGGTGCATCCTCCACAACTGGTAGCTCGCGCGCGCCCTCTTCGATGGGTACCGGTACAGTCTGTTCATCGAGTACAGGCTCACTCTTCTCTTCGGTAGGTGTTGGCGGAACGGAAGTTGTATCCTCTGCAATAGACAAGCGCTTGTTCTTCTTTGCCTTCTTCCTGTCCTTCTTTGACAACTTAGCCGTGTCTTCTAGCACATCAGGCTGTGTGGAAGTTTCGGGGTTTGGGGCAGAGCTCAATGTGCCTGCCTCGGTGGCGGTTGTCTCGGAAAGTGGATCTTCGCTTCTAGTAGTCTCGGAGATTGTCGATACCGGAAGGGAAAGTTGCTCCCGTTCCTCAGCTGGCGTGGTGGGGATTGGAATGGCTGATGCATCCTGAATATCCTCAAGCTCCACTGTCACAGGCTCGGTTGCTGGCGCTCGTATTTCCTCAATTGACGTAATGGGTAGCTGCTCAGCGACCGTCACAGGCTCAGCTGAAGATACTCGCTCTTCCACAATTGGCTTAGTGGCGATAGGAATAGCCGGAGTTTCTTTAGAAGATGCTAGATTCTCGCTAGACTTCTCTGTGGCCGTAGTCGTAGGAGTTGACACCTCTAGTACGGGTTCTCTCTCCTCCACCGGCGTATCTGGAATAGGGACTGAGCTTGCCTCTTCGACCATGGACGCATGCTTGCTCTTCTTGGACTTCTTTTTCTCCTTCTTTGACATCGTTGGAGCATCTCCTGCCGGCGCTGTCTCAACTGCCGGTGTCTCGGTGGCAGACGTTGAGTCCTTCACCGAGGCGTCTGTAGGTGCTGGCTCATTGGCTGGTAGGATTTCTGAGTTCGTGGCGGGCTCCTTGGTGCCAATTGCTTCGTCGGGAGTGGATACGTCTGTTGGCACAAGGGGTGAATGTTCCTTGACCTCTTCACGTACATCAGAAACCATGCTTGGAGCATTCTCTATAGACGCCTCTGGTAAGTCGACAGCTGGCGTTTCCAAGGGGACAGAGGCTTCACTCGCATCTGCAGAGATGCGCTTGTCTTTCTTGGCCTTTTTCTTGGCCTTCTTGGACGGCGTACTCTGCTCTTCAATCTCTGGCTGTACTGGGACATCCGGGCTATCCAAAGGAGTCTCCTGAGTGATCGGTTCGAAGATCGTTGCGGTATCGACAGAGCTAGAAACAGGGGTCTTGGTCTCTGCCGGGGCGATAGGTAGCTCGGAGACTGTTTCCTCAACCGCAACAACACTAGGTTCTTCAGGTGAAGCTTCAACGACGGTTGGGACCTCCGAATCGCGACTCTCAGATGCTATTTGTTCCTCGACAACTGGTTCACTGACTTGCTCTGCGATCTCCTCAACCGGTGCAGAAGGTATGTTTGACGCCTCACTCTCAACGAGACTTTGCTTTGCAGACTTCTTGGCCTTCTTCTTTTCTTTCTTGGACAACGGTGCAGAGAGAGCATCCTCCTTTGGCTGCGGCGATGTGAGACTTTCAGGTGTTGCTTCGGTTCCCTCAGGAAGTGGATCTGTTGTAGAAGCTCCCGTATCGATTATTGGCACCACGGGCTGCTTAGCAGGCTCGACGACCGGCTCAACAACTGGCTCAAGAGCCCTATCAGGAACAATTTCGCGGACTGATTCTTCCTTGGCATCGGCAGCAGGCAAAACATCATCCTGGGTCGTTGTTTCGGGAACAACCGGCGCCGTCTCAGTAGCCGGCGTCTGAGGCTCAGAAATTGACTTATTCTTCTTGCCCTTCTTTTTCTTTCCCTTTTTCGAGTTGGCTGCTTCTTCCACAATGATAGGCTCTTCAACCGCTGCAGGCTCGGCCACTGTAACGGGCTCTTCCGCCTTGACACTACCAGACGAAGTCTCCTCCATCGTCACCTCAGGCCCCACTGGCTCAGCCGACCTCACCTCCTCCTCCTTCGCCACCTCCTTCTCAGCAGACGCATCGACATTCTCCTCCAAGGGATCAACGTCCATCTCAGCATCACCAAGCCGCGTCTCAGGCAAAGGGATCTCCGCCGGTGGTGCAACATGCTCAAAAGCTTTCTCCGCAGAATCACCTTGAGCAACAGGCTCATCTTGAACTACAACCGAGACAGCATCTCCGGCTTCATTCTCCTGGCTAGATTTGCCCTTCTTGCCCTTCTTCGAGACAGACTCTGTCTGCTCGTCTGGCTGCGCTTGACTAGGCGGCTCAGGAAGGACTGCTGTGTCTCGGCTCGTCCCATCTTGCGCTGAAGTCGGCTGAGTGTAGATGATGTCAGTTGGTGCAACTTCCACAGGCTGTTCGACGGGTTGAGTGATGGTTTCGGGTGCAGCTACGAATTCTTGTCGAGATTCCTCCTCCTGGGGAACTGGGACAACTGGAGGCTGCGTTTCAGGCGCTGTTGTCGACTCTGCCTCCACAGGTTGAATAATCTCCCCAGCTTCTTTCGCATTCTGGGAAGATGCGGGCTCTTCACCAATTAGCTCGGCCGGGGTGATGTCGACTGATTGGCCCTTCTTCGCCTTTTTCTTCTTGGCTTTCTTCGAAGTAGGTTCGGCTTCAACATCCTCTGCGATTGCGTCCCGAGGCTCAGTTGTACGTGCGATATCTTGGTCAAGGTCTTGTTGTTGAGGTAACAATGCACCATCCTTGGCGTTGAGATCTTTGTCCGGCAACTCTACGGTGACGGGCACTGCATCTTGCTTTGGCTTATCATGTATGATGGGAGCAGAGTTAGCAGAAGATGGTTCGGTGGTAGAAGGCTCAGTCATAACTTCAGCTTCTTGTACAGGGGCGATTGCCACCTCAGGTGCAGGAGTACCTTCGGTCTCCGGCGCGACCTCGGCCATATCCGGCGCGCTCGTCTCAGTAGTACCCTTTTTACTCTTCTTCTTCCTACCTTTCTTGCCAACTACTTCAGGCTGCGATTCAACAACTGCCGCTGGAACTTCGTGACTTGAAGTGTCTTGTTCAGGCTCACGAGTAGTATCAACGTCACCAGTGCGCTCTACTGGCGCAGATGTAGCCTCCGTGTTCGATACTGGAGGTTGTGGAACTTCTCGCTTTACCTCTTCAGCCACTGTAGGTGCAGCGCCGACAGCTTCTTCAATCTTGCTCCCGGTTGACTCTAGAGGACGTTCAAGTACTGCTTCATTCGGACGTTCGAGCTCAGCGTCAAGGCCAGTGTCTGGCTGAGTAACTTCTAGGGTAGGTTCGGCCGGTGTCTCGATAGCGCGGTCGCCTTTGACATCAGCGCCTGGAGGAGCTGGCTCCGCTATCTTTTCGGTTGCCTCCTCTTTCTCAATCGCAACACCAGGCTTCGCTTTAACATCCTCTAGAACAGGCTGAGACTCTACGTTCTCATGAGGCTGGTCCGCTGTACTTGACTCTGTATCCACAGTCTTACCCTTCTTTCCCTTCTTTTTCTTGGACTTTTTAGTTGGCGTGCTGGGCTCTTCTGTGATGGGTGTAGAAGGCTGTGTTTTTTCCGAGGGTAATGCGTCTTGTACAGGCAAAATGCTTTCTACGGCAGGCTCAGGTAGGGCTGATTTCGGAGTTTCCTGCTGCTGTATAGGAGCAACGACATCAGTGACTGGCTCTGGCAAAGTCGAATCGACGATTGGCTTGACATCCTGCTGCTGATTCTCTTCACCTGTCTCTACAGGAGCGACTACACGCTCCCTCTCGACCAATCCGACAGGATTCTCGAGCTCAATGCGGACTTCCCCAACTGGCGTACTCGGCTCTCCCACAAGATTCTTATCCTTTTTCTTCTTCTTTTTCTTGTCTTTTTCTGAAGAAGCAGGGACCATAGATTCATTATCCGCAGCTGGTTCGATTGATCGCTGAGGTTCCGTAGAGGTAATGGGCATGACAAGGATACCGTCAGGCGTAGTCTTGAGCACCGGCTGAGCTTGACTTCCTACAAGTGATTTCCTCCGTTCATCCGCATTAATAGTGTCAACGTCCTCGACTTCATTCACATCCCGCGCTACAGCATCAACAGCAGAGCGCTCAGACTGCGCAATGGAATCCACCAGCGAGGCATCCGGGGTTCTAATTCTCTTCTCATCCTGAAGCGTGTTTTCGACCGGCATTTCAGCACCCCTGGACTTCTTGCCCTTCTTTTTCTTTTCCTTCGTTGGCGTCGCTGCCTCCGGTTCATCGTTAACAGCGGGGTCCGGAAAAGTGGGACTTGCGTCGAGAAGCTCGCTTTCAAAGTCATCTTCTCGGGGCAAGGGAACCTCTGCCGCATCATCCTCCGGTTTCTCCAACGGCAGCGGGACATCTGCCGCTTCGATTACAGAAAGCTGCGAACCAGGCTCAACTTTGCGTGAATTTGTCTCATCATCTCGCAATGACGTCACAGGCTCCAACGGCATCGAAAGCTCGTCGTCAAGCTCATCCTGGGGCAGAGCTACATTAGCAGGATCAACCTGACTCGACAGTGGTGGTTGGCGGAGATCCGCAGCCGGCTTGGGGCCGTCATGCTCCATCAAGTCATTGTCCTCGAATGTGCCTGCAGGAAGAGGGATATCTGCAGCATCGACATCTGCCGACGTAGGTAACTCGGGGTTTGCCGGCGCATCGATGTCGCGAGGGCTATTAGTTGGAATAGGTGTAGAGCCAATGACTTCTGGAGCAGGCTCAGCCATGGGTTGCTTGGTCTGCTCATCAGCATCAACACCCTCAGCCGTCCTCACAGATGAATCAGGAACAGCCAAAGCCGACTCTGAATCGACAGTAGGCATACTAGGCTCCGCCACAATCAAACCCTCAAGTTGCCCACTCTCCCGCTTTGCCTTCTTCCCCTTTTTACCCTTCTTCTTGCTCGAGATGGGAACAACCGCCCCTTCAACCGGGGCCGCTGGTTCTAGCGTCACTGCAGGCGTGGGAGACAGTTGCTCAGCTGCGGCAGTTTTGCCTGCAGGCTCACCTGCTGATATTGCAGATTCAGGTAGAGGTAACACTTCCACCTGAGATTCGGCAGTACCTTGGCGCTCCTTTGCGAGCGCGCTGTACTCTTTCGCGGCAGGAGTCTCGATTATCTCGGGAAGGAATCGTTCGCCCGAAGCGTCCACGGCATCATTCATCGGTGTCTCAACCGCGCTCTCAGGTTCAATTTCGCGCTGAACAGGCTCAGTTGTTGAGATACTACCCTTCTTCGCCTTCTTATTCTTCTTTTTCTTGGTCGGAGACGTTGGCTCCGGTGACTCAGTGTCGTTGTCAGCCTCGGGCAGTAGAGCCGTCTCTGGGAACGAGAAAGCCGGTTTTCCACCATCTCCAAAGGTAGCAGTCTCAGGAGCTACGCTACCTGTCGGTGTCGAACTGGACATCTCCCTGCTCACTTCTGCAGGCTTTTCCTCTATCGCGGAGGACGCCTCCGGGAAAGAAAAGGCTGGCTTTCCGTTGTCCGTGAAGAACGATGTACGTGGTGTATTTATCACGGCAGGCTCGTTGGCACTAACTTCCTTGGCTGGCATTGCAGGCTCGGTTCGTGTCGCCTCTGTCGACTGCGGGAAAGAGAAGGAAGGCATTCCGTTATCCGTAAAGACGGCCGTATTGGGTGGCACAACAGTCATTGGTGACTTCGGTTCAGAAATGACAGCCCTGTCGCCCGGCACTGTAATCTCTCGGGGACTTGCCTTGATAGGCGTTAAGGGTACATCTCCGGAGCTTTCAACAGGTGTCTCGTCTTTAGTGGCTGTGGGTTGAGGGTACGTGAAAGCCGGCTTTCCATCGTCGGTAAAGAATGATGTTGGAGGAGGTACAAACTCCACAACAGGTTCGCGGATAGATATCTCTTCAGCGGTGTCCGCTGCAATCTTCTTCTGGGTCTCCGCCACTACAGAGTACGAAAATGCAGGTTTTCCATCATCAGTGAAGATCGCAGTCTGAGGCGTGACATTCAATGCGGGCTTAGCCTCCTGAGCAACAGGCTTACTATCTTTTGACACCTTTGCCTTGGGAGTTTTGCTCTTCGCACCTCCAAACGCCGTCTGGAGTTCAAGAATCTTGTCCTTGGTGCTCACAGCCGGCTTTGGCACTACCTCGACGGTTTTCTCCTCGGTAGCTGGTACTGTTGCGGGGACAGCTTTGCGAGGCTCAGGTGAGGTTGAAGGTGTCGCCGGCTTCTTTTTACCCCAGCCGAACGCACCTAAGAGACTTGAGCCCCAACGAGAGCTGGAACTAGTTGGTCGTTCAGGCTCAGGCTCAGGCTTAGCGACAGCTGGTATCTCCTTGGTAGCACTCTTGCCATCAGTAATTGGAGCGCTGGGCTCGCTAACAGTCTCAGGCGCTTTGTCGTCAGAAGCTTCATCCTCGACAAGGAAGTCCATAGCATTGGGCTCTTGTTTCGGCTCTTCTTGCTTCAAGACTGGCTCTGAGATCTCATGCTCTACCTTAACCTCAGTGGTAGCTTGTTCTTTTGGCGCAGTTTGCGGTAGTTGCACTATAGCATCATCCGACACGTGCGGTTTGCCTGAGTCTAATTCTAGAGTACCCTCAAAGGCCGGTTGTAGGATATCGCGCTCGATAGCATCACGCTGTTCCTCCTGCTGAGGCTGAGGCAAGATATAATCGTCTCTCGCATCGTCAGGCTGAGGTAGAATGTTGTCCTCATGAATATGCTCCGGCACCGGCGTGGGCTCAGGTGCAGGCTCGGCCTGAGCACTAGCACGCTTCGCCTTCTTATTCTTCTTCGCTTTCTTACCTTTTGGAGTGACTATAACCTCTGTCTCTACAGAATCATCAGCCAAGGTAGCTTTCTGTGTTGTGTCTGGCGTGACATCTTCCGTCGTTGTAACGGGAGCATGCTCTCCACTCTTCGGTGTTGTGGGAGACTGGGCTTGAGCAGGCTCCGGCAGAATCTCCTTTGACTCTACATCTACACGCTTCTCATCAAAGTTCTCGGGCTTGATTTCCGGTCCAAAGACAGCACGCTGTATTTGCGTGACCTGCTCTTCCGGTGGCACCGTGTGTTCGAGAATCTTGTCCCTCTTATAATCCTTGGACATGGACGGTCCAGCAACCGACTCACCAACAAGTGTAGCATCATCTGTGATAACAGACTCAGACCTGTACTTAGCCCAATCTAGTTCTTCGTTGACAAAGGTAGGGCTATACGGCTCAGGCGTAAGCTGTTGCTCTATTGGTGCGGAGAGAGGTGCTTCAACAGTCAAAGCCTTCTTGTTCTTCTTCGCCTTTTTCGCTTTGCCCTTGCCTTTACCTTTAACATCGCGGGCTGGGGTTTCGGCTTCAGACTCAGTAGGTGCTTGATCTGTGCGTGGCTCTCCCTGCTTCTGTTCGACAACAGTTTTAGGCTCTTCAACGAGCGCATCAGGTTCTGGAGATGAAGATCGATGCACAAGCGCGGCAGCAGCGATACCTCCCACGGCCGCACCAAAGGCAGCGTCCTGGAGTCGAGAAGAAGTGGTCTTAGCTGGAGATGCATCCCTGCTAATTTGAGGAGTAAAACCGCGCATCTTCGAGTCATCCAACGGTGCACTTGGTTCCAGAGGAGTTGCAGCTTGAGGAGAGGTCTCCGTCGACACAAAGACATCATCCTCTGACGTTTCAGTCTCATGAGTTCTCGCAGCCTCGATTGCAGCAGAGAGAACGTCCTGATCCGGACCCCGAGTGTCCAGAATAGTGTCTGGTGTTCCCGGTACAAAATCAGACGCCTTAGGTGTGACTTGACCAGATCCATCAATTTCCTCAATCTCCCGATCTGCAAGCTCAGGATGCTGTAGCTCTGGTCCAGACGGTGGCAAGATCAGATCAGAAATGGTACTCAACGGGTCAAAGAAGGAGTCCTCTGAGACTAGACTAGAACTTGGCTGAGGCGATTCCAGAGCAGACTCAAACTCAGTTTCTGTTGCTACCGATGATGTTCGCGAAGGAGTGCTGCTTGCTGGTAATGCTGGCAGCACTTCATCAATCTCGTCCGATTTCCTGTTTCGCTCGACCAGGTACAGAGGTCTAAACTCCCGAGATGCCTTGAACTCAACGGAATGTGCCCTGCCATGTCGAGAGCGCACGGGTGAAGTAGCGGTACGTGCGTTTGGGCTGGAATCCAATTCATCACGTTGAGTGGCTGATGATGAGCCTGGAGGTTTTCGAAAGCGGATTGGTACAGCGGTGGATGACAATCTGCGTTGAGCAAAATGCGCTGTCTGGCGTGTAACCTCTGGTGATCTCAAAGGTGAACTTGGTCTCGATAACGGTAGAGGCGGTAACTCATCGGGAAAAGCTTCTAATTGCCATGGCTGCAAGCCTGTAAGGCGAGTGAGCAGTGTGCGACTATCTTCAAAAGACAGGTCGGGTGGCGGAGTGCGCGGTCGTTCGTAGGCCCCTGGAATGCCCAGATATTGTTGGGCATCGTCGTGAGTCGAAAGAGTATCTTCGGGCCGATCCCCAGGCACGACCTCATTGCCTTTCTGGGCTTGGTCGACGGGCTCACTTGCGGGCAGTGGAGTTGGAGTGACTTCGGCCACTGCCCGATCGTCTAAAAAAGACTGCCGGTCTTCAGCTTCTTGTTCATCGGCATGCGAGGGCGAATTTCGGGGGTAAGAGTGATCCTATAAACACAACATCAACATTCATTCTAAATACATTCGTGACAAGCACTCTATCGCGCATAAGAAGAGCGATGTACCTTGTCGTCATAAGATCCCCTCCTTTCTCCTTCCCCTCTTTCAGAGCGACTGCTCCTCTTCTCACGACGGCTGCTGCTCGAGATTGTCGAGCGCATATCGTCATCGTCTGAGCCGTATGTCGAACCGCGGTCTGACCGATGTTTCCTTCTACGATGCTTGTGTTCCTCATCGTCGTCATCCTTCGATTTTGAAGACTTGCTAGACTCTAAAAGATTCTCTTTCGACTTGCTGCTGAACATGCCAAAAAGACCGCTCGATCGTTTCTCCTCTTTTCGTTCTTTCTTCGAACCTCGGTCTTCGTCGTATCGTGATGTAGTAGATATCACAGATGCGTTATCGTCATCACCATCACGTCTCGACTTCCTTCTTGAAGATTTTCTCTCTTCGTCCCCAGGTTCGGAGTTGGCTGATGAACGCGACCTAGTCTTTGCCTCAGGTGACCCATCTCTTTCGCCGTCTCGATTTTTGTGCTTTCGTCGACGCTCTCCATTAGCATCGGAACGAGCTTCTGACATGGTGGATCTGGTATCCCAGTCATCCGTGCGGTCATCAGTTCCATGACGGCGGTGTCTCCGCTTCCGCTCGCCCTCAACATCGAAGCCATAACCTCGGTCACGACTTGGTTCCCGGCTCTCAGGTCTTGCTTCAGCTTTGGCTGCAGCCTTCGCCTCGCGGCGGAGTCGTCGTCTTTCCGCGGGCTCAGGATCGTCATACTTGCTGCTCAGCGAGATCATGGACTTCATGTCATCGTCGTCATCATAAGGAATTCGAACAACAGTATCGTCATCATCATCCTCATCGTCATTCTTGCTTCGCGGACTGGTATTGTCATCGTTGAATCGGTTCACCGGGTTGGTCCTGTCATCATCCCATTTGCTCGAAGTCTTGCTTTTGTCTACATATTGACTTTGCGGGGCCGGTTCATTGTCTTTGTGCATGCTTTGCGTGTTGGAGGTATGATCTGCATACTTGTTAGGCGTTTGACTCGATGCCTTCGCCGCCTTTCCACGCTCTTCCGAACTAGCTGAGAAAAATTCGTCCGACTCACGTTCGTTAGAGTCCTTGCGCGGCATGTCGTCAGACGATGCCGTGGGTACCTTTGGAGCTGCGACATAGGCCTGCTGGTTTGGGAGACTTGGGCGTCTCTGAGAACCCATGTAGTCCTCATACTTTGTCTCTGTTCTAAGCGGGGATCCTATGCTTGGTGACCATTTACTGCTGCTGTGTCTCTTCTCCGTGTTCCGCTTGGGCGTTTTGACGTTGGGCAGCTCATCGCCATCTTCGAAGACCATGCTGGGAATTGTATTGCTTCTTTCACCTTCATCGGACTTTCGAGTACTATGAGATGAAGACGAGGGGCCTTCACGAGCTGTGTCCTTTTCTGCAGCTGCCAGACTTTTGCTCGCACGTTCGAAATCCGAAGTCATCCTATCCTGGTCTTGTGTCATGGCAGTGCCTACAAGGGCAGCAAATCCGCCAGTTAATGCTGCAGTTGTTAATTTGCTGCTGCTGCTGCCACTGGCACCCTCTTCACGACGAGTTGTAGGCTTTGTAGGAACTGTGTCCCGAGTGGGTGGTGCCATTTGGCGAGGCTCGATATCTCGGGGATCACGATCGATTGTCGGGCTAACAGCCAGGCTAGCGTCGCTGTCTTCGAGTTCCCAGCTGTCAACGCTCACGCGCTTCCCAGCCTTGGACTTCTTCCTCCTTTCCTTCTTGCTCAATTTCGCGTCCGTTTCCGATGAAGCTTCTTTTATTGGCTGAGACAGTTTGACGGGTTCTGGCTTACTGCGCTTCGGGGCGTCATTTAATACTACACTTTCATTAGTACTTTTAGACGTCTTACTCTTCTCTTTCTTCGCCGAAGAAGACGACGATTCTCTTTGTTCTTCCAAAGACTCCTCAATATCATCAAAGCTACCGGGAACGTGCATAGAGGCTGACGTAGAAGGCGTCTGACGCTCGACCGACTTGGACTTTTGGGGCTGCTCTCGTTTCGCCGTACGAGGATCCGACTGAGCCGTATGCTGGTATTGTGGCGCGTACACAGCAGTACTTGCTGAAGCAGCAGAGGATACAATCGAACTCTCGTATTCCGTAGACCCTGTCCAGGAAGCTGAAGGTAGGGAGGACTGGTACTGTGGCGAGTACACAGCCGTACTAGCCGAGTGAGCAGAGGATGCAACCGATCCCGAGCCATATGAGTGATCCTTGGAGCCTGTCGAAGAAGTCGGCTGGGCGGAAGGCTGATATTGCGGTGAGTAGACTACAGTGCTTTCTGAAGGGGCGGAAGACACTACTGTGGAAGCATCGGTGTTCGAAGATGCAGCATGGGTATCTGAGAATGGGTTGCTGATGGTGGAGTAGACATCGCGTCTGTAGTCTCGCTTATCATCGTCGTCTCGAGAAAGCAGTGCCGCAGCAGTCACTGCAGCAGCTGTAGTGGCCACAGTGGCGGCAGCCTTGGCCTTCTTCTGCTCGATCTTATTGCTCTTCTTCGAAACAGCGCCAGCAACGCTCTCCCAAGTCGAATCATCTTTGTCGCGGATGTATTGCGTACTCGGTGCGCTTTCCCTAGAGGTGGACGCACCGGACTGTGGTGGTCGATAAGCTTCGTAAGATCCAGCGTTATTATCCGACTTAGGTACATCCTGCCGAGCAGCAACCTTGTCCTGCGGATATTTCCGATCTTGATCCTTGAGCTCGCCTTCCGAGACGAACTGTTCGCGAAATGACTCTGGAGTAGGCACCTCGAAATGGTGGAATTGATTCTCGCCCCAACTAACTCTTGATCTTGCGCGGTTGGCCTCGTCCAGTCTTGGCTCATTTCTCGCCTCAGGGACCGGTTCTATAGCGGGCGATGGAGGCAGGGAGACGCTACGTACAGAAGGGGCGCGACTTCCAGGAGGTGTTGCTTGGATGAGATTCAACGAAGGCACCGGCCATGTTGGCTGCGAGGAGGGGCGGCCGTCCCGAGTGGCTGTGAAAGCATAGGAGGGTGGGTAAGGTGGTGCCATGGGTGGGGTTGGTCCATAGTCATCGTGAGCTTGGTAAATGTGAAGATCAGTAATGCCTTCATTCGGATCCACAGGACGGGTCTTGGGTAGGTTGGTGTTTTCCAAAAGTTCCTTTGGTGCAAAGAACTCAGCTTGGGATACTGGCTTAGCGTTGTATCTGTCCTCCAAATCCTGGTAGACTTGACGAACGGTCTCCTTCTTCTTGAAGATGTCCGGATTGAAAATCTCTTCATCGAAGTAGTCCTGCTCTATCCGGCTGGGTTCATAGGTTTTCACATTACTCGGTCCAACGGTCTTCGTCTTGCTTGGTTCAATAGTCTTTGTCCGACTTGACTCGGTGGTCTTAGTCTTGGTCTTGCTAGATTCCACCGCCTTGGTCTTGCCAGACTCAGACGTCTTGCTCTTACTGGATTCGGCCGTCTTCGCCTTATTTGGTTCAGCACTCGTCGTCTTGCTGGGCTCCGCAATCTTCGCCTTGCTCGACTCGCTCTTCTTGTCAGACGAAGAAGAGTCTCGTTTCCGCTCCTCGCGCCGTTCCTTCTTCTTCTTGTCCTTGTCCTTACTTGCATAGGAGGAAATAGCCGCGCTTGCAATGGCAGCTGCAGCCGTAGCTGCCACAGCTCCGGAGCTGGAAGACTTCCAGGGGTCTGGCTGAAAGATTTCGCGTTCTCGACTTGTGAGCTCTTGTTCTTTACGGCGTACATCCGTCGCAATCGAGCTGACTGAGCTTCCTGTAGGCTGCGGTTCGATCTTCCGCCGCTCACGGTCACTCTCGTAACGACTCGAGTATTCCTGTGCTTCACGCTCTCTTCTTCGGCGCTCCAGGTCTTCTTGAATTTCGGCCTCCCGTCTGGCGGACTCGATGCGTTCCATCTCTTGCCGCTCGAATTGGCGACGTGATTTACGTGATTGCTCAGCTTCGGTATCGCGATCGAGTTGGCGTTGAGCTTCAGCTCGTGCCTCACGGTCCTGACGCTGCCTCTCTTCTGCCTCTCGAGCTTCACGGGCTTGCATTTCTTCGTGATGGCGGCGCTGCTCATTCATGCGTCGTTCAAACTCAAGTTTTGCCAATCGTTCACTCTCCATGTATTTGCGAGCTTCTTCTTGTTGGCGTTGCATTTCCCGTTGTCGATTTGTCTCTTCGTCACGACGCTTCTGCTCCGCAAGGCGGTCCTCATCGTCCCGACGTTGCTGTTCACGACGGCGATCTTCTTCCGCTTGTCGGATCTCGTCTTCCCGACGTTGCTGTTCACGACGACGGCTTTCTTCTTCGTCACGGCGATCTTGCTCCCTACGACGTTCGCGCGCTTCTTTAGCCGCTTGTTCCTGGGTCAAGTTGAACCTCACATTGCTAACATCACTAGCTGCGCGATCATTGCCTCTATTCGCCGCAGCGATAGCGGCAGCTCCAGCAGTAGCAGCAAGTCCAGCGATGGCCATGTCACGTTTCCAGGAAGTAGTTTGGATGGGCGAGGAGTTTGAACGACGAGGAAGAGGGGGCTTCTCAGAGTACGGAGGCGCTTGGATGGTGATGTTTTGGGTTTGAGACTGGCTCGGATAAGGCTGCTGGTAGTTACCTTGAGAGAAAACCGGGGGCCCAGCTGGAGCTACGAAGCCTGACTGAGAGGAAGCCTGGGTGGAGTAAATGGCTCCTGGGACTCGGGGCATTGGCTGAGGTTGTTGAAGACTGACAGACCCCGGACCGGAAGTGACGAGTGGTTGAGGTGTCGGAACCGAGCTGGTTCTTCTAGCATCGAATAATGCGTCAGGATGATGGGGAGCTACTGGGTATACCGACTGCAGTGTGTGTACACTGCTCGACTCGCTGTCGTGACGGGCAAGACTACTTCCAGTGGCTCCTCCAGCAATGGTTCCTGCAGTTGCGGCCCCAGTGGGTCCAATCAGAGAAGTGCTGGCGATGTTGTCGTAGAGATTCTCAGAAGATCGTCTCTTCTTCTTGCCAAAACCCCATCGCCAGCCCCACTTGTTCGTACCAGAGCCATTTGACGCAAGAGATTCCTGACTCTTGCCCTTCCTCCAGTCATAATCACCGTAAACGAGACCAGCGTTATCTGAAGATTCAGAGGTATCATCATCTGGCAAGTCCTCCCACTCATCGTCACCATAGCGGGAACCAGGTCGACTGTGCTTACTGCTCTTGCGTCCGCGACGATGCTCCTTGACTGCAACAACATCGCTATGGCGCTTGCCTGCATTTCTCGCGGCCCTAGCTGCTGCAATTGCCGCAGCAGTTGCACCCAGGCCAGCTAGTGTAGCCCTCAGTCGTTCCTCAGAAGTTTGGCGTTTCAGTGACGGTGCCCTCAATTTCGGCGACGAGCTTCTGCGTTTAGGCAAGGGTCGCTGGCGCCTTTTTACATAGCCCGTCCCAAACGCCATCTCAGAATCTGAAGATGAAGAAGAACCATTGCCAAAGTTGAAGAACCCTTTCCTTTGCTTCTGATGGATGGTTGACTTGTATTTCTTCTCCTTTGGCGGCGGGGCAGAGAAGAATCCACTAAAGAAGCTGCCTTGTGACTGAGTATCTTGTCCAATCTCAATGACAGACGCTCCAGATGTAGAACTTTTCGATACTTTGTGTCGTAGGTGCTGAGATCTTCTCCTTCGGTGCTCATCCTCGCTGCTATCACGGCGATGGTGTTGCAATTGAACCCTTTTGGGAGATCTGGAACGGCTGCGATGCTTCTTCGTTGCGGCTCCAAGTGCAGCACCAGCCAGACCGACACCAATAGTAGTTCCAAGCAACCCTGATTTGCGACTCCGTGCGTCTGAGCTTGATCGCGATCGTGATCTGGAGCGTCGTCTGACAACGCTATAGTCTTTCTTGTCTTTTGTCACGCCTACAGATATTTGCGACGTGCGATCCTGCGAGCGACTTCGGCGACGAACATCGCCATAGCCGTAGCTATAGCTCTTCCTGTCCCATGATCGACTGCGTTGGCGTGATATTCTCGATCGTGACTCGCGTCCAGACTTAATGCTACTCGCCCGTGACTCCCGTCCAGACTTGATGCTGTAAGTATCATCGAAGTCGTCCCGCCCAGCGCTGAAGACTGCTTTGCCTGCCTTTGCTAGGCCAAGACCTCCAAGCCCAGCGGCCACCCATCCCACAGCGCTTGTGCCGCCGTTTCTCCTTCTTCTCTCGTCTCCCGAAGAGAAGGAGGCGTGTGATTTCTTCTCTTTCAACGAGTAACGAGACTGCTTCTCGATACCGCCAGAGGGGCGCAGGTATTCGTTGGACCGTCGCTTATGATAATGATGTTTCCTTGGCGCATCCAAGACTGATGACCGAGGATCAAAGCAGCCTTTGCAGACACCGATATACTCGGTATATTCCTCCATCTTCTGCACGTCTTCGTAGTCCTTCCACCAGTCGACGAATTTTGACACGGGGCCTTTATGCTCGTGCCGCTGAGCCATACCGCCATTCATAAAAGAGCTAGGCGGCGGGCCAAGGCCATTGTAGTGTTGACCGGAAAAGGCTCCCGAGGTGGTCATCGAAGAGTAATTATGCGCGTGTTGATGAGTATGAGAATGGGTATTAGATTGTGAGTTGTGTTTGTTCAATCCATATGCTGCCAGTCCTGCAGCGCCAGCAGCATAGAGTCCAGCGTGGCTACCAGACGACTGCTTCTCGGATTTGCCAGGGCGAGGTGGTTTGGGAGGAGGAGCATTGTCTTCAGGTCCAGAGTAAGGTGGTGGATAGCTACCGTTGCCATTCACCGTGTCATTAGGGTCGCCTCCGTTGTAGTACGTAGAGGCGGACGTAATTGGTGTTATATTAGAGTAAGATGGAGAGTATTGGGTATTGGAGGCGCTGTAGCCATTGGAGTGTTGAGTAGAGCTGGATGAGCTGTGGCCCATGGCGTATCCAAGGGCCGCACCACCTGCCACGGTCGATGCTGTACCGAATTTGCTAGGCTTGGCAGGCTTTGAAGGCTTTGAGGGCCGAGGTGGTTTTTGAGGTGCTGGGCTGTCGTCGATAAAGGCACCAGGCATGCTGGAGCTCGATGGCCGTGAGGGCCGTGAGGGCTTTGAGAAGGACGAGTTATTCATGCTATTCGCGTAAAAGTCTGCTGCAGCACCCGATCCGGTGTCTGCCACTGGGTTGGCTTGCGCTGATGCAGAGACGAGATGAGGCGTGTCCTGGCCGACGATGACAGCGGGTGGTTGCGGTCGGACGCCTGGTTGATGCTGAACAGAGGCACCGTTGTCGTTATAGTACTCTGCTGCGGCGCCAAAAGAACTACGCCCCGGTAGCTTGCTAGAGGCATAAGTGGTAGGGTTCATGCCAGGGAACTGTTCGTCAACATGGCTCCCGAGACTCCCTATTGGCAACGCGCCAGACATCATGGGCGCACCGGACTGGCCTGGGAATGGCGAGAAGCCATCGCTAGCGATTTGCCCGCTAAAGGTCCGGGAAATGGGCTTTGGGCTCTCTACAATATCGCCTCTGTGGCCGCCCGCCTGGGAGGCGCTGCCCGACCGTTCAGAGCGCGTCGACGACCGTCGCCACTCGTTCTTCTTGGCCTTGTCTTTGCTCTTCTTTGGACCCTTCTCATCACGGTCTGAACGCCGTGTTGTCGAAGGCGAGGAGGGATAGCGGTCGTCCCTTCCGCTATCATAAACTTCATGGGTTGGCTGCGAGCGTGGCACGTCGTCGAAGGCCGTCGCGAAGGATGCAATCGAAGAAGGCGCAGTATCGCGACGAGATGGCTTGCGCGTCGATGTTGACGACACGACTGATCGAGCATCCGAGTCCCTCTCGCGCTTCGATCGTGTCGACTCGCTGGGCCGACGGCGGCGGCGGGCGTCCTCGTCTCTGTCTTTGGCGGAGGCAGAGGAGCTGCTGTCACTTTTGCCTGTGAATCTGCTCCACATATTGATGGATGGGATGCAAAGTGGTGATGGGAAGGGTGCTACTTTGCTGTTGCAAGCAACCTGCAGCTGGAAATGAGGCGGGCGCAAATATGGTTGTTGATATCGCTGGGGTATCGCTGCAATGGGGTAATGAGAGGAAGCAGATCAAGGACGCACAACAAAAAGCCGCCGGTGGAAAGGGGGGCAACAGCTATTAGGGTATTGTGTATGCGCGCGCACTGCCAACGGCCAGACGACGCCTCGGCTTGCGATTTCCTCGTCTCGTCGCAAAGCTGTGAATGGGAGAGACGAGGAGAGCTGAAAGGCGTCTCTGATCGGGGTAATTGAGCTGTCAAGGCTAAGCTAGTGATCTGCAAAGCTGGGTGGCTGGCGATGCGAGACGATGGCCCAATGGCCCAATGAGCAGACTATTGGAATCTCGGACCCATCGTTTGCTCCATCCTCTGATCTTCGTCTGAGTCTCGGCTCTCCAGCTGTGCTCCACTGGAGTCCCCTCACTGCCCACACGGGGATTTGTTTGGTGATGCTGATGATGATGATGCTGATGATGATGCCGGGCTGGACACTAAACGGCTCCATCCGTCAACTAAACACAGTGCGGGAACGGGCAAGCAACAAAGGACTTGCTCCTCTTCTTCCACCCATAGACAATGCCATTGTGAGCACAACACCACACACGGGAAATACTCTAGAATACAGATACAATCTACCCCTCATCGCTGCTACCTGGTAGTAGAAAAAGGGCATGGATCGATCGATTCTGGTTCGCACACCCTTCTTTCGCTGTACTGATCATCTGTACAACCAGACAGCCATTCATCGCAAGGTTGGCAGGCCGAGTGCAGTGGCACAAACCAAACAATGCTGCAATTCTGCTCACTGCGTTAGCGTGGAGAAGCCGGATGTACTATGGATTGGGTGTGAAGAAATCGTCGGTCTGTTTGTCGGACGGCTGATCCGTCCGCGAGTCAGTGTGCACAGCAATAGGACCACTCAAAAGACCCATCCATCTCTGTTTATGTAGGCGTGCATGGAGTGGGGGTATCGGCATCGGTCCACTGATAATGCCCGCATGCATTGTACAGAAATACCACAAGTCCTGGCAGTTTCATGATTTCATGAGCCATCTGGGGCATTCAATCAAGATATAGCAATTTGCTGGAATGAAGAACCACATGTGATGCATCATGGCATGTGGTACTGAATTTTGGCTACATGTATCTGATTCTGCGCATGCAAAGCCACAACATTCCTTACCAAAAAAAAAGCCTCTCTTGGCTTGTTCCCGTTCACGCTACAGTACTGCGATAACCGCCTAGGTAGCCTTTTTACATCCTTTGAGCCAAGCGTACATTGCAAGCACCAACATCATTCTGCCTTCTCCAATGCATGCTGCGCGCATAACATTGGCTTCCCATCATTCCCCATCACCTGACACCGAAGTAAAAGGTGGCCGATAGTCTGTAAGCATCCTTCATAACCCAATGCAGTGACAATTCGCTCCAGTGTCCTACCTAATTCATTCTGAAATTGTTGCATTTTCCGTGGGCTCAGATGCTGGTAGGCGCAATCACAGCAGGTAGCTTTTGCGCGAAGCGTTCAACACGATGCGACGTAAACGTGCAAAGTCGTGTGACACACTTCAAGACCATTGTACAACACTCTTTATCTTGCTCCACCCGAAAGCATCTGTCGAATCTGCATGATTTGTGCGCGGTAGTCTGGAGGTAGCTGTTCAACCTGTTGCGGTGTCAAGGCCATTACTTGAGCATACAGCGCTTGTTGGTCCATTTGGCCTGGCGGCTGCTGTGACTGCTGTGGCGGAGGAGGCTGCGCGTACGCCTGCGAGACAGCAGCTTGGGGTTGTGGCGGTGTGGGTGCGACTTGTGGAGGGTACGAGGGGTAGCTCATGGGTGGTCGCGCGGCAAGCGCAGGCTGTTGTTGTTGGATCGGGGCTGGCTGGGCGGCTGGAGCAGGAGCTGCGGATGTCTCGACGAGAGAGCCCAGGATGGTGGGGTCGACGAGCTGGAGTAGGAGTAGCGACTGGAAAATAGCATAGGCCAATTGAGGTGCCTGGCGCAGGAGCTCTGTTGCCTTTGCCGGATCTGTCATGACCAGGCCTTTCATCTGTGAGAGAATGTCCAGCAGTTGATCGGGGGGTAGTGTGGAAAGCGTTCGCGAGATGGAGTCGGGACAGGTCAGATTGGGCGGCAGCTCGACGCCTGGTGGTAGAGGGCCCAGCGCGCTTGATTGCGGTGCAGGTGCTGGCGCAGGCGGTTGGCCATTCATGGCTGGTGGTGGGTTGTCTCTTGGGGGTGCATTGTCTCCGGAGCCGCTCTCATTTGACCAGTCGACCCTCAGCTTCCTGCCCATTATATCGTAGTCGTTGAGGTTGCGAACGGCCGAGGCTGCTGCGTCTGCGTCTGCGAACTCTGCAAAGCCAAAGCCTTTAGGCCGGCCGGTCTCTTTGTCGTAGACTAGGCGGAAGTTGTTCACCTGTCCAACTCGACCGAGCGTCTCGACTATCATTTCCTCGGTGCCGCCTGCAGCTACAAGTTAGCAATGCGCCTGCCAGTGCTGGTGGGAGGTGTCGCATACCATAGGGTATATTGCCAATGAAGACCACGCGGCCTGCTTTGTCATTTGGCGCCATGCTGGGTAAGCGCAGTTGTATCGAGGTGCTGGCAGGTTCAAGGAAGAGGGGATGGGTCGACGGGGTTTCTTTGACCCAGGAGCTGGTCAGACAGCTCCGGCGCAGAGAAGGCGCGTGAGGTCTTGGCGCGTTTTCTGTGACGGGATCACCACGTGATACTTGTGATATCACATGACTTTTACCTTAGTCTGGCACCTGGTCTGCTCATTGCCATGGCCCGACAGGAATCTTGGCCATTCCAATACATCCACAGTACATCCGGCCCATAGCAAGTAATTGAATTATCTGCACACGTAAGGCTTTAAACTTTGTTCCAAACTTCAACGATTTTAAAATATTTAGTCCTACAGAATCCGATTGAAAATCTCAGACTTCTCACTACCACAGCGTAGTCGCAACAGTTCAAGATTACCACAATGCATGATTATTTTTTGAAGTCGATTTATTCTTAACTAATCCAATCTGCTATACCAACACTACAACTTTGGTGCACAGCATGTCCCATCCTCCCCAATAGTCGCGGTCACACTAGGCTGATGGACTTGCTCGCTCAACAAATTGCTCTTATTGAACGCCTGCTCGCTCGGCGGCACATCCAGTGCCGGATTCTTGTCGAAGAAGTTCACAGGCTTCATGTGGACCGACAATTTCTCGCAAGGCATGACGGGGAAATCCTCGATACGGGGGATGTGGTTGATGCCTACTTGGATAAACAAGACGAGATCGGTATCCTTGACGTTCTCGTTCCTTTCGGCCCATGATCGCACACCGGTACCGCCGCGCGACTGGTTGGTGTAGTGGCCGCCTGCGTATAGTTCGCCGTCCTTGTGCTTGACAACGTAGATGTTCTTGTCTGAGAATTCGGCACGCTTGTAGTTGAAGCTGTCTTTGTCGGAAAGGATCTTTTGGAAAGGCGGGGCTTGGATCTTGTAGGCTACTGGCTTGCCGTTGATCGGATTCCGTACACTAGAATTCTGGATCTTGAAGGTTTGGTTGGTGTCGTAGGCGATGTCGAATCCGCCTGACTTCTCCACAACGGTCTCCTTTACATAGTATCCGTTTCCGTGAGGGTTCAATTCTGATCTTCCTACAATGGGGAAGGCTTCCTCGTAGACCAAGCGATTGTCGTTTCCGTCGATCATGGGATCCACACGGAGACTGAAAATGTGCTGGTGGTGCACTGCAAGAACCCCTGGGTGAACGACGGTGCCAAATGGTACGTCGATGCCCTCGTCGATTGGCTGTGTACTTAAGATTCCAGTCGCTCGAATCTCATACGTGATCTCTCCGGCCTGGTTGAAAAGGAATGCAAGGATATACTCGTAGTTGGCCACAGTGATGATGGACTGCAAAACCAGCTCTCGTGATCGAACAACAGCTGCACGGCCAGTTCTGTAATTGCTATGCTTCCAGCCAATGCCAGCATCTTGCTCATGAATGCATACAACATTTGGCATATCGACAACTCCGCCTTTGCTGTCTGACAAGACCGAGCTCAGGTAATATATGGAGCCGAGACAATCGCAGCCCAACTTAAGGTTGTTGGCCATAATGCCAGCCCCAACGTCACCCAAATCAAAAGCAGATTTGCGATGTAGGGGCGCTCTGGAGTCCGCGTAGGGTATGTTCATATCTGAAAGACTGAGTCGGTAGAACAGACTGCGGTTGGCATATCTCACGTCGTACAAGACCACGCCTTCGCGTTGATTGAAGCCGACTCGGAAACTCCATTTCTGCCACTCAATGACGTTGGAGGTGCCTTCTTGCCGAACCTGGAAGCTAGCACCCTCTGGCTGAACAACATTCAAGGGTTTGAGATCTGTTCGGAGATTTTGGGCCTCAGGAACGTATTCATTCGGTGGATGGATTTTGTATTTGCCAAGGGGCTTTACAGTATTATCAGCACCGGTTGGTAGCAAATCTACTCTTATGACCGTCATAGTATCTGTGCTGACCACGGGCGAGAAAGGTAGCGGGAAGGCATAGTGATTCGAGTCTTCCTCGGAGGAGTTGTTGGGATCCCGAATGTACATCCAACATTGGAACATGCGTTGATCATCGTCAACTCCGTCTGCGCCGTAGATCCAGGGGTCAGTAATGACGACTGTGCCTGGTGGAAGCTCGAGCTTTGCAATCTCTGCCTTGACCTTCTCGTCTTCGAGCACAATCTTCTCAATCTGCATGATCTCCTCACCGTCACCGTTTCCATGGACAAAGGGACCAAGTAACACATTTCTTTCCACTCGGCCTGTAGTGAGGTCGACGATAGCTTCATGGAATTTGCTCTGTAGTGGCGTTAGTGCTGCTGAAAAAAAATCGTATACTGGACTTATTTACGGTATTTCGAATATAATAGTTGATGAACGCCTTTCGGCTGAGTGCTGGTAGCGAACCTCCGTTGTGTTCAGCCTCCAGATACTTCAAGACCTCCACTTTTGGTGGCTCCTTCAGCGTCACCACTTTGAACTGGAGATCTGCGTGTGCTGGCCATGAGGCTTTGATGATGTTTGCTGCTGATTGAAGCTCCGATGCTGACAGTGGCGAAAGTGGATGTGAAGACTTTGTCTTCTGCGGTGCCGCATTGGTGGCAAATTGTGTGGACATGATTGACAAATATAAGATAAGGCAACCAATTGGAAAAAATGTTGAATGATTAAAGGCAAAGCAGATTGGTCTTCCAGTACCTCAACTTATAGTTCAGTACAGTCTCACATATATTGCCAGATGCAGTAATTGGCATAGAAGAAATTATACCCGCAGCCAACGCTTCGGATATTCGTGAATCACGCAAGGACTTGCCGGTCTGAGACTAGGTGCTACCAGCTGCAGGTGGGGAACGGAAGTGCTATCACCGACTATCAGCTACTTGTACAATAGTGCCCGCCCCGTGTAGCTTTGAGATAATCAAATCGAGCTAACCACATGCGTTACACAAAACTGTTGGACAGTATTTGAATATCAAACGACCTGTTTTCAAGGTGCCTGTGTTAGTCGGAGGGGCCTGATGCAGCCAAGCATCAATTGGTGTAGCATTTTGTACATGTTTTCCTCTTAGCAACAGTCAGGTATCACACCAGTACATAGTTGATAGCCTCGAGGCTTGATTGCCGTATCGACGGTTGAGTACAGTTACAAGTCACGCTAATTGTTAGAAGGGCCGACTTGAAATCCGCTTACATACAACACTTGTCCAACCGTGATGGACTGTAACATAAACTTTTGACGGTGAACGCAGCGTCACAGCCTAGTCAGAAGTACGTGGGTTGTTCTCTACCACGAAGATGGACGTCTATAATCCTGTCACACAAATTATACGCTGTTTGGCGTACAACAAAAGCTGCTACCGCTGTTTTGAAGATGCGGTAGAGACAAGTTCCGCGATCCACTATCTCGTGCCCAACTCTTGCACCCAGAGAGTGTGATAAGTGAAAGTACAGTTCTGTGTTCAGATATCGACAAGATTACTGCACATGATACTCTACAATATCGTATAATTATGTCGCCGCCCCTGCACGCTCGGGCCATGGTGTGCTCGTCGAGTCTTCCGGACCAGCCGCTCTGTTCATAGCGTGGCAGTTACCGTACTCGCCAGGCAGATGAATTGTAGCGTATGTAGTAGGTATTGTGCAGTAGATATAGCTACACCGCACCGTACCTACAATACTGTCTCTCTATTTGCAAAACTCACTTGTTTTGGCTTCTTCCTAGATCTCCCGGATAACCGAGAGAACCGTCAAATGATAGGCCTGTATTGTACAAGAATCTGTATGCATATCGTTGGCGATCATCATGCATGTCGTATTGTTAGTAATGGATGGCCGCTGTCAGGTGTACCGAGTCGAACTGGCCCGAATGGCAAGGTCTGAGGCGAAGTCAGATGACCCGAGTCGAGGGAGATCGGAGTGGAGTGGAGTGGAGTGGGGTCAAAGTTTGTCTAGTTGGTACGATCACGTGGTATACCCCGCTCGATACCCCATGCCCTTGCCCTTGGTCGGGGAATTGGGGAAAGGAGGCAGGGCAGGACACTAGTAGCATCTCGGTGAGGAACTGGTGGGAAACTCCGGCTTCTGTCATGTGATATGTGGTACTTTGTATATATTTTACTACGGCCAGTACTGCAACGTCTGTTGAATAGCTCGACGATACTTAAAATATCGGACCCAAAACTCGAACACAGCTAGTAATTGTGAGTACTTATCTTGCGGTAGCCCCTCCCGATCACACTAGCATAGGTATATCACGGGACCTGGTAACCCTCTTCGCACATGAAGCCCTCTTAGCGAATGTTGCATCTTTACACCAACGTACATCTCTTTCACGCATCACGACGATCGCAAATATACCGTTTGATGGCATCCATGCGCTTTTCGCTCTCGTTCTCGTCCACAAGCTAGTCCACTGTCATGACTCATGTCGCATGCGTGTCATTCTCGGTTACCTAAGCGATACTGAGGTCGCTTAGTTGCACCCCGCTTCAATACCCACCTTCACAAGATCCATCAATGTATCACTTCATTCACCTACCAATTTTATCGATGTTTTCCTTGCCGTTCTCTCTAACTTCCATGGCGGACATGATAATATCGATAACAGAAAATGGGGTTCCTGAGGCGACTTCAGCCAAAGCAAAGGCATGGTCCAGTACGACATGAGATATGCCAATTGCAGTCTATTCTAACAACTTCAGTGGATGAAAGATGGGATGCTTGAACAAGTATCTTTGCATGTTTCCCTTGATATATTCAGAGGTGCAAGATCGCAGTTATCAAATGTCTCCTCTTTCTTTTCTTGACGCTGGCTATAACGATCAGTCGAGGCGTGGCTGTTCTTGTTGCACAGTAATAACCCTTGAGTATCCACACTGTGCAACTCTCTCTCTCTCTGTGATGCTAGGTACTCTACGACGACAAACCAATTTGCATGCCCCTGACTGCGCTCATCCTACCGCCATCGATCTGTTTCTTTTCTCTCTCGCCAGCTCCGTGTTCCGTGTTAGTTTTTCAACGTCAATTTAACGTATTTATCCAAGATATTAATCTATCCGTAGCTTGACCAGTTTCGCATATGCGCCATTCTCGTCTTGTGCTCCATGATCACACGCCCACCGATCCACACCTTTCCTGTGATTTCCCAGTTCGTTGCTGGTTGATTGGCCAAGAAGCCTTCTTATACCTGCAGGAAGGCCTAAAGGGCATTCGACATGAATAAATATCATGGCCTTTCATATCCGCTACCCTATCATCGCGCACAAGCCTGGTCGTTTCCTTGTCATGCTTTATCAAGCATAGCTTCTCGCCAACGACCACCGGCAATGAGGAGATATAGCCCGGCTCATGAGCCGCGTTCTGTACCGACATAGAAGACCCAAGTTCAATGTTAATATGACGTTGATTCATCTCGATATTCAAACTAGGCCTAATCGGCTCGTGGCTGTACTGCTCCTGGTCATCACCCAAGTATCGCAATATGGGATTGGGAGTCAGTTTCAAGCACTTACCACTCTCTGAGAAGTATATAAGCCTAGGACAGGTCATGCCATGGCCTCTAACACGAAATCTAGCACTCGAACCTCCTACAATTACCACACCTCTCGCCAAAATGAAGTGTGCCACTCTTGTCGCTGTCGCTCTCACAGGCCTAGCTGAGGTTGCACATGCTCATTGTAAGTTGTATGTCGTCTGCTAAGAGCATCCCATACTGACTATCCTTAGACATGTTTCAGTACCTTACAGCGAACGGTGTAAAGGGAGGCTTGTACCAGAACATACGACCCGTCCCAAATAACAGCCCTGTCACTGACCTCAATGACCCCAACTTGCGCTGCAATGTCAACGGCGGAAGTGGAGCATCCACGACCACTGTATCCGTGGCTGCCGGCTCATCTGTCTCGTTCACCGCAGACCAGGCCGTATACCACCAGGGCCCAGTTGCATTCTACATGCAGAAGGCCGCCACCACTGCCGCAGCCTCAGATGGATCGGGCGACTGGTTCAAGATCAAGGAAATTGGTCCCACATTCACCAACGGACAAGCCACATGGGACATGAGCAGTACGTAGACGGACACGCTGCTTCCGGCCACCACTGACATAATCCTAGTAACCTACTCCGTCACAATCCCCTCCCAGGTGCCTGCCGGAGAATATCTCCTTCGCATCGAGCAGCTCGGTATCCACAACCCGGGCAGTACACCCCAGTTCTACATCTCCTGCGCTCAGATCAAAGTCACTGGCGGCGGTAGTGGCAATCCATCCCCTACCACCAAGATCCCAGGACATGTCAAGTCGACCGATCCCGGCTACACGGCCAACATCTACAACAACTTCAAGTCCTACATTGTTCCAGGCCCCAAGGTCGCAACCTATTGAAGAAATATAAGGATTTAACTCTTCGTTGGAGCGACCGTTGATGTTGTCTCTCCTGTCTGACTATAGATATCCAAATGCATATTAACATCTTAGTAAATTACCTCATCTCACTCTCTTTCCCACAAACCTTCGTCACATGTCTAGAGCACTTAATACAGCATAACGCAGTGACTTGACTCATTCCACATAATATCAAAGCCCTTCTACCACTCTACCCAACAACTAACAAGACAATCACATAAACTCACCTACCCCCGCAACGTCTTCCATAAACACCACCCTTATACCCACTCCTGAACTCTTCATCCCTCAGCTAAACACCAGAAGTGCTTACAACCGCCCATGCACAGCCATAAGGCCCCGACAGGTCTCGCTGCGCAAACGATGAACGACTGCCACGCACCACCCCACCCCCATTCGCAAACACAAACTACGCGCAACCCCAGGAACGAGTACACTGGCACGCAAAACCATGCTAATTTCTTGAGAAGAGAGGAGCCTGGGAAGTATACTATATTGTATTGCCCGCGAGATGGTTTTGGCGACGGTGAATTTCGATTGGGGTGGATGTGTTGGCTCGCTTCGAAGCTGGGGGGCTTCACACTGACTGACTGACTGACTGACTGACTGACTGTCTGCGGACAACGGGCGTTCTTGTGTTCAAGGACAACGCTTGTACTGTGATGAGTATTCTGTTGTTGTTCGCTTGAGATAAGGTTCATCATTCAACAACAAATGCTTCACGCAATGCGGGATAGTGTCACGTATACAAAGTCTGGCATTTTCTTTTTTTGCTTATAAAGAGCACATTGTTCTTGCTCGTCAGCTCATCCCTATCCCTTGTCCCCCCAGCTTCTTCAATCGTTTCAGAAAAAACGATACTGAGCTCTAACCTCTACACATCGCCCCCCTCCTGTTCATCCTCCCATATCCACACGCCTTGCCAACCTTCCCTTACCTTACACCCCCCCCCCCTCCTCCCAAACGCCCCATGTCCGGCCCTCCCCTCGGCCAACCCTGGAAGGGAAACGTCGGCGACAACCCCAACATAAACCGCGACCCTCCACCCCCTCCCATCAACGCCGCCCCCGCTCCTCCCGCCGCCGCCCCCAACAACCCCCAAATCGTGCACGAACAACACCAGCCGCCCATCTACGGGCCCCCAGTCCCCATTGGCATCGGCGGCCCCGCCCTAGGCATAGGTGCGTTTCCGCCCTTCTTCCCCGCACCCCTGGGTCTCGGTATGGACCCGATGCTCACGGGCATGATGATGGGCAACGCACCGCTTGCGCCCATCCGCGCTGGCAACTTTCTCCCAGGCGCTCACCACGGTATAGGGTTTGGGGTTCACGGCGAGGCGGGAATGCCGTTTCCGCCGCCGCCGCCGGGGGTGGTGGCGGGGGCTGTACCGGCTTTTGCACCGGCGTTGCCGTTGTGGGCGGCGGGTGGGGGGTTGGGGTTTGGGAATGTGCCGGCGGGTGTTGGGGTGCTGCCTGGGGTGGGAATGGGGATGGGGATGATGGGGATGGGGATGGGGATGGGGATGGGTGGTGCCTCGATGCATAATCGACCCGCGCCCATGTTTCACGATGGGAATCTGGGGTTCCCCGTGCAGCCTGAGCAAGGCGATCCCACGCAGATTGCAGGTGGGATTCCACCGGGCGTGACTCTGGTGGAGTCTGCCGAGCACAGCATTGTCATCTTCATCAAGGGGAACGTGTGTCCTTGGTTGTCGCCTGGTGCGCAGTTCCAGGTCGAGCCCATGGCGTTTGGGAGTTCGACTGGGTTGAATCGCGTGATTCAGGTGCTGAATAACAATGCGGCGCCGGATGAATGCGAGAATATGGCGATTACAGAATGTATTGAGTTGGGCAATGGGTTCTTTGAGAAGGGCCAGACGTTCAAGTATAATGATGCGGTGTCGAGAGTGCTGACCATGAAAGATGCTGGGTGGGACAATAAGCGGAATAGGGCTGGGGGTAATAGTTTGCATCTTTGGTTACATAGGATTTGATTAGGCAGTGTGTGCGTGCTTTCCTTCATTCTGCTGTTTCTTCCAATCGGTTCTTTTAGTGCCTTGGTTGGCTATGATCGTGGGGTCATATCCACCAGATAATAGAGCTCTCTCATGTACATCATTGTTGTAATTGAACAATGCATCCTTACATCGGATCAACAATGTGAGATATTGAATGACGGTGATGCGAAACAGGAAAGATCCATATGAAAAAAGGGTAGCCTGGTATTTATTAGCCCACTTCGAAAAAAAATCGTTATCTACAGTCAAGTGATATGACTTCAGACACAGCCAATTCACTTGTTACAAGACGACGCAGCAAAGGCTTGACCAGATCGTGTCCTCCCCATATATTCTCACAATACAAATCGATGATTGAACATACCAGAGACAGAAAATTGATTCATACGCTCTGTCCAGTTCCCGTCGATTGCGGCGTATACACATCCTTCTTTCCGCCCCCTACTTTCCCCCACAATCTCCCTAGCCACCTCTCTTTGACGATTTTCAACACAACATAGGCCAGGAACCTGTAAGCTATTGCGCATATACCGAGTGCCATAAGACTCAATTCAGGGTCCTTGTTCAGTTTGTAGAGATCAAGAACTTGCTCTCCCCTTGTAATTGGGCAGGAGCCGTTGATCTTCTGCCATTCCTCACAGGTAAAGTGCAAGCCGCGCAAAGTATACGGCGCCATATTGGCTACGCCCCATTTAACGGGGCTAAGATGATTCCATGCTATTCGCTCGGTCAGCCACTGGAATTGCGTGCAAGGGGATATGCTTACCTTGCAAGAAATCTGGAATCTGCAGTGACAAAACACCACTCATGACCTGAGCAATGCTGAGGAAAACCGACATGAGGTTGACCGAGAAACCTGAGTGTGAGACGAGAGTGTTGAATGCGATACCAAGACTTTCACCACAACTCGTGATACAGAACGCATTGAAGGTGATGATGAAGAAAGTCTCCGCGTTGCGTTCTAAGCCGCATGCCATAACTGCCAACACTGCGAAGATAAGGCAGCCGATGATTTCAAAAGGTGTTGTAATGGAGATATAGGTGAGGAAGAAAGCCTCTACACCGTAAATACGATCATCATAGTCGCGATAGAAGACGTCTCGCTCGGTTGGATAGATGGCAATATTATTGAGCACTGCTGCTAATTAGAACGTTTCTTTTACGTGTGTATGTGATGGCTGTACTTACTACCTACAAAATATAGGGGAGCGATCTCAACAATAAATCCCATGCGATTTTGGACGGCGAAATAGTCGCTCTTAAGCGGCGCAAAGTAAAGAGCAAGTATTATACCAAGTCCCACGACCTGCATGGCTCGTGCAATGAGTATTTCTGGTTGTCGAAACATGTTCTTTGTAGCACGGCGAATGAGGATCGAGTACGCCGACACAAAAGAGGAAGGCTTCCTCGCAAGTGATCCTAGTTCAGCGGGCGTAGTTATCGAGCCAACGCGTATAGCAACAAACTTGTCCGCGGTCCAAGAATCTATCAACTTTCGCACTTTGGCTCTGCTTTCAGCCTCTCTTGTCGCATGCTGTAGGTCGACGGTTATCAGGTCAAGGGCAAAGTCCGCAGGATTGACGTGTCGCGGGCATTCGTAGCCTTGTGCGGCAAAGTAGGGCAACATGTTTTGTGCACTTCCAGCATAGATCGGGTAGCCACCACGAGCGAGAAGTAGTATGTTTCCAAATCCACCAAAGAGAGAACTGCGTGGTTGGTGAATTGTCAAAATGAGCGTACGTCCCTCATTGGCCAAGCCGTGAAGTACATCCATAATGGATGATGCAGTAAATGCATCAAGACCAGAGAGCGGCTCGTCGAGTAACAATACTCGTGGCTCAGTCAGAATTTGAACAGCGATAGTTACTCGTCGTTTCTCCCCACCACTGATACCCTTGATGAGATCGTTTCCAATAAGATTGTCTGCACAGTCCTTAAGACCCATCTTTAGCAGTATTTCCTCAGCTCTGTGCTCCTTCTGCTCCTTCGACATCCATGACGGCAGGCGGAGACCAGCTGCATATCGCAGGGTTTCACGAACAGTCAAGGATGCTAGAAGTGCGTCGTCGTCCTGGGTGACGAATGCACATATGGAGTGCACAACGTCTTGAGAGGGATCGAGGCCATTAAAGGTCATATTGCCGTACTGTAAGTACTTTGTGGACATGTCATTTTTTAGTCTTCCAGCCATGCTATTGAGTAGCGAGGTTTTCCCTGATCCAGAAGGACCCATGATAACGTTCAAGGAACCAGGCTGAAATTGCGTCGTTAGTGGCCTGAGGATCTCCTTTGTCCACCGATTGCGTAGTGAGCGCTTCTCAATATCCAATCCATAGCCATCGAGGCCTATGGTGATGGTTCGCACTTCCTCAGGAGATCTATTACTCATCTCCTCCTTACCAGCGGAGGCGTCCCTATTCGAGTTCGATGGCCTTGCGCGCGCCATGGCAATTTCGGCTCGCCAAAACTTGAGTAGAACACCTGCGCCGATGTAAAAAGCCAGAAGAAAGCCTACCAACGCGAGGATCGGTCTCCATACCCAGTCATTTGGAAGGCCGAGCGAATCCATGATGAAATCCCCAGTGTATTCCTTGCAGGCCGGGTTGGACGGTCCACCTTCCAGTGGGCAGTCGTAGAAGGCACCAGTAAACTCGTTCGCACATAAAGCCCCAAAGGCGTAGAACACATAGGCTATCCACTTGGTCCATCTCACGTACACTGGAATGGTATTGGACTGGATGAAGTAGCCACAGGCCATGGACTGTAGCGTATATGCAAGATTTGCGACCAAGCTGGCCCCTGCAAAGTGTCTCGAGCACGCAACGCACACCATAGCAAAGCATACAGCAATGTATTGCTGCAAAAGGATGACGGAAAAGAATGTGAAAAATTGAGCTGTCTCAGGTCGAAAGCCACAGAAGAAGTAATAGACGAGGGTGAACAGTAAAGGCACTGGGATGTCTTCAATCAAGACCCGCGCAAGCCTCCTTGAGATTAGAAAGGCGGGTATGCTGACAACACCTTGTCGTGCTTCCTCATCGAATAATTGTATGTCTGTCGTGAGTCGGTAGGTTTCGAAAAGGAGTATGAGATAGCCCTGGAGAGCTGCCGCATTGTAAAGTGCACCCTGCCGAGATCGAATGCCTGAGAGCGACCCATCCAGCTGTAGGAAGATCCAGCCTGTGATGATAGCCATACTGACAGCTTCAAGCAGACTGCCAAACATGCCCATAGGGTCCCTGATGGTGACTTTCCACGTTCTTGCTGTGAGCACTCGTGTTTGTTGGACAAAAGACGTGCATTTCATTGATGATCTTGAGTCCATTGCGTTACTAGAAGCAGGATTCCCTGCCGGTTCACCCTGGGGACCTATTGCTCCTGACTCCGCACCTTTCTCATGTGAAGGTATACAGTCGTGTCTCTTCCAGGCTTCAACAATGCGATCAACACGTTGCCTAGAGACTTGTTCCGCTTCCTCATTTCGGTTATCCACACTGACGACGTCGATTAGATATTCAGCAGGATTCGTGAATGGTGGCATCTCGTATCCCAGTTCGGCGAAGTATGACAGGCAACCCTCGGTTTTACCGGTGTAGGCGGGGCAACCTTTTGTCAGTAGTATCACGTTGTCAAACATCTCCCATATCTCGGATCTGGGCGTGTGAAGCGTGACTATGATGGTCCTGCCTTTTCTTGCCAAGTTTTGTAATGTTTTGATGACCTGGGACGCGCTGGTTGCGTCCAGGCCAGTAGTGGGCTCATCAAGCCAAAGCAAGCTTGGATTGGACAACAATTGGACCCCAATACTTGTTCGTCTCTTTTCTCCTCCGCTGCATCCTTTGTGTGCATGGTTGCCAATGCGAGTATCAGCAGCTTCCTTGAGACCAAGCTCCAGGATGACCTCTTCCACAAGCTGCATGCGTTCGCTCTCGCCAATAGTAGAGGGCAGACGCAACTGTGCGGCGTACTTCAAAGTCTCTCGCACTGTCAGAGTTGGCAAGAGAATGTCTTGCTGTATGACATATGCGCTTCGAACATGTGAGACATCTGTGCTGCCATTGAAGAGCGTTTTGCCAGAAATTGCCAGCCGTTTCCCTTGCAAGCGCCCACTCATCTGATTGAGCAGAGACGTCTTCCCACTTCCACTGCCACCTATGATGGCTGTCAGGGATCCGGGTGGCATATTGGCCGACACATCATCCAGTATTGTCTTGACATGGCTTTGGTTTGGGGGCTGTTTTTGCTTGGCAAATAATTTTGACAATGCGTTTGGTGATTCATCGACAGAGACTGAAAGGTGTTCCAGGCGAACTGAGACGGGATCTAATTCTCGCAAAGAAATGCTGTTCTCATTCACGGCTGATGCTGTGGCCGCGATGCGATGGCTTAAGCCATCCGTTAATGGTGTGGGAGGGTGGGGTTCGGTGTCCTTCGGCGCTGACGGAGCATCTTTGTCCGAAAGCGGTATCTCGCCACGCTCTATAGCCATGGATACTGCATGGCCTTGCTCCGGTGGCAGCATCGTGTCGTGTCACACAGGAACTAAAAGCATCGTGAACAGATGGAGAGAGAAGGAGGAGAGAGAAAGAGACGAGGGCGCAAATACGCCTCAGCTCTGCCGCCATCGTCGAAGGTCATTCATTGAACGGGGTTCAAGCGCCATATGGTATTGCTGCTGGACAAGGCGGCGTTAGAGCTCGCTTGCAGGCTCGCTTACGAGCTCGCTTAGACAGACGCCGGCCACTAGGCTGGATTGAGGGCTGGAAGCTCGTCTGGGAAGTTTCGCAATGATAAAAGTGCATGGTGTTAACCTGTTCAAAAACGTCGGACTAATCAACATATGGTATCTAATGCGTCGGTGTTGTTGCTCACATATGATTCAAGCTTGAGGGGGTTGTGTGTCGCAGTAGGATTGTGTACACCATCTACACACATGTTGTGTCTCGGCTAGGTAGAAGTACCATGATTTGTATGTTCGGAGGTTTGAAGGGAAGGCGCTACCGAGCCACGGAGAGTTAGACTCAATTAGTGCATAACCCCACGAGAGTTAGACTCAATTAGTGCATAACCCCACTCCTGATTTCATGCTCGTAGCCAATCACGGCGCCCCACGGAAGCTGTCCAACCTCCATTTGTCCATCCATGTGAATATCAACCTCGCTTGACGTTCTTGACCTTCGTGTATAAAGCACCGAGGAAGTGAGTTGTGACAAGGATAGGCGGTAAATCTCTGGGTCAAGTCTATGATCTATCCATACACTTCTCTGCCACAAGTGTCAGTGTAACCTATTTGACATCAATTCTTTTTCCAGAACATTCAAGGACACAAGATAGTATGACTGACATCAAGGTTGATTAAGAGACTCTGCTCGTGCAACCGGATACAGTATAATGAATCTGCCAAATACCTTCTTGACCAACAGTTTATTGCCTGCCTTTACCAGTCTACACCTTGGCCTAGTGAACAACTGTCAGCAATCATAATCAACGCCAACCTTACAGCTCTATTTGATATGGGAATGAAACAAAGAAAAAGAGTGTCTATGATTTAATCAACCAATTCATTTCAAATCACACAACCAACAAAGTCTTCACCAGAGATCAGGGACGTCTCAGCCATCAGATAGGTTCTGGCGGATTGATGTAGTTGCAAATGAAATACCCTTTATCAGATACTTTCCCTGGCAATAGTCCATCCTTTCCTTTTTAGTTCTTGCAACACTTTTCGAAGCGTGCGCCCTGATTGTACCAGACTAGGTGATAATGTAACACAGGAGCAGCATAAATATCTAGAAGGATCGATACAGGAGATACCGATTCTGTAGCCTATACAAATCTCTATCGTGACCCATACAGTCTTACAGCACTGAACGCAGGGGATACAGCAAATTCACCCAGCAAATTTACATTTTACATTACTATATTATTCTCTAAATCATCCTCTTCATATATTCTCAAATGCTACCGTCTCTCCATGCTTATTCATACAGCATGTTACATAAATACTTCTAATCTAATGGCTTTTACGTTTACGATCATGGAAATGAAGAGCACGTATTCAAGACGGGACCATCGCTTGAAGTTGCAAAGATATCTCAAGTAGGAGGAGTCATCTAGGCGCATAGTATAGACGCCTCACAAACAGTCTCATGTCTTTGATAAAGTAAAGCACGCGATCAAATTATCATAACCTCTAACAGTCTTTTTGGAATAGTCTCCTTGTTCCTGAGGTCTAAAGATCGGTCGTATGTTTGACTGAGGTACCTGTCAAGAGTGCAAAGAGATGCAGAATGCCTGTAACCAAAGACGGGCATTGCACTAGGCGCAAATAGGCACTTAGAGGGGAGGAGGAGTGGTGTTATGGCGGACATAGTAGGTGCAGAGGCTGAAAATTGGGTTTTGTCCAATGTCCTCACATTTTCCACACAGTTAGATGCGTTATACCCTCCTAACACATCTCCATTCCACGATATGTTCGAGTCTCCCCGTTTTGGCCCCGGCCAAAATTATGAATTGACTACAGTTAAACCTCAAATCACAGTGACCAACACAAAGAGACTCCATGTATATGTATCTCAATTAAAACCTACTGATACAAATCCTCACTAACCAGTCTTCGATCCCCGCCAGTGGAGATAAGTCAACATGAGACGATCGCGTGGCTCCTTACCGTGATTAATGTCCCAAACCCAAAGAAGAGCCTGTACTTCACAGATACTGCGCGCTTTTCCGGCTGCTTAGTCTGCTGGAAAAGCACTGTATTCTGACAATGAACTGGTAGCCTTCAATCAACAAGTACATGTCATTGTGTCGCTGAACACACCACAGAAGAACCACAGGGCAGCAACATGAGCCGTCATCAGCCCAATGTTGTATCTAATACGAAGCCGCGAGCGGATCAAGCGTCCCACATGGAGTACTCTTTACCTAACACAATAAACTTCAGCAGATAATACAACGGGGTGACGTGTCTCAAGGTGGGTGAGTTATCATTGTCATCGCCACCTCAGACCGGATTGAGTAAACACCCAACACCACGTACATCATGAGCTACCCATGCCACCACATCACCACACTCTACCGGTACCTGCTATTCCACCAACATCCAAGAAATCCGCGCCACATGGTCCTGCAATCATTCGTATTCGGCCCTCACAGCCACCACGAGTACTAGGCAGAAGCCAACACTTCGATACAACACGCAACACTGCTGTCGTAAGTTGCTCTTGGTCCACGTCACTCCGGCTCTCATGCATGACATGTTGAAAGGATTGCGGCCCCATTGCTGTGCCGTTGTTGGCGGGCGGCCTTACCCCAGGTATGTTATGCTTTAGCGAGATGGGAAAAGTAACCCCCATTTGCTCCAAGGTATGAGTTGGCTTCAGGCATCTGGGAGAGAGTATTCGCCGACTTGGAGAAATCCTGCCGTTCCGCGTTCTCCTAGCAAGTTACAAGGCGGTCCTGTGAGTTCCGAGAAATCCGGCGGAGAAGATTTGATGAATATTGGTGTCCGGGAAGGATGGGGGATGGTGTTGGATTGGATTGGATCATTGGGTCATTGGATCGCGTGGTCATGGTTCTACCTAGTTTTCTGATGTCTTGGTGGTTTCGCTACAGGTTGCTTTGAATGCCACACTCGTGGATTCCGATTCCTTTGATTCAAATAAACTACATGCTGTTCATTCTCACGTCACTGAGAAGATGCCATTGTGGTTGCAAAGTCTACTCACGGTGTGTTGCATGCAGATGTATAACATGCGCATATATGTCGGAGTCACAACTAAAATCATCAATAGACATGGTCAGTTGGGTACTACCGCTCCCGTTCTCCACAGGCGTTCAGGATGGATGATGCGCCCTCCACCCATCCATCACGATGCGCGTTCCCCTGCATAGAGTCTGTGGAAACATGAATAATATCCTATATCCTAACTCCCCCCCCCTTGTGATGAACCATTCTCGCGGATCATAAGTCGGCACGGAGTATCAGGTTTCCATCGTATATCAAAGAGTTATTTAGGTGCGGGATTCGGCATCTTCTGCGCTGGCTTCCTCCTTGATGGATCAACCTCGGGCGGCAAGCCGCAAACCATCTTGTTCCGTACCCACTTGATTGTACAAGTCCCCATAGCGGCTCGGGCCCGTTCCCTGTTGTAGCGTCGGCGTACCCCGAATTTCTCAAGCAAGAAAAAACAGTTAGCCTCCACAATTGGCCAGGAAATGCCTCCCGGATGTTTTATTTCTTCCTCAGGGGTTGGCTGGGCCAATCACAATTTCACGTCATGCGTGGTGACGACATGATCTGAAGGCCGGTTCATCGACCCGAGGTTCTGCCTTGTTTGGAATCTGGATGCGGTTTCAGAGCCTGGACAGTGGGGGACCTTGGGGATCCGTCTCACACGAATCGGGCCTTTTATTCAAGTGGGACGAGCGGGAGAGAGCACGGCCGGCTATCGAGTGATCATGCATTGTTGATGTGCACATGGACTGGGCACCTGGCACACACCTCTCAGAAGCCGAGAGGAAAGCGGCATCGAAAGCCGAGTTTGTGATGTAGCAAAGCACAGTGAGGGTTATTGGCAGGCAGATGATTCGAAAGGGAAACTTGGAAGTTGTGGGAGAGGTGATAGTCTGACATGGACAATGCCGCCACTATCACACAAGATGGTGTCGCCTTGGTAAGCCCGAGTAAACAATTGGGCGTGCACTGTGCAGCAGAGAAAAGGCGGCACATTGTGGCTGACCTCTGACGGTGCGGCAACACGTGGTGGCATGTCATATGACCATGGGTTTAGCGTCGGGCGACTTGGGCTTTACTCCAAGTGGTTAGAATATCCCTGTAGGTTCAAGTCCACGTTATAGCAGCAAATTTTTATAGTTATATAAACTAGCCTATAGTTAAGTATAAATTAGGATAATTTAAGTAAGTAAACGTAGTTTTTATTACTATCTTTTTTAAATATATTCTAAACCTATTCTTAATAATATATAGGCGTTCCTAAATACTATACTAGAGTTTAGTATAGTAGTACTAGATAATATATCTAAACTAGATAGTAATATTAGAGATAAATTTAGGTAACTATATAAAGTACTAGAGGAGGATAGTAGTAGTAGTATTAAGGAAGTAAGTGAAAGTAAATAGAATAAGTTTAGAATAGGTTAGTAATATATTATAGGGGTATAATATATACCTTACTTATAGTAATAGTTAAGGACTACTACTTATACTAGTAATTATTAAGTATATAGCTATTCTCCTAGTATACCCTTAATTATATAGCTAAGAGTATAGGTATATAATACTAGTTTAGTAATATAAAGATAGCTCTTACCTAATAAGAGAAGAGGTGCTTATATAGGCTATATAGGTAACACGTTAAGAACACGTTCTTAAATTATTCTAATTCTAGCAGGTATAATACTCCTACTAGTCTATCTATCTTAATAGGCCTATAACTTTACTATTCTTTAATAGCTAGCTAGTAAGCTAGTATAAATACTAATACTCTAGGGTAAAAGCGTGTAAGTATCTTAAGAATACATTATAAACATGTTCTTATTATATTATTAATAACGCATTATATAATTAGATCTAAACCTTAAAAAGTATAGTACCTAAGAAAATTCTATAAAGAGAACTATAAATAAGAAGCTATTATTATAGCCTTATTAAGCGCTTCTCTTTAAGGATTTATAAGGACTACTAGGTGTCTTATTATCCTATAATAAGGACTATAGTAAATTAGGTAGGGAGTAAAACTTAAATATATTTAAAACGTGTTAATAATAAGTTAGTAAATTATAGAATAGGCTTAACTATATATTAGCTATTAGAACTATAGCCTAATATCTACTACTAGGAAAAAATATTATTTTAGTTAGGTACTACTAGAGGTAGACTCTATATATCTATAAGGTCTTCTAACTAGAGAGATATTAAATCTTTCTAGTAGTCCTGCTTTATATTCTATAGTTAAGCTATAGTTAAGCTAGATAAAGAAGTGTGGTAGGTATATTGTAACCTATTCCTAACACGTTCCTAACATATTCTAGGCGTTAATTATCTATAAGGGCAAGGATCTCTATTTAAAATCCTATATAAAGTTACCTTTTAAGTAATTATACTAATAGATATAGTAGTAATACCTTTTTTTACTATTATTTCTTTTAGTATATATATATATATACCTCCTCCTCCCTTAATACTATCTAATAGTAATATTAAGGAAGTAGTAAAGGTGTTATAGCCTATGCTTACTCTATAGCTTATATAATATAAGTTATTTATAACCTATTATAAATATATTCCTAACTTATTATAGCCTAGTTCCTAAACTTAACCTAGCTCTAAACCTATCTCTAACTTAAAGGTTTCTATTCTATTAAAGAAATATATATTAGCTTTACAAATAAAGATAAAATCTTGCGTATTATAAAGTATAAAAAGCTTCTATAGTTCCTATTTAAGAGTAGCCTTAAAGGAGTATACTATAAGTAGAGGATAAAGTATTAGGATCCTAAAACTATATATAGTATAAGAGAACAGGTTTAGAATATATTACTAATATATTACTATAGGCGTATATATAGCAAATCTTTATATTAAGCTTAGATAACTTAATTATTTACCTTTTTAAAGAGTAGGTATTAATTCTATTAGATTAAGATATATTCTAGATAGATATATTATATAAGAGGTTATATAGGGTATAGGTAGAGATTCTAATAGTAATCTTCTACCTATAGGAAAAGAAGCGTACGTATTAAGAATAGGTTTATAACATGTTTCTAATATATTATAGTTATTACACTTAGCTAAATTATTATAGATAAGGATATAACTAAGATATATTAAGTTACTATTACTAACTTCTTTTAGAAGTGTAAAGCACTTATAAAAAGATAAGTGTTATAGAGGTATATTTACTTATAGGGATTCTATAGGACTACTATTAATATATATAACAAGTAGATAATAGGTAAGTTTTATAGCGCACTGTAACCTATTTATAATATGTTTCTAACTTATTTCTAGGACTTAGGCGCTATCTCTAGTTAATTAATCCCTATAAGCGTAACTAGCGCTAGCAACTTTAATCTTATATAAGATTTTATTAAGTATATCTATAAAGAAGTATTTATAAAGTATATAAAAGAGAGCTAGATAATACTACCTCTTTATATCTAAGTAAATTACTATAGGTATTAATAGTAGAGGAATACTTTTAGCTTGCTAACCTCCTCTTACGTAAGTAAATATATTCTAAACCTATTCTAAACGTGTTCCTAACTTATTCTTATATAATTAGAACACAAACCCTCTAAAGATACCTAAAACTAGGCAATCTATAAGAAAAACCTAGTAATTGCTACTAGGATTATGCAATACTATAGTAAAATATTAAAAGAGGTATAGGAAAAACTAGAATCTTATTTAAATATAGCTAAGCAAGCAGGCTAGAAAGAATATAAAACTAGTAAGCATATAAGTATTCTTAAGGCTACTTAGAAGTAAGTTTATAACCTATTCTTAACCTATTAGAATTATATAAGTAATATTATATAGTATATACTAGATAGATCTATAGGATATAAAAGAGTTTAAAGCCTAGAGTAAGTTTAGAATACGCTATAACTATAGAACTCCTAATAGGCTTAAGCAAAGGTACCTTAAAAAGCTTTAGAGGGGAGAAAGTAAGTCTTATACTAGTGTTATATATATTTACTAATTAAAATATATTTAGAATATATTTAGAACACGTCCTATAATAATAATAACACTCTAGATAATAATAAAGCAAGTCTTGCTATATCTAACTTAACTAGATATATCTTAGTCCTAATAAGAAATAAAAGAGTACGCTTAAAAGCCTAAAGCTAGAGGGCAAGTAGTAGAGTAGTATTAGAAAGAAGTTTACTAGCCCCTTTTCTATCTTCTCTACTACTAGGCTCTTCTTCTTTACTAATAGTAACTTAAAGGTATGCTTTATAAAACACGTTTATAACACGTTCCTAACTTATTATTAGTCTATAACTATAAACTTTATAATAAAAGGCTCTTCTTAGTAATTAGGCTCTAAAGGAGAGAAAAGAAAAGCTAGAGGTAGATAAGGAAGAACTTATATAGAAAAAGGCACTATTTAAATTATAAAAGGTATAGTTTAAACTTAAGAAAGAGATAGCTACTTTTTATATAAGGTAGGGTTAGTCTATAAATATAGTAACTTGTTCCTAACTAGTTCTTAATATATTCTAGTCTATTATATAAGTATATATAAGTAGATAAATATATATTCTTTCTTCTTCTCTTTCTTCTTCTTTCTTCTTATACTCTATAAGAACTTTTTATATTTAAGAGTTTAATACTATTTTACTATCTATCTTTCCTAATATTATTAGATATAACTAGTTAATATAGTCTATAAAGATCTTTTAAAGTTAGTATATAATAGAATATATTAGGAATATATTATAAACTTGTTCTAATACTAAGTAGGATTTATACTAGTAATATATTAAGCTTAAGTCACTTCTATCTAATACTAGGGTATTCTCTCCTATAATATTCTACCTAAATAAAGGGTGTATAGTATTTCCTAGATCAATGCTTTAGTCAATGACTAGGCTATTTAGGCTAGATTAGGGGTATAGGAACTTTATAGAGTATATATATATACAAGTTAGAATATATTTATAATATATTAATAACTATTTTAGTATTACTTCTCTAATAGAGGCAATCTTATCTACTACCTTAAGAGGTATTATCCTAAGGTTTAAATAGCCCTAGTAAACTATAGCAGAATTATAATATAAGGTATTATAGAAGTAAGGATCTTCTATAGGAGCTTAATAGTAAATACTTAAGAACGTGTTCTAAACACGTTAATAATACGTTCTCTACTAGTAAAGTAGACTATACTAAGTGCCTCCTCTAAGGTTTAAGAACCCTTTAAGATAGCTAGTCTATAATAAGAAGTAGTAGCTAGAGTAGAGGCTAAAGAGGAAGTAGAGAGTAAAGAAGAGGAGTAAATAGTTACTCCCCTTTATACTATAAATAATATTTAGCAAAAGTAGTAAAAAGGAGATATAAGTCTAGTCTCTTAAAATATATTTAGAATATATTAATAATATATTATAGCTAGATACCTATAAATACTAGATTCTTCTTTAATCTAAGGGACTACTAGAGCTTTATAATACCTATAAAAGTAAAAAGAAAAAGTTATATACTATTAAAGGACCTTATAAAAATAAATAGTACTTTACTTTTAGTAGATAGAAAAAAAAAAGAGAAGAGTAGAGAGTTTATTTTAGTAATTACTACTACCCCTTTAGGTTATATACTATTATATATTATTTATTAGAACCTATTCTTAATATATTCTTAATATATTCCTACTTGTTACTATTATTATCTCCCTCCCCCTCTCTAGTATCTTCTCTATCCTCCCTATCCTCCCTAGGCTCTATAAAAGCATACCACAAGTGGAACTAGGTAGTATTCTAGCAGGAATTAGTAAGGTCTACACTAGTATTAAAGTAATAGTCTTAAAATATATTAGGAATAGGTTAATAATATATTATAAATAACTTACTATAGCTAGGATAATTATAAGTATAGATAGTATAAGGAACCTAATAACCTTAAATCCTTAGTAGGGTAGATATAGTAATAAAGTTAAGCTATAACAAGTTAGTAACGTGTTTTTAATAGGTTCTTATAGGCTATACCTTATTACTATTATAGCTAGTATAAGTCTTCTTCTAAATTATATTTAGGAGGGTATTAGTATTTATAAAGGGGCCTATAGTAGCTACTAGCTAGGCTTAGAGAACTTTTATAAAATAAGTTAGTAATAAGTTTTAAATATATTCTAAATAACTTATAGTAAAGAGTGTTCTAGTAATTATATATAACCTTTATATAAAAGTCTATATATATTAGTATAATAAGTTAAGAATAGGTTAATAATATATTTACTCTTTGCCTTATAAACCTCCTTTATAGAGGGCTAGCTAGTTTTCTTAACCTTACTAACCTTATAGTAGGCTATATTAAGCCTATAATCTTTTTTAGTATAGGTATATAGAGTGCCCCTAGTACCTAGAATAGCCTAAGAATATTAGAACCTATTTAGAATATATTTAGAACCTATTCTTACTCTATATAAGGTGCCCTTATTATTAATCTTAGTATAGTAGTAGCGCTCTCTACTCTCTATCTTAACTACCCTATTAGGGCTAACTATAGGCTATACCCTAATATTATCTAGGATATAGCTAAGGGTAAGGTACTATTAATAGTGCTTCTATAACCTATTAAGAATATATTCTAAATATATTTTAATCTACTTACGTAGGATATAAGGGATGCGTTAGTAATAAGTATAGTAGTAGTAGCTTATAGTATTACTAGTATAGAATATATTTAGAATAGGTTTAGAATATATTATAAAATCTTATAGTATAATATTTAGTTAACCTTGCTTAGCTAGCTAGTAAAGCTTGGCACAGCCTAACCCTATACTAAATACAAGTTCACGCAGCGCTAATTCTATAGTTATATGAACTGCGCCCTCCGGCAACACCATTCACGGCCTTGCCATGTGGCCTCAGATGCCACGATGAACCATGCCTGGTAATACTTTTTTTGCGGCTCAAGATGCCCAAGGTTTCCATGTAGGTATCCACCAGCCGCCAGATTCGTCATGTACCCTGTTGCTCCATTACCTGGCTTTTGCAACCACACAGTTTACCTGCCTACCAATGTGACAGTCATGTTCTGGCAGCTCGCTTACACGAAGCCTGTAATATGTGCAGTTTGCTGACATGCTCGTTTGCGGTTTGCATTTGCATCAGCTGCAGCCTAACATTCATCTGACTGTTCTTCGCATGGAGAATCAATCACGTTCATCACCAAGGCCGCTTGGAATAAAGGAGGGCTTGCATGCGCCAATGGGCCCATTGCTTGGCCAAGATGCATTTCAAAAAATCATGGGAGGTGGATGATTTTGGTCGATGAATGGGGCTGGGGCTTACGTCGGCATCGGTGTGAGGAACTTTTACGAACGAGCGACGTACCGAATGTACCTACATATGGTGTGGCCCATTGACGGGCAGACCTTGCGTAGCACTCTCCACATTCTGAGCTGGTGTTATGACTTGCATGGAGGAGCGTTGCGGATTTCGAGTTCCACAGACATTGTAATGCAGGTGCAGTACATGGTATGCAGGCACCGCGACACATGCCAAGAGTTGTGAATGATCGGGTAACAACACTCGTCAAGATGGGTGAACGGTGCACGCACCGATTCGGCTGAAGGGTTCATGCACCTCTTCTTTTTCCAGAATATGCAATTCGGACACATATGCGTAAGTCAGATATACTCTGTCGCGAGTCATTGAGTATGCAGCCTTCGCGGGAACAACGCGGTTTAAGAACGGGGCGAAAGATCGAGGCCTATGACCTTGCGAATGCTGCTGCCTTGGAAACTTGCTTGCCTATCGGGCCATCCGGGATTACTGTGTCTGGAGGATCACAGGATGAGGATTGAGGTCTTGGTCTCGCCGGTCTTGGTCCTGGAAGCTAAGTTTAGTCTTGTTTATCTTGGGTACATGCCGCACTGGACACCATGCGATGGCTCGCATAGTATGATGTCAAAGTCTCTTGCGAGCGTGACTGTTCCATAGGATCATCATCGATGCCTGTCATATTGTCCGGCAAAAGCTGGAGTCAGTTCATGCCTGGGTACCACCACATTATGACTTGAATCCCAGGTACCAATGTACCCAACTACCTATCAGGCTATATGTGCCCTGGTGTCGGTACACAACACCCACCCTACGGCGTGGGGGTCTCCGCTTTCCAAGACCGAGAAAAGGCCCGAGATCGAGAATCTCCAAGCATGAGTTCTCGATGCCTTGCATCCATGGATATTGAGGTCACCACTGCGCGACGCAGGAAGGTGTTCCGAAGACTTCAGGCCGGCCAGTCTAAATGCAAGCGTCATGTAAAGCCACAATCCACCTTTGCACCATACATATATAGTAGTACCTACACACATACATACCTTGACGCTGGGCAAGAAATTTGTAACATCCCACGTTTGTCGAAAGAGGGGCTTGAACCATGGGACGATCTTTTCAACGGCACCATTCTCGCTCGGAGTATCTGACACAGTTGACGCTGTGAGCTCGGATACAGGCCTTAGACAGTACTAGTAGAGTCGGTAGTGTGTACATAGGTATTCTGGGTGCATTTTGGTTCTCGCGAGGCTTCAGCGATCGTCACCGGTTAAATGCGCGAGTCCGGATTGAGAGGAGACTGCATGTTGGACGTTCAGAATGCAGCCACGCATCCCACGCTTGAGTCACTCGAGCATCTGGCGACGGGGTCGCGTAAGGAAGCTGACGAGGGAACCCAGACGCTAATATGTGGATTGGAGGAGAAACCCTCGCCCACTAGACATGGTATACATAGGTGGAGAGTGGCATGGGCGGTGCACTGGCGAATGGGTGGTGGCATGTCATATGACCATGGGTTTAGCGTCGGGCGACTTGGGCTTTACTCCGAGTGGTTAGAATATCCCTGTAGGTTCAAGTCCACGTCACAGCGGCAAATTTTCATGGTTATATAAACTAGCCTATAGTTAAGTATAAATTAGGGTAATTTAAGCAAGTAAACGTAGTTTTTATTACTATCTTTTTTAAACATGTTCTAAACCTATTCTTAATAATATGTAGGCGTTCCTAAATACTATACTAGAGTTTAGTATAGTAGTACTAGATAACGTATCTAAACTAGATAGTAATATTAGAGATAAATTTAGGCAACTGTATAAAGTGCTAGAGGAGGATAGTAGTAGTAGCGTTAAGGAAGTAAGTAAAAGTAAATAGAATAAGTTTAGAACAGGTTAGTAACACGTTATAGGGGCATAATATATACCTTACTTATAGTAATAGTTAAGGACTACTACTTATACTAGCAATTATTAAGCATGCAGCTATTCTCCTAGCATACCCTTAATTACACAGCTAAGGGTATAGGTATATAATACTAGTTTAGCAATATAAAGATAGCTCTTACCTAATAAGAGAAGAGGTGCTTATGCAGGCTACATAGGTAACACGTTAAGAACACGTTCTTAAATTATTCTAATTCTAGCAGGTATAATACTCCTGCTAGTCTATCTATCTTAACAGGCCTATAACTTCACTATTCTTTAATAGCTAGCTAGCAAGCTAGTATAAATACTAATACTCTAGGGTAAAAGCGTGTAAGTATCTTAAGAACACGTTATAAACGTGTTCTTATTACGTTGTTAATAACGTATTATATAATTAGATCTAAACCTTAAAAAGTGTAGTACCTAAGAAAATTCTATAAAGAGAACTATAAATAAGAAGCTATTATTATAGCCTTATTAAGCGCTTCTCTTTAAGGATTTATAAGGACTACTAGGTGTCTTATTATCCTATAATAAGGACTATAGTAAATTAGGTAGGGAGCAAAACTTAAATATATTTAAAACGTGTTAATAACAAGTTAGTAAATTGTGGAACAGGCTTAACTATATATTAGCTATTAGAACTATAGCCTAATATCTGCTACTAGGAAAAAATATTATTTTAGTTAGGTACCACTAGAGGTAGACTCTATATATCTACAAGGTCTTCTAACTAGGGAGATATTAAATCTTTCTAGTAGTCCTGCTTTATGTTCTGTGGTTAAGCCATAGTTAAGCTAGATAAAGAAGTGTGGTAGGTATATTGTAACCTATTCCTAACACGTTCCTAACATGTTCTAGGCGTTAATTATCCATAAGGGCAAGGATCTCTATTTAAAATCCTGTGTAAAGTTACCTTCTAAGTAATTATACTAATAGATATAGTAGCAATACCTTTTTTTACTATTATTTCTTTTAGTATACATATATATATACCTCCTCCTCCCTTAACACTATCTAATAGTAATATTAAGGAAGTAGTAAAGGTGTTGTAGCCTATGCTTACTCTATAGCTTACGTAATATAAGTTGTTTGTAACCTATTATAAATGTATTCCTAACTTGTTATAGCCTAGTTCCTAAACTTAACCTAGCTCTAAACCTATCTCTAACTTAAAGGTTTCTATTCTATTAAAGAAATATATATTAGCTTTGCAAATAAAGATAAAATCTTACGTATTATAAAGCGTGAAAAGCTTCTATATTTCCTATTTAAGAGTAGCCTTAGAGGAGTACACTATAAGTAGAGGATAAAGTATTAGGATCCTAAAACTATACGTGGTGTAAGAGAACAGGTTTAGAACATGTTACTAACACGTTACTACAGGCGTATATATAGCAAATCTTTACATTAAGCTTAGGTAACTTAATTATTTACCTTTTTAAAGAGCAGGCATTAATTCTATTAGATTAAGATATATTCTAGATAGATATGTTATATAAGAGGTTGTATAGGGCATAGGCAGAGATTCTAATAGTAATCTTCTACCTATAGGAAAAGAAGCGTACGTATTAAGAATAGGTTTGTAACACGTTTCTAACACGTTACAGTTATTATACTTAGCTAAATTATTATAGATAAGGACACAACTAAGATATATCAAGTTGCTATTACTAACTTCTTTTAGAAGTGTAAAGCACTTATAAAAAGATAAGTGTTATAGAGGTATATTTACTTACAGGGATTTTATAGGACTACTATTAATATATGTAACAAGTAGATAATAGGCAAGTTTTATGGCGCACCGCAACATGTTCGTAACGTGTTTCTAACTTGTTTCTAGGACTTAGGCGCTATCTCTAGTTAATTAATCCCTATAAGCGTAACTAGCGCTAGCAACTTTAATCTTATATAAGATTTTATTAAGTATATCTATAAAGAAGTATTTATAAAGCATATAAAAGAGAGCTAGATAATACTACCTCTTTACGTCTAAGTAAATTACTACAGGTATTAATAGTAGAGGAATACTTTTAGCTTACTAACCTCCTCTTACGTAAGTAAATATATTCTAAACCTATTCTAAACGTGTTCCTAACTTATTCTTACATAATTAGAATATAAACCCTCTAAAGATGCCTAAAACTAGGCAATCTATAAGAAAAACCTAGTAATTACTGCTAGGATTGTGCAATGCTGTAGTAAAATGTTAAAAGAGGTATAGGAAAAACTAGAATCTTATTTAAATATAGCTAAGCAAGCAGGCTAGAAAGGATATAAAACTAGTAAGCATGTAAGTATTCTTAAGGCCACTTAGAAGTAAGTTTACAACCTATTCTTAACCTGTTAGAATTGTATAAGTAACATTGTGTAGTACACACTAGATAGATCTATAGGATATAAAAGAGTTTAAAGCCTAGAGCAAGTTTAGAATACGCTATAACTATAGAACTCCTAATAGGCTTAAGCAAAGGTACCTTAAAAAGCTTTAGAGGGGAGAAAGTAAGTCTTATACTAGTATTATATATATTTACTAATTAAAATATATTTAGAATATATTTAGAACACGTCCTATAATAATAATAATACTCTAGATAATAATAAAGCAAGTCTTGCTATATCTAACTTAACTAGATATATCTTAGTCCTAATAAGAAATAAAAGAGTACGCTTAAAAGCCTAAAGCTAGAGGGCAAGTAGTAGAGTAGTATTAGAAAGAAGTTTACTAGCCCCTTTTCTATCTTCTCTACTACTAGGCTCTTCTTCTTTACTAATAGTAACTTAAAGGTATGCTTTATAAAACACGTTTATAACACGTTCCTAACTTATTATTAGTCTATAACTATAAACTTTATAATAAAAGGCTCTTCTTAGTAATTAGGCTCTAAAGGAGAGAAAAGAAAAGCTAGAGGTAGATAAGGAAGAACTTATATAGAAAAAGGCACTATTTAAATTATAAAAGGTATAGTTTAAACTTAAGAAAGAGATAGCTACTTTTTATATAAGGTAGGGTTAGTCTATAAATATAGTAACTTGTTCCTAACTAGTTCTTAATATATTCTAGTCTATTATATAAGTATATATAAGTAGATAAATATATATTCTTTCTTCTTCTCTTTCTTCTTCTTTCTTCTTATACTCTATAAGAACTTTTTATATTTAAGAGTTTAATACTATTTTACTATCTATCTTTCCTAATATTATTAGATATAACTAGTTAATATAGTCTATAAAGATCTTTTAAAGTTAGTATATAATAGAATATATTAGGAATATATTATAAACTTGTTCTAATACTAAGTAGGATTTATACTAGCGATATATTAAGCTTAAGTTACTTCTATCTAATACTAGGGCATTCTCTCCTATAATATCCTACCCAAATAATAGGTGTATAGTATTTCCTAGCGAGCTTTTCTACTAGGCTATTTAGGCTAGATTAGGGGTATAGGAACTTTGTAGAGTATATATACATGCAAGTTAGAACACGTTTACAACATATTAATAACTATTTTAGTGTTGCTTCTCTAATAGAGGCAATCTTATCTACTACCTTAAGAGGTATTATCCTAAGGTTTAAATAGCCCTAGTAAACTATGGCAGAACTATAATACAAGGTATTATAGAAGCAAGGATCTTCTATAGGAGCTTAATAGTAAATACTTAAGAACATGTTCTAAACACGTTAATAATACGTTCTCTACTAGTAGAGTAGACTACACTAAGTGCCTCCTCTAAGGTTTAAGAACCCTCTAAGATAGCTAGTCTATAACAAGAAGTAGTAGCTAGAGTAGAGGCTAAAGAGGAAGTAGAGAGTAAAGAAGAGGAGCAAATAGTTGCTCCCCTTTACACTATAAATAATATTCAGCGAAAGTAGCAAAAAGGAGATATAAGTCTAGTCTCTTAAAACACGTTTAGAATATATTAATAATACGTTATAGCTAGACACCTATAAATACTAGATTCTTCTTTAATCTAAGGGACTACTAGAGCTTTATAATACCTATAAAAGTTAAAAGAAAAAGTTATATACTATTAAAGGACCCTATAAAAGTAAATAGTACTTTACTTTTAGTAGATAGAAAAAAAAAGAGAAGAGTAGAGAGTTTATTTTAGTAATTACTACTACCCCTTTAGGTTATATACTATTGTATATTATTTATTAGAACCTATTCTTAACACGTTCTTAACGTGTTCCTACTTGTTGCTATTATTATCTCCCTCCCCCTCTCTAGTATCTTCTCTATCCTCCCTATCCTCCCTAGGCTCTACAAAAGCATACTACAAGTGGAACTAGGCGGCATTCTAGCAGGAATTAGTAAGGTCCACACTAGTATTAAAGTAACAGTCTTAAAACACGTTAGGAACAGGTTAATAATATATTATAAATAACTTACTATAGCTAGGATAATCGCGAGCGTAGATAGTATAAGGAACCTAATAACCTTAAATCCTTAGTAGGGTAGATATAGTAACAAAGTTAAGCTATAACAAGTTAGCAACGTGTTTTTAATAGGTTCTTGCAGGCTATACCTTATTACTATTGCGGCTACTGCGAGTCTTCTTCTAAATTATATTTAGGAGGGTATTAGTATTTATAGGGGGGCCTATAGTAGCTACTAGCTAGGCTTAGAGAACTTCTATAAAACACGTTAGTAATAAGTTTTAAATATATTCTAAATAACTTATAGTAAGGAGCGTTCTAGTAATTATATATAACCTTTATATAGAAGTCTATATATATTAGTATAACAAGTTAAGAATAGGTTAATAATATATTTACTCTTTACCTTACAGACCTCTATTATAGAGGGCTAGCTAGTCTTCTTAACCCTACTAACCTTATAGTAGGCTATATTAAGCCTATAATCTTTTTTAGCATAGGTATATAAAGTGCCCCTAGTACCTAGAATAGCCTAAGAATATTAGAACCTGTTTAGAACATGTTTAGAACCTATTCTTACTCTATATAAGGTGCCCTTATTGTTAATCTTAGCATAGTAGTAGCGCTCTCTACTCTCTATCTTAACTGCCCTATTAGGGCTAACTACAGGCTATGCCCTAATATTATCTAGGACGCAGCTAAGGGCAAGGTACTATTAATAGTGCTTCTATAACCTATTAAGAACACATTCTAAACACGTTTTAATCTGCTTACGTAGGATAAGAGGGATGCGTTAGTAATAGGCATAGCGGTGGTAGCTTATAGTATTACTAGTACAGAATATATTTAGAATAGGTTTAGAACGCGTTGCAAAATCTTACGGCATAATATTTAGTTAACCTCGCTTAGCTAGCTAGTAGAGCTTGGCACGGCCTAACCCCATGCCGAATACGAGTTCACGCAGCGCTAATTCCATGGTCATATGAACTGCGCCCTCGGCGAATGGTCCGCTGGGTGTGTGTGCGTGTGTGTGGTGTGGCACTTGTGCGCTTGCACCTCCTTTCGGCACCGAGGTCGATCGTGCTATCGTGGGCCGGTTGAGCGTGGAGACGGCAGCGAGGGAAGCTCAGAGAGAAAGCTGGTGTTGTGGTGAGGAGAGTGGAGCCAGGATGCATTGTAAAGGTATACCAACTGAAGCGTACACACGTGTCGTTGTGGGCAGTAGAATCGCATCATTATGCAGCACGCGACGGCAACAAGTGTCGCCATGCCATGTGTACAAAAGTGCCTCGCCGGTGCAAATGTATGCGCATGCAAACTGACGCATACAAGCCGAAGCAATGCAGCATGAAAGAATGCAATCAGGCCAGTGAAAAAAATGCAGAAAGAAGAAGAGCGAATTGAAGCAAATGAAAGCTGCCGTCCTTTTTCCCAGTCCCAGTTTTACAGGACATCATATTGAACCTTGGAACTGTCTCCACCCAATGCAACCCAATCTCAAGGCCGTGAAAAAAATTCGGTGATACCGCGGTAAGACCCCAGTGAAGACTCCCATTGCTCCATGTAAAGCAAGGCGCGATGATGCAATGGCTCTGGGTCGTAATAATCCAGGAGCCCAACAATTCCCTGACAAGCTGCGAAATATCCCGTAACTCCATTTGCGATGAATAGACCAAAATATGCCCAAAAAGGCGACCCAAGGATCGAACCGAAGTCGATTAAATGAGTATACTGCTCGCGGATCACCAGCGTGTTGATGTCGAAGTCCTAATCCACAATGTCCCCTCATGTAGCTAGAAAACTCCAGTTCCTCGCATGAACGCGCCGCTCCCAGTCCCAAGACTCTGGATCACCTACCTTCATCAGTGACCATATCTCCTCAACAATTTCTTTGGCATGCGTGATATTGCCCAGACCGGTGCAAGCAATCAGACCGTTGAAAGCTCGGGTGATCTCCACTTGTTGCTCCTCTTCAAATGCCGCACATCCTATCAAAAAAAGTGGAAGCAATACGTTGCTCTGCACCCAGCCTTCGGCTGGTAGCTCATTAATGTAGCTGATACCGGCGTCAACAGCACTTTTGATAAAAGGATGCGGACGGGATGGCTTTGTTGTCCGGAAAAGGTATACCCAGGTAGCCTGACGGTACAGCATGGAGATGGTGTAGCGTGGGGATCCAGGGGGTTGTGGGCAAATCCAACTGCGCAGACCGGCATCGATGGCTTGCGTGGCAAGGAGTGCTTCGTAGTCCATTACTGGTTCGAGCTTCTCATCAATTCGAGTGCGCAGTCTTCGACGTAGGTTGCTGATCCTTGAGATGAATCCGAAAAGACCGTCCGACACTCCAATGAGGCCTGCCGTTTCTGGGTTGATCTTGAAGGGAAGATTAAAATCTTCCATCATGAGGACTTCGGTATCGTCCAGGGATGTGATGCCGCTAGCAATGTAGTGGTAGTAGAAGAATTCGTCGAACAGTGACTGAAACTCGGGATTCGAGCTTTTCTGCGTCATTGCAATCTGTTTCGCAGCAATCATGTGCATCCTATATTCGCCAGACGTGTTTCCATCGCATATTGAATGTAGCAGGTGCAGAAGTATTTGAGCGACATTCGAGTCTTCATAAACCATGACCCCGCCGTCACCGGCCTTCTGACGCTCCATGTCATGCATGAGCAGCTGCAATGCCTTGCCTCTGTGGAAGACTTGCCTGTCTTCGTATCTTTGCGAGGGGCTGATGGAGTACATGTGGGAGGCGGAGAGACAGAGGACGGAGTGCATTAAACCTTCATGCTGAAGGGCCATGGGCAACAAGATTTTTGTGAACGGATTGGAGGATTTGTCCCCATGTAGGGTCAGGACTGCACTGACTCGACTGACGAAATGTTGCAGGAGGTCGCGATCGAGATCGTTCTCAACACCCTCCATGAGTGGTGGAAGTTCAAATTTGCTGTCGATACTGCGCTTTCGAGCTGCGTCCTCGTGAGCTTGGCTTGCTAGTGGTTGGTAGAGCGTCTTACCCTCTGCTGCCCTCTCTTTGCCACTCTTCCATATTTCGACAGGCTTGTAGCCCTCACAGTGGATATTGTTTTTCTGACATGACATGCCTGCTTCACGTTAGGTGGATCAAACAAGAGCTTGAGGCTTTAATTACAGAACGGCTTGGTCTCATCACACTTCTTCTTGCGCTTTCTGCAAGTTGTGCATCCTGTCTTCGATCGTGCCTTTGCCTGTTTTGCGAGAGTAGTGGGCGAACGAGGTGGATGAATTCGTGGTCGCCCACGAGCTCGTCTTATCCGAACTGGTTCAGTGGGTGATATGGGTGTTTCTTCCGGGGAGTGTTCCTCTTTGACATCAGCCAGATGGAGCTCCGTCTCCTCCAGCTTGGGTATTATCTCAGAGTAACTTGACCGCGCATCCGACGGTTCTTCTGAAGGGGTGTTCGAGGCACGAAAGATGTTCGAGTCGAAACTTGGAGTTGTGAGAGGCGAGTCGCTGGCAGACGACATGGAGGGCGGCGGGGAGGAGCTGGTGCTCAATCGCTGGTTCACGCCTAGCTGCGGCTGGCCGAAAGAGATGGTTGATATCATCCGTCCTAACGATGACGGGACTCCCGTGTCTACCAGCGGGGGAAGCCGTGCATTAGACATCCGCAATAACTGATAGCAAGCAAAAGGCCAAGGTCTCCGTATCGGGCTACGATTGTGCTCACGCCTTGCACCGGATCACTACAACAAGGCGTGGCAAGGGGCTCTTCTGTGTCACAATCGGTCAATGCGAAGTCGAAATACACCAGCGGTGAAACGAAGCGGGCTACCTTCCAGCAGCACCTCGACCAGAATGTCGCAAAAGGCCCTAGCGGTCCGCTTTTGATGCCTTGAGCGATCGCACGGCAGCTTGCGTGGGCGCGGGGGGAATGCGTATTTAGCGAGTCGCGGGTGCCACGGCAGGGCCAATGGGGCCTGGTAGGACCAACGGCAAAACTTCGTCGTTTCCGAGATGAACGGCTGAGCTGAACACACAGACTCGGGGTTTGACAGGGGCGAGCGAGTCCCGTCGTGTTGGAGTATTGATCGCGAAGTGGCCTGCAGTATGGGCAATCAACGATGAGATGGAGGTTCGAGCTGCACAACCGTGCGGAGAACGGAGTGCGCGGCGAGGGTAAGAGTAGGTAATCTATCGCTGAGCGGGGAGCGAGTGCTGACAGGGACCAGGTTATTAAAATGTGTTACAGGGTGTGGATAGAGATCGGTTGTACAGCAAGGTCGACTCGAGAGGATATAGTGAGTTAAAGTAGCGCCGCAGTAACAACGATCAATTCGCCTCAACACTGACATGGAGGATGGCCCTGGGAAGAGAGTGGAGGCACCCAATGCAGCGGTCCGCTGTCGACTTAAAGCAGGGAGCAGACCGAAGCTTGCAGCAGAGCACGGTGCATACAAGGAACAGTGTCGACTACCACAGTTTTCAAAAGATATTGGCAGCTCTGAAGGGCTTCGCGTATTCAGACTTGAACACTAGTTTATAGCGAGGAGGTGGAAATCTCGTGGAGAACCGGACCTCGTTCGCAATGGGTGTGTACAGAAGTGTAGCGTGTCGGATGCAGCATGAATCGCGGTGTATCAGCGGCTTCATATCTTGCTTCGCCTGCCCGCCCACTCTCAACGCTCCTTGGCTGGATCAACATCAGCGTAGAAGCCGGCTATCCAGGATTAATAGCGGGGAAAGACGCATTGCTGAACGCTGCGGCAGCTCATGGCAACTTTGGGCTAGATAATGACTGACGGCAAAGGTCAGCTCGCAATGATAGGCCTTTTGATGCCCCTGCTTACTGTCACAGCATAAACGCCATCAACCTTGACGACTGCGCGAAAGCGCGATCATCTCGTCGGATATGAGGCACCCCTAGCTGACAATCCGCCCCACATTGGAACGATGTGTGAGTAAGTAGGTAGTGCTGCTACACCTTACTTAATGTCACATGTGACACGGTGACGGCATCATTCGCAGCCACTGTGCGGTCAATTCTGGAGCGAGTTAGCTAAATCTTGGACAGTGGTCGACCAGCCAGTGTGACTTGGGTTGTCTATTGCGCCAGGCTATGTTTGAGTGTTCCAGCTTCAAGCCACCGTGCAAGGATTGCAAGATCCTTGGACACGCAGATCACAAAATCCGCAGGCCGTCCTAGCAGTTTTAACAAGCAACGGCTGGACAGACTTATTTCGGAGGTTGTGCCCTTGTTCGTATCAGTCAGCAAGAAGCAATCAATTAGCGCTATACACTTTTGTGCTGACCCACAAGTAGATAAGCGGACTTTCTGTTTACATACCATGGTATGCACTATCTACCATCCTTTTGGCGAATATCATGACACACTCAGGAACATTGACGTCTATGAACTGATCCCACAGTACTGCCGTGGTGAGATCAAGATTCGGGATGGAGCGGGAGTACGGGCGGGCTCTAATCGAGCACGCTCCTTGAGCTGGCTCTAGACAAGTTTGCTAAGACACCCTGATCGCGGCAGCGACCGAGCCTATTCCACGTTCGAATTCTTCCACAATAGATCCCGTGCTAGCCTGGGGACAATGTGCAATTACATATGTATGCCCTCGGACACGTTCTGTGCAAAACGGCCCATGAGGTCCACTCAAGTGCATCTCCTGAATTTTCCTTTGGAAATCTGCATGCGTTTCTTGAATGCCGCATGATTCAGTTATCGCTCAGGTTTGTAAGGTACTTCGAATGCCTGCTCCGTAGACGACCGATGTAGTGGCAAACAATGAGCTAGTAACGGTCAAAGTCGTCAAACTACCTAATAGCAGTGCTCCACTACCACCCGGTGGTTATCATTTCTCTCTGTGTCTCATCTTGCGGTGTGGAGTTTAAAAAAAACTCATCCTATCTCCATGTACCAGTGGACTCAGACCGACAAAGTGATGCTGCTTGCGAGCGAAGCCCACTAGCTGACGAACACGGTGACGCATGGTTCTTGCTAGACGTCAATAAGATTTTTCTAATGCGTCAGCAGTCAGCAGCGAGCGAGGGTGATCAAACGAGGATGGTGTCCCTGCATCAAGAGCATGGGGCGTAGAGTAACATTAGTGAGGTTTTGCTAGAATGCCCATCTGTATGGTATCGTTTAGGTGCACGGGCGTCTGCAGCCACCAGCAGGCCCAAGCATGGAGCGAAGATGTGACTTGCATATCTTAGCGGCACGGCTTGCTGCGGGGTTGCTTGGAATATCGACTTTGTACCATTCGCCGACTGAATTCTTGACTGTTGACTGCGGCCTGAGCCTGCAAGTCTTGGGCTTTATTCGGAGGGTTGCTCGTACAGACTGTGCGGTACATAGAGTACAGCTAGGGCCGTTATGATCCCTAGTTCATCCATAGTCCATCCATAGTCCATGTCCTGACAAATAAGTTACAACTTGAAGTTCGCTGCCAGCTTGTGAGGCGGTAACAGCATACATGGATGACGGCTCGGATAGATTGTCCATGCTGCCACAAACAATGAGCATTCTGCACTCAGAAAGCCACGAATTGTAGATCATGGTCCAGGCCATGTGATGACCGTATGTATGTGCTGCATACCTATCTGTTACGGGATCGATTCAAGCCTGGATGTGTTCTGTACGACACCACCTAACCTAGATAGTACGGCATGCACATGTCCAATTTCTGCCCCAGCCCTGAAGGACGACCGGCATGAACGCACCCTTCGCGTGTCGACGATCATGTGTGGTAGGGAAGAAAGTCGGGGGACAGATGAAAGCACGTCTGCACCTGGAGACTACCGTCTTGGCCATATTGCCTTGAGGGCACCTGGCACCAGGTCCTGAGACGATTCACAGGCGACTAGAATGTATTCAGCCGAACCATCGTTGGTACTAGAGTACTGCCAGTCTACCACCGTGCCAAATCTGTTGTGCGTATCTAGCTTCTCGACATCTATAAGTAATTTGTAATGAGTTCTTGGCAATTATATAGAGGAGATGATCACCTTCAAAGCTCCAAACATTTGCTAGCGAATGAGTCTCCTCCCAGAGATCGTTACTAACGCAGGTGCCTAACTTGGCTTAGCTGCTCGCAGGTGAAGTCAAGACCACGTGATTCGGATCATCATTGCGCCAAGTCCCGACGCCTTGACGTTTCGACGCGCCTCAAAGTACCAACACATCTAACAAAGCATCTTCACACACCTTCACCCGTTCCAGCAGCCGTGACCCATCATGCGCGTACACATAGCTATCTGATAAGATCAGTAAAGACTGCGTCACCGACATGTTCAACTTCACGCCTTTGTTAGGAGCGCTGACGTCTTCTCCCGCGTCGCAATCACTGCTGGAGTTCGACGGGGGCATTCAAATCCTCGTAGATATCGGCTGGGATGAGAGTTTCGATGTTGAGAAGCTGAAGGAAATAGAGAAGTAGGTACCTGGTCAGCGCGCTGTACTCAACGCCACACCGGCCATGTTTCATGCGCCTGGCGGCTGCGCACATGTTTACAGGCACAATCGTGGATGCTACATAGACACCGCCGTATATAGAATAGAAGCTGATATTGCCCCTGCAGACATGTTCCCACTATATCACTCATCCTGCTCACCCACGCGACGACAGCGCATCTCGGAGCATATGTCCACTGCTGCAAGAACTTTCCTCTGTTCACGCGAATACCAGTTTACGCTACCAAACCAGTCATCTCGCTCGGTCGCACCCTATTACAAGACCTCTATGCATCTTCACCGCTAGCGTCTTCGATTATACCCAACCAAACTCTCAATGAATCCGCCTACACCTTTTCGACAGGCCTCATAGCTGGCCATGATCCCAATATCCTTTTACAGGCGCCCACACCAGAAGAGATTGGTGAATACTTTGCGCGTATAAATCCTTTGCGATATTCGCAACCACACGAGCCTCTCCTAGCGCCACATTCGCCCCCGCCGAACGGGCTCACGATCACCGCATACAGCGCAGGACACACACTTGGAGGTTCGATATGGCATATCCAACATGGTATGGAGTCGGTAGTCTATGCTGTCGACTGGAACCAAGCAACAGAACATGTGCTTTCGGGAGCCGCATGGCTCGGAGGCCCCGGTGCAGGTGGATCTGAGGTTCTGAAGCAGTTGCGCCGTCCTACTGCACTAATCTGCAGCAGTAAAGGCACCGAGCTGGTCAAGGTTGCCAGACCACCAAGTAAGCGAGATGAAGCCTTGCTTGCTCTAGTCCGCGAAACTGTTGCAAATGGTGGTTCAGTGCTGATACCATCTGACTCCAGTGCTCGTATACTTGAGCTGGCGTACTTGCTTGAGGAGACGTGGCAGCGAGACTCCATCAACTCGGATGGCGATAGCCCACTCAAGAGCGCAAAAGTCTATCTTGCCAGCCGAACGGGCGGTGCGACGATGCGGTACGCGCGAAGTATGCTGGAGTGGATGGAAGAAGGCATTGTGAAGGAATTCGAAGTCGCAAGCGGCGCTAATAATGGAAAAGACGATAGTAAGGCTGCTCGAGTTCCCTTCGATTTCAAGCACATCACATTGCTGGAACGCAAGACACGTGTAGCTCGCATGCTAGCTACCAGCGGTCCCCGAGTCATCTTGGCCAGCGACACAACATTAGAATGGGGGTTTTCAAAAGATGCCATCAAGTCACTGGCATCAGATGAAAAGAACCTTATCCTCCTGACAGAGAGAGCTGGTGAGCCAAGCAGTCAAAAGAAAAGTCTTGGGCGATACCTTTGGGACCTATGGCATGAGAGAAGTGCAGCGTCAAGCCATGAGGCACCTTCAGCTACCGTAGTGGACGCTTCTGGTGATAATGCACCCGTGTGCAACATTCGAGCAGTGTCACTCGAAGGCAATGAGCTTTCACTCTACCAGCAATACCTCGCTAGCCAGCGACAACGACAAAATACCATGGGAGGCGAGTCTGCAGTCATGCTCGAAATGCCTACAGACGTAGTCGACGACCGCTCTTCGACCGAATCTGAAAGCTCAGATGGTTCCGGTGACGGCTACCGTGGGAAAGCTCTCAACGCCACTGTTGCTCTGCAACACGCTCGGAACAAGCTGGGTCTCACGGATGCAGAATTGGGCGTAAAGGTTCTCGTCCAGCGCAAGAACATCTACGACTTTGAAGTCCAAGGGAAGAAGGGCAAAGACAAAGTATTTCCCTTTCAACGAAAAAAAAAACGAGCAGACGACTTTGGCGAACTTATACGTGCAGAAGATTTTGCGCGTGTGGAAGAGGAGGATAATGTCGCGGGCGAAGCACTTCGCGGCGAAGGCACTAAAAAGGAGAATACGGTTGGCCAAAAGCGCAGATGGGATGATCTCGTCAATGTAGTCGATGGCTCCAAGCCCAGCGGTGCTTTGAAGCGTCGAAAAGACGGAGAAGAACGAGGTGATGGCGATGACGCTGAATCAGAGAGTGAACCAGAAGAGGACCCAGACAAAGTCACTGGCCCATCAAAAGTCATCATCGAGTCTCAAAATATAGAGCTGCGATGTCGGATTGCCTTTGTCGACTTCTCCGGCCTACACGACCGACGAACTATCCAGCAACTACTCCCCCTCATCCGCCCCCGAAAACTCATCTTTGTAGGAGGCGAGGAAGAGGAGACAAAGGAACTCGCTCAACTCATCCGCGAATCCCTCAACGCAAGCGGCGAGGCCGGAACCGCCATTGACGTCTTCACCCCCTCAATAGGCCTCACCATCAACGCCAGCGTCGACACAAATGCCTGGACCGTCAAATTGAGCCGCAACATGGTGCGCAACCTCCGCTGGCAAAACATCCGCGGCGTCGACGTCGTCGCCATCACCGGCCGCCTCGCCGCCGCCAACCTCGACACCAACCCTACCACCACTGACGGCGACGACGACGAAGGCGAGGACACGCCCGCCAAGAAAAAAGCCCGTCTCGATGCCCCGGCCATCCCCGTCTCCTCGCAAATCGACAACGACACCACACCCATCCTCGACGTTGTTCCCGCCAACATGGCCACCGCCGTGCGCTCCGTCGCCCAGCCCTTTCACGTCGGCGACCTGCGCCTGGCCGATCTGCGCAAGCTGATGAATGCAGCAGACATGCACGCCGAGTTTCGGGGCGAGGGTGTGTTGGTGGTGAATGGGACGGTGGCGGTGCGCAAGACGGCGACCGGCCAGATTGAGGTGGATGGCGGCGCGTATGGTAATGTGGATGCGAGAAATAGTGACGTTGCTACTTTTTGGAGGGTCAAGAGGCAGATTTATGAGGGCTTGGCTGTTGTGGCGGGCGGGTGAAGGGGCGGAGGATACGAGGATGGAGTGCGATGGGTTACGGGAGGTGGAATCCTGGAGAAACTGATTATATGCAATATCATATTTATTTCTTCTCTACGCGTTTTTTTTTTCGCTTGGAGTTTCAGATGTGAAAATCTACAAAACTTATAGCTACTCCCTCGCTAGCCACAAGAGCTGGTGGCGAATTGAAACATAGCAGGCCTTTGGTGTTTTGATGCCCTTCCCTTCACAGAACAAAGAATGGCAACCTACGACATGTAGCTTTGGCGATGAAGTTGGAGCTGTGAAAATTCCCCGTGCGTAATTGTAAGATGTTTAAAACATGTTTTGCGCAGAGGTAGGAACGCAAAGGTCAACAACGGGGCGATGCATGAGGTGGGCACAGTGGGGCAAAGCACAGGTTATCTGACTGGGTGGGGAGAATTGTGTATAAAGTTGATTGATCTGGATTAACAGCTCTATGTAGTAGAGTAGAATGTAGGTCATTAATTATATCTTAATCGCTTGCTCAAATTGTATCGCAAGAAGATGAAAACGGATAGGATGATTGAAGATGACTGGAATTTATCCAATATGAATACTAAAACCGTCACAGGTTGGTCGTACAACATGTCTCCGAACTTTAGATGTCCCTCTCGGCGTTTGTTTGTGTGGTGTATGGAAGATCGAAGGTTTTGATGGAATCGTCTTCTTGCCACACTTTGCAGAGGATAAAAGACATTTTGATTCTTCCAGGAGCGGGCCGTCCGTCTTGTAATCTGAACTTTTGGCCTCAGCAAGCCTTCTTGAGTATGTCTTGGTGATCACGTCTCGGCAAGAACTGTGCCCTATTTTGATTGGTCCAGGTCTAGGCGAGGTGGTTCATGGCAGACCTCGCGACTACTGTGTCCAAGGTGAGACAAGGGTGATGATTACGATATCAGACACCGCGATTGAACTCCATCCACGAAGCTCGCGCAGTTCGGGACTCGGTCAAGCCAGCGAGATTGGTGAAATCTCCAATTGCGTGGGTGGAGCGCCATGCGAGAGATGGTCTTCTGGAGAGGGATTGTAACTGTGATCCACGATTGATGATAGAGGCAGCGGCTTTCTCAAAGCTTGTAGGTGCTGCCACTTCAAGTCTCGGCCTTCTTCTCTCCTTGGGCATCGAATCCAAGAGACTCGAGCTGACGAATGAGCTCATTAATCTTGATGACTTTTTCAAACTGCTCTGGCAGCAACTTATCGCCCTTCTCCTTCTTATCCTTGAGCTCGCGGGCTTGCCTGAGCTTCTTTGTGAGCTTCTTGGCTTCCTTCTCCTTCTCCGCTTCCGGGTCTACAGCCTTTGCTGGCTCGACGGACTTGGCCATCTCTTTGACCTCTCCTGCGGCCGTAGTCTCCTGTCCTTCAATTCCAGCTGCTGCCGCCTTCTTCCTAGCCTCTCTCCTTTTGGCGTTTTTATTCGCCGCAGGACTGACCTTGGGGACGTCTTCCTGGCTCTTCAACCCCTCGGCGCCTGGAATGCCAGCCTTGCCTCTGGTGCGAAAGCCCTCGGCTGTGCGGTTCTTATACACTTCTACATCCTCTGGTGGACGGTAGCCGGGACGGACTCGGATCTCCTTGCGCAGCGTACCATCGGGACGGACGGAAGCTGGGATATGACGTTCGCCGGTCGCAGAGGTTGTGATGCCAGCCTTTGAGATGCTGGGTGTCTCGACGGAAGGCATTGCGTGGATTGCGCTAAGCCCGGAGATGATTGTGGCGTGACAATGGCAGGGGGAGGGGGAGGTGGAAGCGACTGTATCCGAAAGGTGATGTCGAGAGAAAGAAAAAGAGGAAGGAAGAACGGGTGAGAGGGAGAGAGGGGGTGAGGGAAGAAAAGGAGTCTTTGGTGGGGGTGAGGGATGAGGTATGATGTGTTGAAGGGCGTCAAAGCATGCGGCCAATCATCGCCGCCACAATCCCCGTGACCCGAACCCGCCCAGCCCGGATTCTGTCGACGGAACCTCAGCCTCTCCATCTCAGACATCCAATCTTCGACGACAGCAGCACCAACTCCTCGCACTCGCAGTCCCCACGCCGTCTCACCATCTTCACAATGTCTCGTGTAAGTCAATTGATTCCTATGTATAATCCAACGCATCGCGTGCTGACAGAATTGGCCAGCTCCTCGGCACCATTTACAAGTACGACATGGCATGCGCAAACTCCTTGGACCGAACACGGCTAACTCTGGATTGCAGCGCGGTCCTCCGCAGCAACACCACCATGTTGTTCACTGTTTTCGGCGCCGCCTTCGGCATGCAACTGTACGTTACAGCAATCACGGGACGAACATGCAGGGAGAATCGAGGTACTGATCATCTGGATGACTAGGGCGTTCGATACAGGATCAGACAAGATATGGGATGCCATGAACCGAGGGGTATGTGGCAGTCATGGAAGACAATGGACCTCTGCTGACACACATGACAGCGCCAATGGAAGGACATTAAGCAGCGATACATGGAGAAGGCCGAGGATGACGAGTAGGACGACTGTGCGCAGAGCAGCACCCGGATTTGATCGCGAATTAGACAAACGACTGGCACGGTTTCTGAAGATGCAAAATGTACATTGCCGTGTATTCTACAAGATGCGAAATACCACAGCAGATTGCTGAACCTTCCAACCTCATTCGGAGTCTTTCTGTCATTTTGTGAAGGTCCAATGTACTTGTGCACAGCTGGCTCGTAACTTTCCAACAGGCTCAGTGCTGCTGCTCAATTCCGAATACGGTTTACACATGTACATGCAAAAGTATTGTCTTTGAGGAACCTGGTCATAATGAAGTATCTAGGATAGGAACAGTCCTTTTGTCGTGTGCATAGTTTGAAATGAACGGTGTCGAGCACCAAAAAATATGCATGAAAGAGAGAGAGAGTGTGTGTATGTGTGTGTGCGGTAATGAAAGACATGTAGACACTAGATTTCCCAACATGTAGGTTACACATGGACATCAAGAACAGTGAGGGTGGTGGGGCGCATACTATTTGGGAGGAACGGGGGAGTGAGGAAGTTTGCGGGGAGGTGCTTGCCTGCGAGATGACATAGTTAGCTGCTTGTGACAGACGGACCTGCATTCATCACCAACAAAACTTCCAGGCACATTTACACATTTACACCTTCTCTCTCTCTCTCTCTCTCTCTCCCCTGCCACTCCCCGCCTCCTTTACTGCAGCCACTATCTCGAACCACTATAGTGGCTGGCCCACTCACCACGACCAGCAGCAACACGACACGACACAATACAACGAGCAGATTCGCATGTCGTGCTATTATACGTGCGACACAAGAACCCCCGCCGCCCGACCGCGCCACCAAGTTCGAGCCAACAACAGGCAACAAACACCATGTACATATCGCCATTAGAGCAAGAGCTATGTCGGAATCTGCGAGAACTGCCACGACGCCACAACTACCGTTTCGACAAGGCCGCTGATGCAGAGCTGCGGCGGATTCTCTTTGCGTCCTTGGCCAACCGCGGCGAGTACCTGGCCCTCTTCTTCCCCCACGGCCCACCGCCAGCCGAGTCTGAGAAGCCGTGGAGCCTGCGCGATGCCCAGGGTGCTGTCGAAGGCGCCGAATACACGGCGGCGGCGCGAGGAAAGCCGTGCGGACACATCTTCAAGAACGGGGAGGCGACGTATCGCTGCAAGACGTGCACGACCGACGATACGTGCGTGCTCTGCGCCCGTTGTTTCGATGCATCAGACCACGAAGGCCACCAGGTCTTTGTCAGTGTCTCCCCCGGCAACTCGGGCTGCTGTGACTGCGGCGACGATGAGGCCTGGATCCGCCCGCTGCACTGCAACATCCACTCGGCCGACCCCGACCCCGACTCCGACCCCGCGTCCAAGGCAGCTGGCAAGGCGCGTGCGGGCTCGATGTTGCCAGATGCGCTGCTGGAGAGCATGCGGACGACGATTGCACGGGCCCTGGATTACCTCATCGACGTCTTCTCATGCTCGCCTGAGCAGCTGAGACTGCCCAAGACGGAAGAGTCAATTCTGCAGGACGAGCGTGCCTCACGCCTCACATCGCGATGGTACGACCCGGGAGACCAGCCGGATGAGTGCCGGGACTTCTGCCTCGTGCTGTGGAACGACGAAAAGCACACCGTCAATGATGTCAGAGACCAGGTTGCCCGTGCATGCAAGCAGAAGAAAGCATTCGGCCTCGCCAAAGCCTACCAAGTCAACGACGTGGGCCGCAGTGCCATTGTCTACCGAACGGACCTCAAAGAGCTACTGCGCATGGCTAAGATCATCGAAGAAATCAAGCTGACCGTCACCATTCGCTCTGCTCGAGACACGTTTCGCGAGCAGATGGGTGAAGCCATAGTTGAGTGGATTGCAGACATTGCTGCCTGTAGCGTGGGCGAGGACAATCATGTTTTGCGACGCACCATCTGCGAAGAGCTCCTCAAGCCATGGCGCGTGGGCAGCGAGGCAGCCAACCAAATCATTGGCAAAACCGGTCTCGATGATCATGAAATGGAGGACAGAGACGCCGAGCTGGAGATGCTCCAGGGCTTCCAGCACCAGGCCCAGCTGGTAAGGCTGCAACGTCGCTGGACGGCTGCGGCAAATGATGACACCACTGCATCTGATGATGACGAGGAGGAGGGTGAGGGGGCAGCTACAACGGGAGATGACATGGACATTGACCAAGTCGGAGCACGAGACAATGATGGAGATGTCGAGATGGAAGCGTACGAGAGTGCCGATGAAGCGCTCGAAGTATCCGAGGCAACCCTGGCTGGTTATCCTCCTCCACCACCGCCGCCGCCGCCAGTAGTGCCTCCGCAACGCAATCAGCAAGAGCATAGTGTCACGCCCGCCGAGTCAGATAGCGAGCCCACGGTCGGAGCACCGTCGCTCAGTCATGTAGAACCCTTGATACCTGTCCCAGAGACCCCTCAGACACGATCGTTACCACTAAGACATTCTCGTCCCCCCAGATATTGGCTAGAGAAACCAGAAGGCTACGGCAAGAAGCCTGGCATTCCTCCCCATGAAGATCTGTGGCAGCGTCTTCGCCTGGATCATTTGATATTGTACGACCTGCGCATGTGGAAGCAGCTGCGCGTTCGTTTGCGTGACGTCTTCATCAGCACAGTAGTCACGATACCCCAGTTCAAGCGTTTATTGGGCTTGCGCTTCGCTGGCGTCTACACTGCTCTCGCTCAATTATATCTCATTGCAGATCGTGAGCCTGACCACTCGATTATCAACCTATCTCTCCAGATGCTCACAACGCCATCAATAAGCTCCGAGATTGTCGAGCGCGGCAATTTCCTCACCAACTTAATGGCCATCCTCTATACATTCCTAACTACCCGTCAAGTTGGCTATCCATCCAATGTTGATCCCAGAGCCACTCTGGCGTTTGAACAGGGTGCTGTCACTAATCGTAGAATGTACCATTTCTTCATGGATATGAAGTACCTTCTAGGTTCTGATTTTGTTCAGGAGCGTATCCGCGAGGAGGAACGTTACTTGCTGCAGTTTTTGGATCTGGTGAAGCTACATCAAGGCATATGTCCCAACGTTCGTGCCGTTGGAGAGCACATCGAATTCGAGTCGGAAGCGTGGATCAGCGCATCCTTAATTACACGGGAGATTAATAAGCTCTGTCGACATTTTGCAGAATCATTCACTTGGAAGCGGGACGAGGATCCTACAAACATACGTCGTGCTATACGTGCAGCCGCCAAGGTGGTCATTGTCAACTCCTTGGGTGCTGAGAGAAAGCGCTTCGATCAGACCGAGTTGAAAGAGATGACGAGATTCAAAACACTGCCCGTGTTCGAGTTCGATGCCGAGCCGTCTACATTCCAGGGGCCGTCTTACAAAATCGTTGACTACATGATCGCAAAGGAGCCTATGAGCTTCCATCACGCTCTCCACTACACAGTATCTTGGCTCATCGATCGAGCACGGGATATGCCTCGCGAAGTACTCTTGCAGTTGCTCTTGTTCACTCACGACGAGCTGCAGATGGACCACAGTCCAACGCTAGTGCCGGTACCGCTTTATGATCCTGAAGAGTACCTGCTCGCAATGTTTGACTTTCCGCTCCGAGTCTGTGCGTGGCTATCGCAAATGCGTGCAGGCATCTGGGTGAGGAACGGGATCACGCTTCGACACCAGATGACGCAGTACCGCAGTGTAGGACAACGAGACGTCGCTCACCAGAGAGACCTCTTCCTTCTGCAATCTGCGCTTGTATTGTGCAACCCTTCTGTCTTCCTCGCAACCATGATAGATCGCTTTGGTTTGATGGGTTGGATGACAGGCAAATACGAAGCTAGCCACCATGGCTTCGAGGATACACAAGCCATAGATGTGGTTGAGGACTTTGTCCACCTTCTCATAACAATACTTAGCGAGAGAATATCTCTAGTCGCGACAGAGGAGAATTCCGAATCACATCTAGCGGCCATGCGCAGGGACATTGCTCACATTCTGTGTTTCAAGCCACTGTCCTACTCAGACATGACTGCACGCCTCTCAGACCGTATACAGAACATGGACGAGTTCCCAGCTGTTCTTTCGGAGATGACCAGTTTTCGAGCACCCGAGGGCCTCTCTGACAGCGGGACCTTTGAACTCAAGGAAGAATACCTGGACCTAGTCGATCCGTATCTGCACCAATACAACCGTAATCAGAGGGAGGAGGCAGAGAACACGTACAAGGCCTATATGGCCAAGAAGACTGGGAAACCAGTAAGCGACATTATCTATGAGCCGAAGTTGCGACCGATCCACTCTGGACTGTTTCAAAATCTCTCCGACTTTACGCGGACACCACTGTTTACGCAAATTATCTATTACCTGCTGGCGTATGGGTTAAAAGCAGACACAGCCACGCCTAATATCCCTGTTACGCGTGTAGAGGCATACATACAGTTTGTTCTCCAACTTGTATTGGTAGCTGTGCTCGAGGACAAGTCCGAAGAGCACGAGTGGTCGCAACCTGTCCCCGACTCTTTCGTCACTTCAGTGTTGACCAGGGAGGCAAAGACAGGCATCCGTGACCACCTCACCGTACTTTCCCTCCTCAAAGCTCTTCAGGAAAGAGAAGACCTCAAAGCTTGTGAACCAAAGATCAACCTAATTCTCCACCGACTAAAACAGCGACAACAGAATACTTTCATCATCGCAGCTGCAGCACTCAACATTCCCACTGATGGGATGGACACCGCCTCTCCAGCATGTTTCACAACTCAGGATAAAGAAGAGAAGAAGAAGCAAGCCCTAGACCGACAAGCCAAAGTCATGGCAGCCTTCAAAGAGCAACAGGGCAAGTTTTTGGCCAATCAAGAATTCGATTGGGGCGAAGACGACTTCAGCGACTTGGAAGACGAAACGGGCGGTCTTGTGGAGCAGGAGAAGACCTTGAAGTATCCGTCTGGTACCTGTATCTTGTGTCAGGAAGATTGTAACGATCAGCGGCTCTACGGCTCTTTCGGCTATGTTTACAAGAGCAGGATACTCCGTCAGACTGATGTACAAGATGATGACTGGGTTGATGAGGTCGTTCACACTCCTGTCAGTCTTGATCGATCTACGGACCATGTCCGACCATTTGGTGTATCCGGCAAAAATCGACATACTATCACAAAGGTCACGGCAGGTGGTGAGCGTACTACGATCGAACGACAAGATTTGGGTAAGGGGTTCCCTCCTACCAAAGTCCAGCCCGGCCCGGTCACTACAGGTTGCGGACATATCATGCACTTTGGCTGCTTCGAGGTCTATCTACAGGCGACACAGCGCCGCCATGTCAGTCAAATCGCAAGAAATCATCCGGAACGTCCTGAACTCAAGGAGTTCATGTGCCCTCTTTGCAAGGCTCTAGGAAATCTGTTTCTGCCTATCATTTGGAAGCCCAAAAAGGTGTCCAGTACAGGCGTTTTGGAAACCCATGTATCCTTCGACGACTGGATCAGGACCGACCTCGTCACGACGTGTAAAAGTGTGGAGAAGAGTACAGGAAAGGTGCTGGTAGATCTTTCGCAAAATCAAAAGGCGCTTTACGAGTTTGCAGAGCACGAGTTCATCCAACCTGTGGCCAGTCGTCTTTCAGACCTTCTCAAGCCACCACCGCCACCAACGCCCGCCTCGATGCAAGCACACTCATACTTACCAGCCTTCCTGAATCTGCAGACCGCTGACACGATCGAAACTGTAATACATGCTGGCGAGACCAGCCCAGCTCCAATACAGACAAATCCCATGATAGAGCTTACCGTCATATATCGACGGATCAAGGAAACCTTGCGCGCAAACGGCATACCTTCAGGTTTTACATATCCATACGCCTCCGCACCTCCCACGGACGATTTGACGCACACTGATACTCTTGCTCGAGCTTTGGGCTACTCGATCGCAGCTGTAGAGATTGCGCAGCGAGGTGTACAGTCAGAGTCTATGAGAGGTACCTTGATTGACAGAATCTCGCCACAGACGATTACGCATCTCCGGGTTTTTTCCGCGACAGTGTCGTCATATATCACCATTGGAAGTCTCAGGGGACAGAATCCAAGCAAAACACTCGAAGAGTTTACAGAGATGCAACGTCGGCAAATCCGCCAACTATTCGTTGGCCATCCTGGTGTATTCGATCCAGAAGTGCTCCCCTTTGACCTGAAAGGTATCACGCCTCTCTTGTGCCAGGATCCCTTCATCTTCCTCTCCGAATGTGCAGTTTGTGTAGTTCCCGCGACCAACATTGACATCCATCACGTCCTCCGACTATGCTACCTAGCAGAGATTGTCCGCGTAGTCTCCACCTTCTGTATGGCTGGGCAAGACCAATCTACAAGCGATGCAGAGACCAGCACGAAAGCCCGATTTCCGGAAGTCTCGCGTTTTGTCAACACCGACAAGGTCAAGAACGATCTCTTCCTCCCCGAGCAACTCGCCGACTTTTTATTCTTCATTGGCGTCGTCTTCGACAGTGCGAACATGCGCAATAGCTGCCCCTCCCCAGATGATCCAAAGTACAAGCTCGAATGCGTGCGGGATCCAAATTTCCTCTACGCCATATACACGATGGTGTCCACCTACGCGCTACCTTTTGTGCGTAAAGCAGCCATACTCATGCACGTCCGTTATGGCATCGAATTACCCAGCATTGCCTCTGAGCGCGTCGATGAAGCAGAGCTCCAGCGCCTCTCCTATCTTTTAAAGCTTCCCTCGCTCCACGAGATCTTTGCGTCTTTTGCTTCGCGCTCGCCAGCAGGATATACGACACGTTTTGTGGTCGAAGGCTGGATCCGCCATTTACGCTGGGTGCAAACGGGAAATGTGCCCCTTCGACCGACCGTCTCGCTCTCGCATCCGGCCATCTTCGAACTCGTGGGTCTGCCGCGGAACTTTGATACCCTGACCGACGAGGCGATTCGGAGACGCTGTCCGACGACGGGCAAGGAGATTACCGATCCCGCGCTTTGCCTGTTTTGCGGCATCATTGTTTGTAGCCAGGCTGTGTGTTGTATGAAGGAAGGCCATTTGGGTGGTTGTACGCAGCATTTGGCAAAGTAAGTTTTTCCTTTTCCTCTATTTCTATTTCTTCCTCTCATCCTCTCATCTACTACTCCTACTACTACTACTACTCCTACTCCATCCTCTCCTGCATCCATTCCCCCACAAAACACAAATACTAACCAAACCCCCCCTCTCCAGATGCGGCGGCACCATCGGCATCTTCATCCACATTCGCAAATGCATGGTCCTCTTCCTTAACATGGACCACGGTACCTGGGCCGTCGCCCCCTATCTCGACAAGCACGGCGAAGTCGACCCGGCCCTGCGCCGCCACCACCAGCTGTTTTTGAACCAGAAGCGCTATGATGCGTTGTTGCGCAAGGTCTGGCTCGACCATGGCATTCAGAGTTTGATTGCTAGGAGGCTCGAGGGGGATGTGAATAATGGGGGTTGGGAGAGTCTGTGAGGATGGGGGATGGGGTTGTGGATTGATGGGGGAGGGGGGATTAGTAGGTGGTTTGTATAGAGATTTGTGAGTATTGAGTACAATTGATCGTCATCGTACATGTGACATGTGCTTTTTGCGTATATCGGTGTGGAGATTTGCCCTCGGCTCGAATAGCGTCACGGCATCAGCTCCGCCAGCTTGTAAATACTTGTCCATTCTTCCCTTTCCCTGCCTTTTCCTCTCCAAACATATCACATCCATCCGCCTCGCTCCCAACCCAAACCCCTCGCACCCCTACAAGTCCAACCTAGTACCTCCCTCCCCCCCAACCCGCCATTGGCCCATCAGATTCCACCTTCCTCGGCCCCTTATACTTTCCCCTCATCTCCAACGTGCCCAACGGCCTCGGTCTATTCTCCACCGGGCCGACCCTAGCAGCCACGACATCCCTCCAGCCCTTAATCTTTGCAATCCCCTGCACAAACGCATCCATGCCATAGACCATGAGCATTTCGCGGCCAAACACGCCCGACATGGCCATGTTGTATTCGCGGATGATATTGTCGAGCAGGGCGAGGACATCGGCGTCGAATTCGACGGCCGAGTTGTGCATTTCGGTGAGGAGGGCGTCGAGGGTGGTGTAGGAGGCGTGGTGGAGCCAGGCGGTGCGGAGGAGGAGTTTGTAGAGTGGGGTTGTGGCGCCGAGGGCGTAGGGGGAGCGGCCGAGGGATTTTAGGGTGGGGAGGAGGGAGAGGGAGAGTGGGGAGGAGGGGAAGCTGGTGCGGAGGGTGGTGAGGAAGTGGGTTAGGTAGTGGGGGAAGTTTCGGAAGAGGATGCGTTGCTGGGTTAGGTCGTCGATGTCTGGTGAGGAGGATGAGGAGGGGGACTTTTGGCGGGAGCGTTTGGCATTGAAGCGGGCGATGACGTCGAGATGGGTTTTGGGGGGCTCAATGGCGTCGCGCTGGGATTTGGGGTTTGAGGTGCTGTCGAGGTCGAGTTTGCGAATTGGGGTGAAGACGTGGGTTTCGAGCATGTGCCAGAGTTCAACGTCGGTTTTCGCAGTGGACAGAAGATTGACAAAGCGTTCCATTTCTGCGGCGCGGAGGTTCTTCAGTCTCAGAGCGTCGGCTTTGGCAGCCGCAGTCTTGCTCGTGTCTTGTTCAGTGGGCTGCTCATCGTTGCTGGTTTGCCTGGTCTGGGCGGGTGGTAGGCGACGCGGGCTTCTTCGTGCCTCGCGGGTTATCCTTCCTTTGATGACGTCGTCGAAGACTTTGTCCAGGGACACTTCTGGCTCCTCATCTTCCTCATAGTACTCGTCGGCGATTTCGTCGCGTTTAAGGGGATGTCTCCTTTCGCTCTTCTGTTGCTCCTGCCTGACGGCAGTGCGGTATAGCTTTCGAAAGGCCTTGCGCTCGTTGTCGGTTATCGTGGTTTCGGGTGGCAGAGTGCGCTCATCAAAGGGCACATCTGGGCTCTCAAAAGGGATATCTTCATCGGCGTTTGTTGAGCGAGACTGAAAGTGACGTCGAGTACTTTGCCGCGTGCTGGACGTGCATTGCTGGATAGTTGCCGTCTGATATAAAAACGGAAGAAGGGTTTTCGAGGCCGGAAGACGGGAGAGTGAGCAAGCTCGCAGTGTCCTGGAGCACAGCGACATTGCAAAAGCGCAATTGCAACGAGACCTGCACACCACACGGCAGAATTGACTGGTTGACGAAACGTGGTGTAGCTACCTACAACAATCGATGATTATGATGATGATGATGATGATGATGATGCCGCCGCCAAACGTTGAATTGGCCCAAAAAACTTTCCTTTCCCGGGAGACGGCCGAGAGCGCGGTTGTGGCCCAAGCGCAATCTTCCTAATCAGGAAGGACCGAAATCCGTCGATGACTGCGCAGTTTGTCGGACTGCAGAGAGCGATGAAGCTCGGATTCGTCGGCCCAAGTGCGTGGACGGTCGGGGAACAGGCGGCGATGGGGGCGGCAGGGGCACCGGCTGGATCCCGAAGCCCGGAGGACTCTCGTACAACGTGTCAGGTAGAATACGACTCAGCCGGGAATTAGGTCTCTTGTCTCACCATACTGTACCCTACTTGGCTTGCCTTTTCTGATTGATCAATCACTACTCGCTGACTATATACGTATATGTGGTATGTATCATACGTACTTGTAGCACACGATCTCTCATGTGCAACCAGGCTATATAACCGGGCAATTATAATTTCATTCTACTTTGTACTTGACTAGCACTACCTACACAAGGGCAAGGCCATGACGCCTCACGCTGTCACTGTCACTGTTGTTGTCTCTCTGATGGTGTCCGTAGCCGTCACTGTCACCGTGAAGATCTGACTTGGCGCAATGGGCGTAATGATCAGCGGCCCCTCGGTCGTAGAGGTTGGAATTGGCTCGGATGATGGCTCAGGCGGAGCCTCAGTCGGCGCAGGCACATCTTGTGTTGTTGATGCACTCGCTTCTGGCGGAGGCGCGCTTGACTCCGTGACGGCAGGCGGCGCAACCGTTGGCTCGCTCGCAGATGGCACCGGCGAATCCTCCGGACTTTGCAAAGGTGGAGTTGGTTGTGGCTCAGGAACCACGGGAGAAGACGACGACGAAAGCACAGGCGCTGGAGCCGACGACGTGGATGATGGCTCGGGCGCCACGGAAGGAATCGGTGCTAGTGTAGGCCCTGGCACTGGTGCCGGCGCTGGCGGCGCGCTAGGTGCTTCAGGGGCATCTGTAGGTTTGGGTTGTGTAACTGTAGTATACTGTGTGATGATGACTACTGGCGGTGGATGTGGTGGCAGTGCTGCTGAGAGTGTTGACACGCTAGAGCAGCTGCTGGAAACCACAGTGCTCGACTGCTCCGCTGGTAAAGTATTCTGTGCGTCAGTCGGCACGACTGGTGCCAAAGGACTTTGCGATGAAGACAGTCTCTCGGTAGGGGATGGGGACGGAAAAACTGTGGTGTATTGAGTCTCTGTGACATATACCATGGACGTGGTGTCCTCAACCACTGGTTCGGATGGTGAAGGCGCGTTGGGATTTAGTGAGATACTGGTACTAGAATTGATCGTCGAGCTTGGCGCTACAATTGAGCTAGAGTCCACGGTGGGGACAGGAGTTTGCGCTGTCGACTGGATCAGAGTAGAATTTCCTGTGGGCAATACGCTTGAGTTGCCATTGCCAGCTGTAGGATTTAGAGGTGCTGAACCAGGATGGCTGAACCCTGGCAAGCCTCCAGAGCTTGGATTCAAGGTCCCGCTTGTTGGATTCGCTGTCGGAGAAGCGGGAAGTGTTGAACTGTCTTCCTCTGGGGAATATGTGAATTGCGGTATCTGTAGGCTAGTCTCGCTGGCCGTCGTGTTCTCCACTGCAGCTACAGAACTACTGAGAACTGCAGAGAAGCCTCTACTTGAGGCAATCAACGTGCTGCTCTCGGCTGGCTTTGCCTCTGGACTTGAAGTTGGGGTGGGTGAGGGTATTGCACTTGAGCTTTGTTGTGGTGCTGGAGTAGGTGTGGGAGTGATGAAAAGAGTGGACAGGATGGTTTGGGGTTCTTCGGTTGCAATATCCTCCCCTGCCGTATTTTGAAAAGTGATAGCTGGTGCTATAGATGTAAAGACTGATTGTTGGATTGGCTGAACGATGAGTGCAGTTTCTGCATCCACCAACAGCTCACTCGCAGTCGAGAGCGCTGAAGGTATCTGGACGATATTAGAAGTTGGGAAGACGTCATTAGTCGCAGTCTGAATCGAGGAACTGTTTGCATAACTAGCAAAGCTGTCATAGATCAGCAGAGAATACTTCAATGTCCAAGGCATGACTTACGGCTGTCTCCGATCATGTCTGGGTACCGGTCCAGCATGCGTGAGCGTAGAACAAGCTGCCAGCAGCACAATAGCAAAAGTAAACACCATCATCAAGATGATCTCAGTATTAGGAATATGGATATGCCGATGAAGGTAAAAGATTGCAGAAACTCGGGCTTGCAGAAATGAACGAGAGCAGAGGGCAAAAAGGAACAAAAGAAAACTGCAGACTGGGGAGATGGATGTGTATGAAAGCGAAGGCCGATATGAAACAGACTATGAAGAAATGACTGATAGGAAAACGAAAGAAATCGACCGTCTCCAAGACAGATTGGTGCCAAAGTTCACGTCGCTACCAGCAAGAGTCTATCTATTGCTTGGGGGAGGGGGGCGTCCATCTGGTTTTGAAGCTGTATTAGCCGCCTTGAGCACGGTTTTGCAGTGGAGAGTCTCGCCTGGCAGCACTGGCCCAGCATTGTCGCAGATGCCTGCAGTTTTGGACGTGTCACTGGCGTTCTCTGCGAAAGGATAATAGGCAACCAGAGGAGTGGTGGTGGTTGTTCGACGGAATCCGATGCATGTTTCAGCCTCCAGCCAATGGTAAGTCGAGCACGCGTCGGACAAAGGCGCTTCGCCAGAGTACAGCGACAATACAGAGAGACTAGACCGTCGACCACTAGGTACTACCTCTGTACATGGCATTCGACGTGCCAGGAATAGATCTTCACTGGCCATGAGGCTCAGCGGCAGTGTTGGAGATCCATCCGGCCGCCGACGATGCGACTATTTGGGGCCTTTGTTGTCAGCTAATCCTCATCGTCTTTGATCTCCTCTGTGGTACGGTACGGTACGGTACGGTACGGTACACGTCAAGGGTGAGCTACAGTACATGCCACGATGCCTCTGTGGTACGGTACGGTACGGTACGGTACACGTCAAGGGTGAGCTACAGTACATGCCACGATGCATCTAGCTGAAGGCTCTGCGCTTCCGTAAGTGGAGAGGAGCACAGGATAACGCGGTACAATCAACTGGAATGGGATAGAGGGCAGCGTTGGCGGGTGATGTGTTGGTGTAGACTGTACAGCTGGCGTTTTGCTGGTTCCCCACAGGCGGTGAAATCGGTTGCCGAGGTGATTGGACGTGAAACTTAGGCGAGAGGGCGCGAACTGGGAAAGCAAACACGGTGCACACTAAGGCACCCACCTTCACTTTTGACATCCAGCCGCCAGCCCTTGGACGTCAGCGCAGCTGCATACTCACTCGGTACGTTACGTACGGTTGTAGAAGCATTCTTTTTCCCTGTAGAATTGGGGAGTTTTTTTTTGGGGGTTTTTTGTTTTCTTTCTGTCCATTACCGTACACAGTCACACCCTCTTCTCCACCTCCACCATGAGTGTTCGCGTCGTCGCCCGGATTCGGCCCCTGCTCAAGAACGAGCTTGACAAAGACACGATTGTCACCGCCGAAACCCTGGAGGGCGAAACAGTGCCTGCTGTCGTACGGATACCGAGCCCAAAGAATGACGCCGAGTCTTTTAGCTTCCAGTTCAGCTCCGTGTACGAACAAGACGCGACCCAGCAACAGCTGTTTGACGCGGAGAGTACGTCTTTTTCACGACCACAGCACGCGTAGCCAAATCAAGCTGACAGGAAGCCAGTCTCGCCCACGGTAAAACATCTCTTTAATGGTTTCGATCTCTCCATCTTTGCACATGGCTGTACGGGTACGGGAAAGACGCATACCATGCGCGGTGGCAAGTCCTTGGCCGACCGAGGTGTCATCCCAAGGCTGTTGAGCGCAATCTATCGGCGGTGTAAGAAGATTGAGAAGGATTCAGGAGGCGCGACCCAGGTCGAGGTAGCTTTGGAGTATTTCGAGATCTACTGCGACCGCGTCTATGATCTGTTCGAGCCGCCGGAGAAGCGCACCCCCTCTGGATTGCCGATTCGAGACAACCATGGCAAGACGGTCGTCGTGGGACTGACGGAGAAGCCCTGCACGACGTTGAAAGAGTTTGAACAGCTCTATGACCAAGCCAACTTGAACCGGTCCACGTCTGCGACAAAGGTAGGCAGACATGTACACTAATCCTGACCATGGCTGATCCGGGCAGCTCAATGCACACTCTTCCCGGTCGCACGCTGTCCTTTGCGTCAAAATCACCCAGACCACCGAGACGACCATCCGCGTTAGTCGCGCTTCATGCATAGATCTTGCCGGATCAGAAGACAACCGGCGAACAGACAACAACAAGGAGCGCTTGGTCGAGAGCTCTGCCATCAACAAGTCGCTGTTCGTATTGGCGCAATGTGTCGAGGCGATGAATAAAAAGGCAAGCCGGATACCGTATCGCGAATCAAAGATGACGCGAATATTGTCATTAGGTCAAAACAAGGGCTTGACTGTCATGATCTTGAACCTGGCACCTACCCGCGCCTATCACTTGGACACGATTAGTTCATTGAACTTTGCCAGTCGGACAAAAAAGATTGAGGTGGCGGAGGTCGAGAATGACCCTGTCTACAGGGCCATGTCGAAGCCTCTGGCTGCAACGAGCAGCATTGGTGGCGCAACAATGGCGCGTCAACCACTACGCCCACTCACCGCTGCTGCCAATGCAAACATCACAGAGCCAGACAAGCAGAAGAAAGGGGAAAAGCCTGTCAAGGCCTTCTCTGTATATTCTGACTCCCGCAAATCTGGTCCGCGGGTGACTAATGCCACATCGCAGAATCAAGCAGTTCGACGAACAGAGGGTCAAAAGCGCGCGGCCGAGTCCAGCAGTACATTTTCCTCACGACCGACCAAGGCGCATCGGCCAGCGGATACCACATCGAGGATACGAAATGCGGAGCCGGCCATGACAAAGGCGTCGATTGAAGCACTGATTGCCCAGAAGGTGGACGAAAAGCTTGCCGAGAGGGCATTACAGGATGCAGGACAATCCGCTCCAGCCCTTTCAGCTGAGCTGCAGAAGCGCCTAGACGATCTCGAGAGTCGAATCGATGCAAAAGAAGAGGACGGGAAGTCGCAGGGTCTTCAATTCTTGCTCATGGCTAAGCAACATCACATTCGAGGAGAGGATGCGAGTGCACTCCGCATGTATCGATTGGCCCAACCTTTTTTCCCTGGTAATGTCAAGCTCGAGGCAAAGATGCGTATACTCGAAGAGCGGATACGCAGTAAATCGGAAGAATCGGCTGTCAAGCACATGTCTGCCCCTGCCGCACCTCCAGCAACATCGGCCCCGGTTGCGCATCTGATGGCACCATTGAAGGCGGAGAAGAAGGCGAGCAAGCCAAAGATGGTCTACAAGGACACCTCAGAAGATGAAGACGAATTCGCACCACCCCCACCCTCCGATCATGAAGACTCGTATGCCTCCGACGACAGCTTCCAGTACAAGCCAAAAGCCACCCGCAAACCCAAGAAGACCACCACCACCACCAAGAAACTGCCTATTTTCCGCGACGATGTCGTCAATACCTCTGTGAACCCTGTAGAACACACTCCGCGAACGACACACCTCTTGAAGATCATCAACTCTCGCGACGTCAACCAGATCAAGGCTCTCAAGGGTGTAGGTGCAAAAAAAGCGGATAGTATTGTAAACTGCCTTGTCGAAATGGATGCTGCAGAAGTTCGAGATCTAGAGGCCCTGGCCATGCTCAAAGGTGTTGGTGGGAAGACGGTGGACAACATGCGATTGGGACTAACAGTTCCTGTTGGATATGATTTTTGAGCTGTGGCTTTTTTCTTCCTCTCTTTTGGTTTTTTTTCTTTTTACTTTTCTGGTTCTTCAAGCATGGCGTTTTAGGTGTTTTTGGTTTAGATGCATGGGGAGATTTCAGTTTCTTGACGGTGTTTTGTCGATCAAGCATCTCATCCTGCATAGCAAAGGCGTCTTTTTCCTTTTCTGGGTCTTCCATTTGTGCCATACATGGCACATCCATAGCATCAACATTAACGAGTCCCTTTGTCCTCGCAAATAACATCATCCCCCCCCCCTCTCTCCATCTCAACACCGCGCGTCAACACGGATGATGACGCACTGTCTCGCCATGGTATCATACAGCCCAAACTCGGTAACCGTCCGCAGACAAATCTCCTCCAACCGCGCCTTGACAAGCACCAAGCCCACACTCTCCATCAGCTTGCGTCCTTCGACCTCTGGTCCCCCACCCGGCCCCCTCTGCTCCTGCCCCATGGAATCCACCAAGCGCGTCAAAAACCCTCGTCGCGACACCGCTGCATTTCCCGACGATTCTGCGGCACTCCCTGCCATGCTCCTAATGGGACTCGTCGGACTTCTCAGCCGCGAACTCGCATTCAGCGTCTCCCTCAGCACGCGCTCGAGCTCATCAATGACAGCCTGTGGTCTCCAGAACTCGGTGCTATTCATTTGGCCCTCGAGCCGGACGACCTTGGGTGCTTCTTCGGAGGAGAAGCCAATGACTTCGACGGGGCCGGTGGAGGGGCCTGGCGTGTCGAAGCTGAATTCTGATTTTTCTTCAATGGGGGGGAGGGGGATGTCGGAGGGGAGGAGGGCGAGGGTGGTGCGGGCTATGCCGTAGTTGGCTTGCTGTTCGATGATGGGGAGGATGTGGGTTTGGATTGTCGAGTCGATGTGGTGGGCGCGGGTGAGGGTTAGTTGGTCGAGGATGGATTGGCCGCGGGAGGGGAGGGAGGTGGGTGTGTAGGGTGGTGGGAGGGGATCTTTGTTTGGTGGTGACATGGTGGTGAGTATCCTGGCGCGCGCGGGGGGGGGATGTCTCGAGGTGGTATTGATGTTGATTGCGTGATTAGATTTGGATTATCGGCCGTCCCAGATTCATTCACAACTTTGACGTAAGCTCTGATCGTGTATCTCTGTAGCCCCTGCGAACTAGACTTCAAGAGCAATATCCTCGGCAAGTCCAATTACAAAAGGGTTGCCTAACTCCAACATCTGACTCCGATATCCAGTCCCGGTGGTGATGATCGCATGAGAGTTGCTGAGTCTCTCGGTTCAGACGGATCATCATGGACTCATACATGAGTCCCCAGTGCAACCCAACTATCGCTTACCGGTACCCGTGAGGTCATAAAGGCGCTAGAGAGTGCACAGCGCAGTCCCGTGATGGTCTAAGCCTTCATCGTAAGGCCATCCAGCTATAACGTATTCGGTGCTAGGCCAGTGGCAGGGCAATCTACATGAGGAGGCCTGCAGGCCGGCCCGAACGTCTTGGCCCTGTTCCATGGAAGCGTTCCAGATATGACGAGATGGTCTGGGAGAAAACATGTGGTCTGAGCAGTGAGCACGATAGGTACCGGTGGTAGAGAGAGAGAGAGAGAGTGTGTGTGTGTGTGTGCTGGAGCTGCGTTGTGGCTGTGAAAAGCTTCCTACCAGAGTAAGTCCAGGCTGCGGCTCAGCCACCGCTGTCCTTTTCAGGCACGATTTAGCGATCTACGGTACCTACTCTAGTACCCTGCCATGATTCTCCACACATCCCGCAACTTGAAAGCTTCGAAACCGCTCACCGAAGACAAGAAGCGCGCTTTCAAGAAGTCCAAGCTCTTGTGCATTGAGGCCAATACTCTCCCAAGTTCCTCAGCCCACGGTAGGCGAGGGTCACATGCGGACACTTGTGGTGGCGTAAGGCTGACTCGGCCCATTGAGGCTTAGTGGCTTCCAACGCACGGCCGTGCTTTACCGTACCACCATCCTGCAAGCATTCACCGGTTTGTAGCGAGGCTTCTCCCGAATGTTTTGGAACATATTCAATATGAAAGACGGGGTTGTTCAATGGTATCATGTATAAAGGGAACCTGATGCCCCCCTGGTTTGCCTGCCTTGATTCTTCACAAACATTGGGAGATTGGAACAACAGCAAGTTCCCGGCAACACGCAATCGACTTTGACATATCGGCGTGGTAGATCCTGAAGCGATTGTAACAATCAAGCAAGTGCAAGTGCATCTTCGCCTACCTATACCGACTATTCTTTCTCGAAGTTTGAATCGCCAAAATGGTTTGGGTAAGAGTTCATCAGCTCACGGCATTCAGAGCATAAACTAACATTGAGGTTGTAGTATCATGTCGCCGAACCCAATTCCTATCTCGTTCTTACGGGAATAGGAATTGACAAGGTTCTCATCAAAAAGAAGGTATGAATTCCACAAATGAATCCCGTCGGCAAGAGCCAACTGACCGTCCCAGGCTTTTGTCATGCCCTTCCAGAAAGTGTCCAAGATCAGCATCACACCCTTTGACTTCTCCATGGCACTGCAGGCCATGACTCTTGAGAAGCTCAAATTCTCACTCCCAGCCGTCTTTACTATCGGTCCTGCAGATAGCCTGGAAGCTCTCGAGAAATACGCTGTTTTGCTGACTGGAGAATCCGATGGTCGACCTACGCAGACTGCGGCCAAGGGAGTAGTCTCTGTAGCTGATAGCCAGGGTCGTAGCCATGTGGCAGACATTGTCAAGGGTATCATCGAGGGTGAGACAAGATCGATTGTCTCCACCATGACGATGGAAGAACTCTTTCGAGAGAGGAAGGTTTTCAAGGACAAGGTCATCCAGCAGGTCCAGTCTGAACTTGATCAGTTCGGTCAGTACTTTAGTCTCTACACAAACTCCAGCACAATGCTAACCACAACTTACAGGTCTATGCATTTACAACGCCAACGTCAAGGAGCTGCAAGACACCCCTGGATCTGAATACTTCGCTATCCTCAGCCGAAAAGCCCACGAAGGCGCCCTCAATCAAGCCAAGGTAGACGTCGCCGACGCACGTATGCGCGGAGAAGTCGGAGAGGCAGAGAAGCAGGGCAAGACGAAGCAAGAAGTAGCCAAAATCCATGCCGCCACCGCCGTCCTCGAAACCGAGCGCAAGGCAGAAAAAGCCGCTGCAGATGCCAAACTCACCGACAAAGAGATTCAGATAGGAAGAGACTTGAATGTCGCCCGCATCCTTGCCAAACGCGAAGCCGAACGCCGCGACGCAGAACTCAACACCGAAGTCGAGCAGAAGAAAGCCCTCATGGAACTCGAGCGGCTCCGCGCCACCAAAGTCGTCCAAGCCAAGATTGAAAAGGAGTCTTCGCAGCAAAAAGCAGACGCAGACCTCTACATCCAAGAAAAAGCAGCAGAGGGACGAAAGTTCGCCGAGCAAGCCGACGCAGAAGCAGCAGCATTCCGCACCCTGCGCGACGCCCAGGCAGACTACGAAGCCAAGGAGCGCGAAGCAGAAGCAAACTTCCTCGTCTCCAAACGCAACGCAGAAGCCGAATACTACGCCAGAGAGCGCGCCGCACAGGCCCAACTCATCGCCCAGCAGCGCGAGGCAGAGGGTCTATCCGCCATGGCGAAAGCCTACGGCGACATGGCGAACGTTCTCGGTGGTCCCCAGGGCCTGATGCAGTACCTCATGTTGACCAACGGTGTGTACGAGCGCCTTGCAGAAGCAAACGGCAATGCGATCAAGGGCCTGCAACCAAAGATCAATGTCTGGAACACGGGGTCGAATGGCGATGGTGGTGCCATGGCGGATCCTTCTGCCCCGATTCGCAACCTCTTTCAGAGTTTGCCCCCGCTGCTCAGCACAATTCATGATCAGACGGGTATGGCACCGCCAGCGTGGCTGGCGCAGATGCCGCAGCAGCATGGGCATGGGATGGAGCAGTTGGATCCTAAGGTGTTGAATCTGAGGAATGGGAGTGAGGTTTCGTCATAGAGGATGGGTAGGAAATGGGGGGTGACGGGTGAAGGAAAGATTTTGATGACTTGGTGTGTATGATGCGACGGGATATCATGTTGGTCTGCGATTTTTCTGGTTATACCCTGGCGTTCGTTGCATCTGGCTGGCACTAATTTGTGTGGATCATCTTGTGTCATTACCTGCATATGTTCCTCATATCTCATATCTCCCATAGACCGATAGATTGTATTGATTGTTCTTGTCTTCATACTGCAAGTCCCATGAGAGCACCTGGGTTCAAAGTAAGCGGCAGCTTAAATATCCTGGAACAGCTGGACTTTGGACAAACATTAGAGTGATAGAGAACACAAAGTTTTTCTTGGCCAGGAAACGCCATAGGGCCAGTCTAATTTCATCTCCGTATGGCCAGACAGACACCCTAATTTAGGCCCCTGCTCAATATCCACTCTGCTCCGTCCTCCCAGCTCCTCCTCCCGCTCCACCTTCGCCATCACCATCTCTACTCTGCCTCGCTCCACCAGCCGCCTCTTGGATACCCTGCTCATCACCTCTCAGCTTCTCAAAATACGCCTTGACATCCTCCGCACCAACCGCCTGCCCAGACTCCGCAAACGGTTTCAAAAAAGCCGCAACCTTGTCCTTGAGATGTGCATATGCCATGGCCCCCTGAATCGCACGGACGCGGTCCATATTATTAAACGCTACTTCGCCGCGGTCGAGAAGACTGCCAGTGCCGACGGACTGTGGGTTTTCGTCGCCAGATTCAGAGACGGGAGGCTCGTAAGTGTCTTCTTCTTCGAGAAGTTGGGGGTGCGGTTTCAGAAGGGGGAAGCAGTCTGGACAGCGGCAAAGATGGTCGCGGAAGTCGGGTTTGAGGAAGAGCGAGAAGGGGGTTGTAAGAGCGGTTTCGGGAAGTGGTGGGAGCAAAGTATGCTTGGGCACTGAGGGTTCTTCTTGCTTCTTTGGGGTAATGGGTAGGTTGACTGTGTCCTCAGCGAGGCTTGCTAAGGCGTTTTTTGGGTCTTCGGATTTTTGGCGCTTGGCCGGGGCTGGAGCCTCTAGAGTGGCGGTTGAGGCTATCTGTTCGTTCTCATTCTCTTCAGATGCTTTACGCTTCTTGGACTCGACAGTTGAAAATTCAGGATTTCCGGACTGAACCTTCTCCGCGTTTGAAATTGCAATGGAGGCGTCGAAGTATACGGGCGGTAAGAAGCCGGTAGAACCGGCGTACTTCTTGATCCAAGGATGTGCCGCCACGCACTTGTAGCAGAGGAAATGATCAAAGTCATCTTCTGCCGGAAAGCCGGGTGGCAGAGGCGGATCATCATCTTCGTCCTGCTCTTCAGCTCCAGCTTCTACGTCGTGGCCGTCTACTCCATTGCCATTACCAACAGCGGTAGTGATAGTTGTTGCACTTGGAGGCTCAGTCTCTGTTGTGGTGTTATCGCTAGCTAGTTTCTCTGTTGGTTTTCCCGCAGCTGCAGTCTGTGCAGTGCCATTATTTTTGTCAGTCTTCGGCTTTTCGATCATCTTCCTGTACTGTTCACGAGAAAGACCAACAAGACACTCTGGATGCCACCAGTCTTCACCGCATCCGCCCTCTTCGCAGGTGCCAAGGCCGAGACATTGGAACATCGTTCCCTTTTCCTGTTGTGCGTCATATTCCTCTCCGCAACCACAAAACCGATTCTGGAAGTTTTGATTGTATTTGTTGGATGTGGCTGGCTCCTCTCCGCTGACGTCTCCCTTCTGCCCAGTCGTCGAATTTATACGGAGTGTGCAGGGTGTCGTCTCCGGTATGCGATTTGTCCCACAATCACAAATGAAGTCGCGCTTGTTGAAAAGCTCCACGAGAGTATGTTCACCATGACATGATATCGAGCACGAGTAGCAGACGCCAGCGGGGATGTGTACTTGGGCAGGAGAAGCGGGAGGAGGGTTGCAAGTAAGGCATGCGTATAGACTTTGACGAAGAGGACCGAGATCGCGTGTGCAAGTGTCGAATTGCTGTTGAATGTCAGCATGGCCTCCATCAGTCCAGTGTATCTGCCTACATATGGAAGCGCCTCGCGTGCTTCAGCCTCAAGACTGAGTTGTTCTTTGATGAACCTAGACATATGATCAGTCTCCCTGCACATCAGAAATGACTGAATGGCTTACTCTGCTGCAGTCTGAGAGCTCTCAGATGCCTGCGACATGCTACTTGTCCGCGGCTTGGAGGCCATGATGGTGAATGACTGCTTGTCGTATGCAAGTACGATGGGACGGCCACGCGGGTGAACTGCACGTTGTATAACGGTTGTAAAGGGATAGTATTAGACCAGACGTTAGCAATTCAATTGGTGTGGTATCTTCAGGGCACTCTAATGTAGGTATAGGTAGTACAGTGTGAAGGGAAGATGAGCTGTGCGCACGGCCTGTGATTGGCTGCAACACAAACCACTTTACGCGGAAGCGCGTCGCGAACGCGACACCCACAGTCGACCCTTTCTCTCCGTCTTTCATTACACCAGAACAACAAAGCAGTTATTAGGCCGCTGTATCTGTGTATACCAATCTGACACTATAAACACACCCTTTTTTATGAGACAGAATGAGGTACGAAGACACATTTTGGAAAAGAGCCTATACCTAGACATGTCAACGAGCTCCCTGCCCCTCCATCCATCTCCACCGCCAGCAACAAGATATTGACGTTGATACAGCTCACCACTCCGTTCCAACATGTCCTCGGCAAACCGTGGGGCAGCTTCCAGTAGCAGACGCACCAAGCGCGCAAGGGACGATGAAGACCTCCCCTCTTCAGCGGCACATCCGCCATCAAGTCGTAAGTGCGGTGTAAACATGAGAGAAAGCATGCAACTGATGGCACAAAGCAATGGCCTCATCGCCACCCATAATTCCCCAAGACGACGATGCAGATATGCTTGACGATGACGACATCATTCGTGACGTTGACGACCTGGACGAAGAAGCAGAAGAAGCAGAGGGGATTGATCTCTTCGCCGACGACTTCGAGAACGACTACAGAGCACGAGAGAATGACCGCTACGAAGGGCAAGGAATTGATGATGAAGGCGAATATGATGATCTAGATCTCGCGTCGAGGCGAGAGCTCGACAAGCGTCTCAATGCTCGTGATCGCGAGGCGAGGCGCCGTATGCCAGCTGCTTTTCTACCAGACGAGGATGAACAGGACGGTCTGGCCGATCTCATAGGTCGTCGCCGCGTGCGAAGGCGTCGTTATGACGAGGAAGATGAGATGGATATGGACGAAGATATTATGAACGAGGAGCTATCACTCGAGGCACTCACCGATGTGAAGGCCAACACCTTGACCGACTGGGTGGCACAACCCCAGGTCGCCAAAACAATCGCGCGAGAATTCAAGTCCTTCCTCACAGAATATACAGATGAGCACGGCATCTCAGTCTACGGAAGTCGAATCCGGACCTTGGGTGAGGTCAACGCGGAGTCTTTGGAGGTGTCTTTTGATCATCTCGCCGAACAGAAGGCGACCTTGGCCTACTGGCTCGCGAACACCCCGACTGAGATGCTCAAGATCTTTGATCAAGTTGCAATGGAAGTTGTCCTCTTGCACTACCCCGACTACGAGCGTATCCACTCCGAGATTCACGTCCGCATTACCGATGTGCCAGTACAGTATACCCTCCGTCAGCTACGTCAATCACATCTCAACAGCTTGGTTCGCGTCAGTGGTGTCGTCACTCGTCGCAGTGGCGTATTCCCCCAATTAAAATATGTCAAGTTCGACTGTACCAAGTGTGGTGTCACCCTTGGCCCGTTCCACCAAGATTCGAACGTCGAAGTCAAGATTTCGTTCTGCCAGAATTGCCAATCAAGAGGACCATTCACTGTCAACTCTGAGAGGACTATATATCGAAACTACCAGAAATTGACGCTGCAGGAGTCTCCTGGCACAGTCCCTGCTGGTCGTCTGCCCCGTCATCGCGAGGTGATTCTTCTTTGGGACTTGATAGACTCTGCGAAGCCAGGTGAGGAAATAGAGGTGACCGGCGTTTATCGCAACAACTATGATGCAGCCTTGAACAACAAGAACGGCTTCCCAGTCTTTGCTACTATCCTTGAGGCAAACTACGTGGTCAAGTCTCACGACCAGCTGGCTGGTTTCCGTCTGACAGAGGAAGATGTGAAGGAAATCAGGCGACTCTCCAAAGACCCGCGGATTGTGGACAAGATCATCAACTCGATTGCTCCTAGCATCTACGGACATACGGACATCAAGACTGCTGTTGCGCTCTCTCTTTTCGGAGGTGTCAGCAAAGAAGCAGCTGGCCGCCACTCGATCCGTGGTGACATCAACGTGTTGCTCCTCGGAGATCCAGGTACCGCAAAGTCGCAGATTCTCAAATATGTCGAAAAGACCGCCCATCGTGCTGTCTTTGCCACTGGGCAGGGTGCCTCCGCTGTTGGTCTAACAGCGTCCGTCCGCCGTGATCCTATGACGAGTGAATGGACATTGGAAGGCGGAGCACTCGTGCTCGCTGACAAGGGCACATGTTTGATCGACGAGTTTGACAAGATGAATGACCAAGATCGAACTTCAATCCACGAAGCCATGGAACAGCAGACAATTTCGATCTCCAAGGCGGGTATTGTGACCACCCTTCAAGCACGATGCGCCATCGTTGCTGCGGCCAATCCCATCGGCGGTCGCTACAATTCTACAATTCCCTTTTCACAAAACGTAGAGCTCACTGAGCCTATTCTGTCTCGTTTCGACATCTTGTGTGTCGTTCGCGATCAGGTCGACCCAGTAGAAGACGAGCGTCTCGCAAAGTTTGTCGTAAATTCTCACGGTCGAGCGCACGCCACAGTCAATTCAGCATATGGATACGCTGAGAAGACAAAGACTGCTGAGAATGATGAAAACGACATGGAGGTGGATGAGAATGCCCCCATTAAAGAGGGTGAAATTCCACAAGAACTTCTGAGAAAGTATATTCTGTACGCACGTGAAACGTGCAAACCAAAGCTCTATCAGATTGAGCAAGACAAGATCGCTCGACTCTTCGCAGACATGCGTCGAGAATCCATGGCAACCGGAGCCTACCCCATCACTGTAAGTACAATATTTGTCATCGAAGTCCGCCAAGATATACTCACCATCCACAGGTCCGTCACTTGGAAGCTATTTTGCGAATGGCCGAAGCTTTCTGCAAAATGCGACTCTCCGAGTACTGTTCAGCTGTTGATATTGACCGTGCCATAGCTGTTGCTGTGGACTCTTTCGTAGGGTCACAAAAGGTCAGCGCCAAGAGAGCACTGCAGAGGTCGTTTGCCAAGTACACTTTGAGCAGGCCTGGAGCTGTGAAAAATCCTACCAGGGGAGGTAGAGCCCAACGCGCGGCAGCTTGAGCAAGAGCAAATATTGTCACTACGCTATAACGATGGGACATGATGTGAGCTGTAAGGGCTTGAAATGATACCAACTGGAGAAGCATGATGAGAGGGAAATCTAGGTAGCTTTCATATGCTTAGCGTTTACTTTGCACCTGTACGCAAGAATACATCATGCACAAATGTACATGATAAATGTGTTATATTGCAACTGTTCTGGATATGCTCTGGTTGTGACGGAGCAGTGCGAGTTTACTATATATGCAGGTTATTCCGTCTTTTCACAACAGCCATATCGTTCCATGAAGCACCGAGCAGAATGCGCAAATCCTGTCATCGGCATTCCATGAAAATGCTATCGTACCTCCATTTAGTGATCGCGAACATGGCGGTGCTACTATGGTGGAGTGTCAGGTGGAAGGGGTTAGAGCCTTGGCGCGGCTAGCGTAGTCCACACAGGCATTTCGCAAATCTGAAAATGCAAAGTCGAACTTTCAACCAACACCCCGGAGCGCAACAACCACCCACAGGAATCTTCACAGACGATACCTGAGCGCAGAGATGGCACCCAAGAAGAACAAGAGAACCGCCGACTCCATCAACTCGCGCCTTGCGCTTGTGATGAAGTCTGGCAAGTACGTCGAACCGCTCTCTCAACCTGAAGCCGTCCATTAACGAAGTGTAGAGTCACTCTCGGCTACAAGTCAACGCTCAAGAGTCTGCGCACTGGAAAGGCCAAGCTCGTCATCATTGCCGGCAACACTCCTCCCCTGAGGAAGTCTGAGCTCGAGTACTACGCCATGTTGTCCAAGACCTCTGTCCACCACTTCTCCGGCAACAACGTACGTACCACACCCTGATCGCCTCTCATGGCCTAACGACGAGATACTTTGGGAGACACAACTGGGTATTCTCCGAGGGCTGGCCCTGAGAAGAGGTCTGAACATGACTTCGGAGGGCTGCAAACTAATGTGTCGATGAACAGATTGAGCTCGGTACCGCTTGCGGTAAGCTCTTCCGCTGCTCTGTCATGTCCATCCTCGATGCTGGTAAGTTCAAATTTCGAAGCCAAACAGTTCGTGCAAACGCTTATGTGTACTAGGTGACTCCGACATCTTGACCTCCAACCAGGAGAACTAGAGAGATAGAAACAAACAGTGAGGATGAGGGAGACAGATAGACTACATACTTGGAATACGCAGTATACGTCAGTGCGATGATATCCAATCAATGACAAGCATGATGAGCCATCGGGCCTAAAAATATGACATGCACTTTATAATGCGTGACTCTTGAACTGTCTGACCGGTCGGGTGTTGTCAAAGCCCGAGGCCGAGTGATGCACACTGCTCTGCGAGGTGCGATGCTCGCGACAGTGGAAATGCGACCTTTGTTGAAGACGAAGGGGTAAAGTTTCGATACATCGACTCATGATGACAGTGACAAAGGAAATTATTCTGAGTCTTTGACGGACGACGTGTGGCGTTGGCGCACAGGCAGTTGCGAGATGGAAGACCCCTGTCGCTCAGTGGCGCCTGCTTGATAAGCCGCTCGCTTAGCAAGCAGCCCACACTCGCAATGTGAGCCGTCACGACTTCGCCCTCCTTTGCGTGATCTCCCATAACCACTAACAACTTAAATACAGGGAAGGTACGTACGGCTGCTACATTCCTCTCGTCCGCCGGCAGACTCTTGATCTCACACATCAGAGTTCTCGCGCACTTCCAACATCAACACCGAGACTCCCAGCTCACACAATACACAGCAGGTTCAATCGTCACAATGGCCCGCCGTCCAGCCCGTTGCTACCGCTACTGCAAGAACAAGCCCGTACGTCGCTCGCACACGAAACACACACATGTGAGATGGAAAGATCAGGACTAACAAGAGTCCAGTACCCCAAGAGCAGGTTCAACCGTGGTGTACCAGATGCCAAGATCCGCATCTTCGACCTCGGTCGCAAGAAGGCCAACGTAGACGACTTCCCGCTCTGCATCCACTTGGTCTCCAACGAGTACGAGCAGCTGTCCTCGGAAGCGCTCGAGGCCGCCCGTATTTGCGCCAACAAGTACCTTGTCAAGGTCGCCGGAAAGGAAGGTTTCCACATGCGCGTCCGTGTCCACCCGTACCACGTCGTCCGCATCAACAAGATGTTGTCGTGCGCTGGTGCCGATAGATTGCAGACGGGTATGCGTGGAGCTTTCGGTAAGCCCAACGGGCTTGTCGCTCGTGTCAACATTGGCCAGATCCTCATGTCCGTCCGGACGAGGGACTCGCACCGCGCCACTGCCCTTGAGGCTCTGAGGCGATGCCAGTACAAGGTAGGCCTACACTGCAAAGACTATCAGAACCGAACACACGATGCTGACCAATCTCAGTTCCCCGGTCGCCAGAAGATCATCGTCTCCAAGAACTGGGGCTTCACCCCCCTCAAGCGCGAGGAGTACGTCGAGCAGCGCCAGGCCGGAAAGGTCAAGATCGACGGTGCTTACGTCCAGTTCCTCCGCAACAAGGGCAACCTTGCCGACAACATCCGCCGCTTCCCCACTGCCTTTGAGCAGACTGCTTAAATTTTGGTTTGAGCGAGTTCGAGGAGAGGGAACGTGGTTGATGATCATGGGTTGCATGGGATTCCGGGTTACGGCGTGATTTGCTTTGCTCAGTCATGCATGAAGGTCTGAGGGGGACATGATTTTGTGCGGGAAGATTTCCTGTAGAAAACGACCATATCAGCCCGGCAATGACAATGACATAACAACCACTATTGTGCAGAGTCTCTCGGTGTGATGTGTGGAATTAACATGTCTTGCGAAAAGATGATGTCATTTCCGACGGACTCGTGCATTTGTGTTGCGAGTCGCTGCCTTATTCGAAGCATCATCAGCGAGTGTTGCCCATGATTGCTTTGGCTTCTACTATGCGAATACAGGATATCCATCGATCTCACCGGATTCAGCTATGAACCCTAATCTAGTGCCACCCAGGCACGGTATCAATGGTAAAAATGCAAGCAAGCCCAAAGCAGCCACTTAAATTAGGGCAAAGGAGAGAAAATACGCCCATAATACTCCCAATATGCTCACGCTCATACCCATGCAACTCTATTCCCACGTCCACTCTCACATTCACATTCCCATCTTTCAAACCCCAACCCCCGCTCCCCGCCCCTCAGCCTGCGCTTTTGAAAACTGCTGCAGCAACTGCAAGACGCCGCCCCTATTCGCACCAGGAACATCTTCCTCCTCATCCTCGTCCTGCGCCAAACGGCTCGTACGCCAAGAATCGCCAATTGTGCTTTCCTCCTCGATGCGTGTGTTCGACGTACCAGGCGCAGCGTGAGGGTTCGTTTGCAACGGCGTGCGGTAGCGTCCGGATGCGGGCTGGCGGGGCGAAGTGCGGAGGCCAGAGGCAGAAGAGGGGTGGTGGTGTGGATCTAGGAGGATGGAGTTGATGGGCTCGTCTCTGTTTGAGGGGCCGTGTCTTGGTGTTCTGCGCTGGGTGGGTAGATGAGCTGGGGGTCCTCTGCTGGTTCCGCGGACGGCTAGGTCAGCAGGTTGTGCGGTCTGCGACATGGCGCCGAAGTTGTTTGGGAATTGTGGGGGAGGGTGGAAGTTGGCGCGGCTCTGGAGACGGCCGTTGTAGTTGGGGCCTCCACCGGGTGTGTTGTATGTATCTAGAAAGCCGTAGTATGAGGCTAGCATCTTATTGTCTTTGGCCATGAAGTAATCTTCTCTTAGGTCTGGGTCTTCTCTGCGTGCCCCAGTTCCGTTGGCGGGAATGTTATTGGCAGCGCGTGTGCCTTTGTTGAAGGGAAACATGGAGTAGGAACACGTCACGCCTAGGCCGTCGACGACAATGGAGAATTCGCGGAAGAAGTCGACGATGCGTTCGCTGCAGTCGGGGAGGCGGAACATGAGCAGGAAGGGCGTGATCACCATGCTCAGAATCTCTTCAGCGAAGATGAGGACCTTGGGTTGGTAGAGTTTTGAGAACTCAGCGCGGACTTCGTCAGTGTGGAGTCTATCCTGCCACGATTCCGGCTCGTAGTGCGTGTGGTAGATGACGTGGTTGAGATAGTAGGACGGGTCCGTAACTTGATCTTCCTGGGGACTGCTGCCCCGAGCGACGCGGTAAATTGTCCCGAGGACCCCAATCCAGAAAATGGCTGTTTTACCTGGTGTAATTTCAAAGTTGAGGAAGAGTTCGGAGTCAAGGAGGGTAAATGCGACGAGAACGAAAGCAAAAGCGCCAGCAACAAAGGCTACGAACGAGGATATCTGCTCAGTCTTGTCTTTGGGAAACTGAGCTAGATAAAGATTTGCATATGGATATGCCATATTACGACGGCGGGCGAAAAGATGGGGTAACTCGTTGAACTCACGGAACTTCCACTGCGCGAATGTAGTAAAATCGCGGTTGCTCAACTGTCCAGGATCTCGATGGTATTCCGTGAAGTACTTGAACAGATAGGAAGCGAGCACAAAGAGGACAGCGAATGGTGCACAGAGAATGCTGATTATGCCGGTCCAGAAGAAGCGCGTCTTGAGCCTCTTCACAAGCTCTCGCCGGTTCCGCTCCTTTAAAAAGTCTGGATTGAACTGGCCGTTGGGACCACTGAAGACGAAGTCCATGACTGCGAGATTGACATGCCACCTCGTGGTCTCGGAGAAGATGTATCGATTGCCGAGGATGGGGAGTGGTACAGTAACGTCCAAGATCTCCTTGTTAAACAAAGCAATCAGATAATTATCGCGCCGCATGAGCCGGCTGGCAATGTCGACAGCATCTAATCGTTGTCGACTCTTGGAATCGAGGAGCTTCCTTGTTTCTGCGGACAGATTGGGCGCGGTGGCCAGATTGAGATCTCGCAAGGCCATGATCCGACTCACTACTTGCTGCCATTGTATGGTCTGGATGTCCCGATCGGGAATGTCAAGGAGGTAGTGGTAAAAGTCGTGCATGGCTCGTAGGCGCGGTATGGCGGAGACCATGGTCCACAATGAGTAGAAGAAGTAGATGGTGAAGAGCCAGATGGTGAAGATCCAGAAGCCGTGTATACTCTTAGTGCACTTCGGTACTAGGACCTGGCTCATCCGGGTGCTCCCAGTGAGCTTGGAGTAGTCGATGCACCATCCAAGAAAGGTGACAAAGCCAACTACAAAGGTTGACTGTGCGAGCGTCAAGACGCGCCGCAGGAGGATCGAGTAGATACCACAGCCAACATAGTAGTCGTAGACGTCCCTCATGTACGAGTCCAGATCGGTCTGATTGACCCAGAGCCACAGCGCTTTTTCCCTAGGGTCTGCCGCAAAGTGACCTGGCCTCGAAGTATGGCCCCAAGGCCGTGACGGTGCACCCCTTCTCTCGTCGGTATGCAGTTTCTGTTGTGTTCGTGTAGCTTCCCACTGTGCTCGCGTCTGTCGTGTCGTCGGACCGGGCACCGGCATGGGCAGACCGCCAGCCTCAGTGTGGGTGTGGGGGTTTGAGGGACCTGCATCTTGCCCGCCTTCTAGCAACAAGCTCTGCGGTACATCGTCATCGTCGTCTAGCGCGAGACCCCGCCCTGGGCCAGGCTGTCCCCAGGCAGGCGCCGTCCGACTTGCGCTGGCTCCCCGCAGCGGATTCCGTCTGTTGTCTGGCGAGACGGCACGGCTCTCAGTCGTCATCTGGCTCGACGAGGCTTCCTCTAGCAAATGTGCGAGATCTTGCTCCTCGAATCTGGCCTCGAAGTTCTCCTCGTCGATGTCTATCTCGTGTCGTTCGTCAGTGGACGAGGAGTGGTGGCGGTGGTGAGCGGTGGTGGTGGTGCTATGCGGTCCTCCTTCAAGAGGGTCGTCCGAGGCAGAAGGGAGCAACCTAGACAGAAGGTTGGACGCCATCATGACGGGAGTGTTACTGGGTCACGCCTAGACAGCGGCGAGGGGGGTCGCGTGGTCGTTTTGTGCTGTGCTGTGCTGGGCACCTGGGAAGCCGTAGAGGATGGGCGTTGGTCAGGGGACCCCAAGGCGTGATTCGCAGTGGTGGAAAGGTGCCGCCATGGGGTGGTCGTGATAGTCTAGCTCACATACACTCCGTCTTCACTCTTCACAGCGGGAAGCGGGAAGCGAGAAGCGAGAAGCAAAAGGAGGGCACAAGTGTAAAAAGCGGCTGTTTGGGCGTTGTTGGCAATGTTGAATGTCCCTCCCCAGGTCAAAGGTGACGCGCCTCGACGGTCTGCCTTATCGATAACGTTAAAGCCTCGGCTATACTTGCCCTCCAGCCCGGCGCCCGCCGAATGAATGAGCATGATGAGCACACCTTTCAAGAATTCATTAGCCTGCAAAGTCACGACACCACCGCCTCCTTGTTCATGACGACCAACTATTTCCAGGAGCGGATAACGCCTGCCTCTCACAATGGCTTGTCACCAGCTACGCCTTCAACGGGCAATGCAACTCGCGGTGCCAATGCTCTGTCCAGTCGCATCACCAGCGTGCTCTCTGCTTCATACGCCGACTTAGAAATTCGAGATGCTTTCGAAACCCTCGATGCTCGTGGTGTACAGAATACAGCAGAGACTCGGCGGCAGATTCGCTTGGACGTGCAAAAAGAAGTCATTCAATGTAATGGGGAGATTGTCAAGGACTTTGGTCAGGTCGCCGAGGTAGACACAACCATCCAAGTTGATAGTTATATTCCCAATGCTAAGTGCACCAGCAACTCAAACGAATTGGAAGCGCCATTACCAGCCTGAACAGCTACTGCTCCGACATGCGAAGCCACATCGCTGCTGCAAATCGAGAAACTGGGCCTGTACTGGAAGAAGCCACGAGCCTCATGAACCAAAGGAAACAAGTCGAGTCAAAACAGCAGATCCTCCACGCATTCACCTCTCATTTCCTGATATCAGATGAGGAGTCTACCATCCTAACTTCCACGGCTGAGCCTGTCAACGAAGAGTTCTTCCAGGCCCTCACGCGGGTCAAAAAGATCCATCACGATTGTCAGGTACTCTTGGGGACGGAAAACCAGCAGCTGGGACTGGAAGTCCTAGAGCAGAGCTCAAAGCAACTCAATGGAGCATACCAGAAACTTTACCGCTGGATTCAGCGCGAATTCAAAACGCTAGACTTGGAGAACCCACAGATCAGTGCTTCTGTACGACGGTCTCTACGTGTGCTCGCCGAACGGCCGACTTTATTTCAAAGCTGCCTTGATTACTTTGCTGAAGCTCGAGAGTCAATCCTGTCCGACGCGTTTCATGCTGCACTTACAGGATCGACTTTAGAAGAACATATTGCTACTAAGCCTATCGAGTTCCACGCACATGACCCACTACGCTACGTTGGTGATATGTTGGCTTGGGCTCACTCCACTACCGTTTCTGAGAGAGAGGCGCTCGAAAACCTGTTCATCTCCGACGGCGATGAAATTCAACGGTCTATTCAGGCCGGCTTGGAGAGCGAGCCGTGGTTACGTGCAGAAGGAGAGGTGGAGGTATTCGATGGTAGAAGAGCCTTGAACCAGCTTGTCAGTCGAGATTTGATCAGCGTCGTGCGCCTGCTACGACAGCGTACTGAGCAGGTGATTCAAAATCACGAGGATGCGACACTTGCGTATAAGATTGCCAACCTTGTTGGATTCTATAAAGGCACATTTACTAAATTGCTTGGAGCCGACTCTGAGGTTCTGGATGTGTTTGACACGCTCGAAGCTTCTGCAATGCGACAATTCCGCGCCAACATGAGAGACTATGTTGTCAATGTGCAAAGCGATCTTGCCGTAGCCCCTGCCGATCTCTCACCCCCCGATTTCCTCGAAGAGGCGTTGCAGACGCTCAAGGTTCTGGCCAAGAGCTACGACACCTCTGTCGCAGCCAGCGATGACAATGGTGAAGGATTCCACACCGTCCTCGCAGAAGCGCTAGACCCATTTTTAAGCGGCTGTGAGAACCTGCAGAAAGGCATGGAACAACCCGACAGTGCCATCTTCGCCATAAACTGCCTCTATGCCGCCAAAGAAACACTATCATTGTACTCCTTCACCAAATCACGAATCACCGCCATGGACGAAAACATCGCAGCGCAAGTCGCTGCCCTCACCGATTACCAGCATCAATTCTTGCTCCACGAGTCTGGTCTCAATTTGCTCTTGGATGCCCTTGACACCATCTCGGAGTCGGAAGACGGCATCCAATCCATCTCCGAGCTCGAACCTTTTCAACCAGATGCCCTTGTTGCAGCTAGCCAGCAGCTAGACGAGTTCCTTCCTTCTGCTCTAATCGATGCATCGGAAAATCTCAAGAGGTTGCAGAATAAGAAGCTGATTCAGGATATCACCGAGGAGGCGGCGGATAGATTCTGCAAGAACTTTGAGCTCGTCGAGGCGAAGATGACGGCCGCGGACGATTTACTACGTGGTGATGAGGACGAGAATGAGGAGGGAGAGCAGAAACCTGGGTTGAGAGATATGTTCCCGAGGACGAGCGGGGAGATTAGAGTCTTGTTGAGTTGAGTTTGTGGTTGGAACTGTTTGATTCAGATTTCATGGTGAGGGTAAGAGAAGAAGTGATTTACTTTTGTGAGGTCGAATTTCAAAAAAATCTGCGAGATATCTTAATACTACGTTTGCTCTTGTGTGGGTATGAATGTGTTTTGTGTTTTGAATATGCCCACTCAATTCACATGTATACAAATATGCATGTAGCAATTCATGATAAGATGGCCATGGTGTGCTTCTTCCTTGGCCCCTCCTCCCACCATTCAAAATCCAAGTTCACATTCATTTCCTTCCTTCCCACCCCCACCCAAACAAAGGCAAGCAACAACATTCATATCCACACAAAAGCATCAGAAATACCCCCCTTCACTGCGGCTTCTTCTTTTCCCACTCCTCAGGCGTATGGCACTTTGCCGTCCACGCATGAATGGCGGCAATTTCCTGCTTGAGCGTTGCGTTGACTAGCCTGTGGCGTGCGAGGGTGGTTTTTTTTGTGAATTGGGGGGATACGATGATGGCTTCGTACATTTGGCCGCAGCCGCCTGGGGGATTTTGTTAATTTTTGGGGGTTATACATATATGTGTGTGTGTATCAAACTAACTTTAAAAAACCCATTCCAACAGTAAAGACAAAAAAAAACATACCACTCAAATCCTCAATCTCAACATGAACAGCCTCCATCCCCTCTTCCAACTTCCTCTTAATCGCCTCCATCGTAACCCCGCTTGCCGGCGGCAATGCAGTAGCGGCCTCACTCATTTCCGTGTCCTGGGGTGCGGAGACGTCGGCTGGATGCTGGTGGTGGTCCACGGACAGTTTGTCGAGGCTTTTGTATAGTTTGTGTCGTGGATCCATTCGCAGAGCCGGCCCCAGTCCGTAGTGTGGTTGACGGGGGTTCTGGATCCTGAGGGATTGTGGGAGGCCTATCTTTGCATCTGATTAGATGGCGCCGGTTGGAGGGGGAAGCCACCGAATGGGGATGGCTCGGTGTTTTTGCAGGGTGGGGAGGGAGGGTATGACGTGTGTTGTGTCTGTGCGGGGGGAAATGTGCCTCGAATGGAGGCGTGACAAGAGAGCTACGGTAGGTTTTTGTGGTAGACTTTTGTTGGAAGAGGTATATATGTTTCTGCCCACGTTGCGGAGGTTGTCTGGCACTACTGCTGCGATTATGAGTGGGAAGACCATGTCTGCGCCGTTTTCGAGGGCGGTGGTGAGGGCGATGCAGAAGCTGTGAGTTTTTGGTGACCGGTACTGGGTCGCGAGTGCAGAGCTTCATTTTGTGTCAATCGTGACAATCCCAATGCTCGAAGCTTGCGATTGACCTGGGTTGTGTGTGTATACTAATGTACTGCTAGCTACCCGCAAGCCCTCGCAGACAATTCTTGGGACAATACCGGTCTCCTGCTAGAAGCACCATTCGTTCCGTCGCGCCGCCAGTCAAACACAGTCTTCCTTGCTATCGACCTCACCAAAGCCGTCGCAGACGAAGCAATCGCATGCAACTCTTCCATCATCGTCGCATACCACCCAATCATCTTCAGGGGCCTGAAATCCCTCACATTCGCAAACACACAACAGCAGACGCTTCTGCGACTAGCCAGCCACGGGATCAGCGTATACAGCCCCCACACAGCTGTCGATGCCGCACCCGGTGGACTGGGAGACTGGCTTGCAGACATCATCACAGGGTCACGGCCAAAACCAGACGGATCCGACGAAGCCCAGGACCAAGATGACAACAAAACCGACAGCAATGACCCCTTCATCGACAAGCAACGCCCCACCTTCCAACTCCACCATCAACCAAGTCAAATGACCCAGCGCCTCGCCAAACTCGCCCAAGACAACAATAATGAAGCCGTGCCTCACAAACGCCGCCCGGTAGTCCCGCAATCACCAGCACTCGAATCCCATCCCGGCGCAGGAATGGGCCGTATCGTCGACTTCAACGAACCGCAACCCCTCGCCGCGCTCCTCGACCGTATAGGCAAGGGCCTAAATAACCCAAAGGGCTTCCCCATCGCCATACCGCAAGACAAGACCATCTCCGACCTCAGCATCCGCAGCGTCGGCATCTGCGCCGGCTCAGGCGGCTCGCTCCTCGCCAACCTAGACGTCGATTTACTCTTCACGGGCGAAATGAGCCACCATGAAGCCCTTGCCGCAATCGAAAAGGGACAGGTGGTGATTAGTCTATTCCACAGCAATTCCGAGCGGGGTTTCTTGTCCGAGGTGTTGGCGCAACAGTTGGAAGAGGCGCTCGAGACGGAGTGGGAGGCGCTGCGGCAGCACGAATTGGCAGAATTGGAGAGCAAAGGGGCGCAGACAGAGGACGGTATTGGGATGGCGTTAAGGGATGAAGAGTTTGAAGTCGCGATTAGTGAGGTCGATAGGGATCCTTATGGGATTGTGGTGCTGAGACCCGAGGCCGAGTGAGGAAAGTTTGCGTGTACATGGAGGGAGTGTGCAGATGAATTGATAATAGGACCCTGACACCGGGTACACCCATTAATCTCGATTGCGTCTCCAGTGTGCCGTATAATACTAGCCCCCCAGCAACAATTGCAAACGCCGGATGTAAACCTAGTCATTTGTTGTTTTTTTCCCGCCCGCTAATCCACGGCCCCTCTAATCTAAATCATAACCCTCACAGTTCGTCGCAGGCCAGTGCACTATTCCCCTTTGCCAACTAGCGATATATACCACACAACACTCCAAATTATCACATCAGTCAATTACCACAGGCGCGAACATCGTGCTTAATCCTCCGTGGCGCAATTGGCTAGCGCGTTCGACTGTTATGCAAACATGGCAATATCGAGAGGTTGGAAGTTCGAGCCTTCCCGGGGGAGCAAATGTTTTTTTTTGCGCGCGTGGAGGAAAGGAAGGGCAAAGTTTGGTTTTTTTTCTTCAGTAACAGAGGGTGTTGTTTTTGTGTGAATGGGTTAGGAGAGGTTAGGATTTAGTGTTTTTCTAATTAGGGCTAATAGGTAGGAACAATGTAAGAAATTAATCAACGTGTCTACATTGAGATGGAAGAAAGACTTGCTCTATATCTTTGCTCAACTGAACAACCGTTCATGGTCTTATCGTCAAAATCCCAACTCCCTTTCAAACTCCCTCCACTTACTGCCCACTGGCTGCACAAGCGTATAACTCCTCCCGCCCACGCCCTCGCCCAACGCCTGCACGCCGGTAACAAGATACAAAGGCGTCATCTCGCCGTCACTACTAAACACCAACTTGGGCCTCTCACGCCGCTTAAACGTCTCGACATCGCCGGCGCCAAAGTCGACAAGAGAGGAAAAAGCTTCGTGGGGCTTAAACGTCCAGGGCCCATGTAGGGCGCGCGAAAACATGTGTGCGCCGACGCGGGGGTACTTTGTACCGTTGTGCTGGACAATGTCAATCATCCAGTGTGCGAGCAAGTGGTGGTTTCCGCGGCGGTCGCGCCAGAGAAAGGGGTCTTCGGTCCAGGTTGGGGTGTAGTCGGATGTGTTCCAGGGGATGATGGGGCCGTTGGGGAGCGGGGTGTAAGATGCGTTCCAAGCCGGGGCGGTGAAGAGGTGGAGGTCTTCTGTGGCGAGGGCGATGGCCGGGGTATGGTTTGCTGGGTTGTAGAGGGGTAGGGGGGCTGGGTTTGTTCCGTTTACGGTGAGGTGGAAGGGGGACCAGGGGCCGGAGAGGGAGGGGGCCGAGGAGACGGAGATGTTGTTTGGCCAGGCGGATTTTGGGATGGATTTACAGGATTGGATGGGCGAGGGGGCGTCGACGCCAATGGTCCAGAGGAGGTAGGAGGATGAGGCTGGGTTCCAGTGTACGTATGTGTTGTGTCTGAAGCTCGAGGTGAGGTTTTGTACCCAGTGGTACGGGCCCTGGGGTCCAGACGTGGATTCTGCCCGGGCGACGAACGAGGTAGGGCGCCAGCCGTTGAGGCCGCAGCCGTATGCGAATTGGTCGACGAGGAGGTGGAAGAGTTTGGGGTTGGTGCGGTCTTGCTCGATTTGGCCGCCCCAGGAGGAGTTGCCGAATTCTTTGTAGTGTGTGGGCGAGGTGTAGGTGGTGTGGTTGTAGCCTGTGCCGCGGGTGGCGGGTGCCAGGTCCAGTCGTCCGCAGTCAGTGCCTGTCCAGCCGGGGTCGCAGATGCAGGTTTGGGAGATGCAGAGGCCGTTGAGACTGCAGTCTTCGTCTGTCGTACATGGCTGTGTGGAGGCAAAAGGGAGGCAAGACGAGAGTAGGAGGGTGAGCGGACCAAACTTCATGTTTAAATGTGCGTGTGAATACTTTGCCGGCCCTCTTCAGGATAGAAAGTATCATGTATATGCACATGATCTAAATCTTGGTCGAGGTTGTACCTGCTTAGAATTAGTCCGAGGGATCAGGTTCGGGATAATTACTTCCATGGCTACTTACCTTGTCAGCCAAAGTGCACCTACCCCGCAATGATCACCGTCACCAAGCACCCTCCGCGCCAGGAATGATACTCGAATGATCTATTCAAATTCTCGGCCGCCTATAAGGTGAGAGGGGCTTGCCGTCGCTAAGACTACGCTATGCTTTGATGCCAATTTCGCTAGTATACAACCCTGACCAAGGAACGCTAGGCCTGATGGAAGAAAGATTGCCGCAACGCTGAAAAGTGCTCCCAGATATGTATGAAATGTTGTACAAAAGCGCCAAATCCAAAGACCAAAGACCAAATCTCTGCTCTTGAACGTCTCCAATCCAGAACCTTGCTGTATGCCTGAAATGAAACGCCCGTGCTCTTGCAATATAGCACCGCCCAACACGGAGGCATCCCTGTCGTCGCCTAATCTTCAAGAACGTCCAGTAGAGAATCGAGCACGTCGTCTTCGCTATCCTCGTCAATAGCTTGCTGCAACTGAGCGCCAAACGCATCGTCGTCCGAGTCGTCATCGTCCCCGCTCTCAGAACCAAAGCCACTGTCGTCGGCTGAAAAGCTGCCCGGCTCCTCTGCGCCACCGTGGATATCAGACGAGTTCGACACACCGTCCTCCTCGTCGCCATCTGTGACTCCACGCCAGCTTTGCTCGCCATCATCATCATCGGGTTCTGTATCTCCTCCTCGATCGAATCCATCAAAGCCAGGCCCGCCGACAAAGGGTCCCGAATGCGGTGTTGCGTAGGCAAACGGGGTCGATTTTCCTGTCATTGCAACAGACCTCTGACTGGGACGACTGGCTACGTCAGAGACTGATCGTGGGAGCGCAATCTGAGAGGAGTAGAATGGCGAAGGTGGTTCTCGGGAGCGGCGGGGAGTCGGGTTCCAGATGGTGACTTGTGCTTCTGCTGGCTCATTTCCTTCTCCACGCGGCGATGATGAATTCGCAACGCGACGTCGCTTCATCCTTGTGATGGAAATGCTGGGTGTTCGTGAAGTGTGTTGTGGAGCAGACGACTGTTTTGTGGGAGATGAGTTGAGACGACGCTTCGAAGCTCCTGCAGGAAATGTCTCAAGAACAGAAGCTGACGTAGTGCGGTGTAGACGCGGTCCAGATCGTCGTGGGTGATTCTCACTCAGAGGTGAGATGGGCTGGAACTGCTTGTTCTTCAATATCGAATTTGGTGTAATTGATCGTCGCCATTTGCGATCACAGGGTCGCATAGACAGCTGCACAGAGTGGTGGCTCCCAAACGATGAGTGTATACTGGCCGGTGGAGCATCAATGGCCTCGACAAATTGCCAACACGCTTCTTTGGCATCCGCTTCAGACACTCGCGGCTGGCAATGATCGTCGTTGCCCTCCATTTGCGAGTCTTGATCAGCTTGAAACCGTGGAAGTTGTCGCAACTCCGGCCATGATTGTTCCCGAACCATGAAGTCGCCTTGCTGCGCGTATGCCTCGCGCGTCGTCACATACAGTCTCTTCTTGCCGCCTGACACTCGCATCATGACGCCAGATGCGAGGAACTGAGCAGACCATAGTGCCGAAGTTGCCATCTCTGCAGGCGTAAGGTATTGTAATCTAGACTGCTTCAACACCTTTCGCAAGGGAATGTAGGAAGCTCGAAGACCCGGGTATTCAGCAATCATGGGATTGGCTTTGGAATCGTCGTACGCCACATGCTCAGAGACCTCTGCGAAAGCATATGCCAGGGAAGTCTGAATGTCCTTGGCACTCGCGCCGCTAAGGGTGACGTTTTTGACGAATCCACGACTCTGAAGCCTCTGGTAGACGAGATTCTTGCTTGCACAAGCCTTGGGGAAGAGCCAGTCATCCTCGTAGCCGGCAGCCCAGTCGCTGATGGCTTGACTATCCCATCCATTCTCAGAGCTGCCGAGAACGGAGCTCTTCAAAGATGTCTGGGCACTGGGACGATGGGGACTTGAATCAGTATCTCGCGCAGAGGTCCCCTGGGATCGAAGGGTCTGCCCTGGCTTGGAATTGCGGGATTGAGTCCACTCTTCGGAGTCTTGGGTTGTAGAGTCAGGAGGACCGTGCATTGACTCATCAGGAGCGAACCAAATCCCACGCAGTTCTGGACCCCAAGGTAGAAGAACAACCTCGATTTCCCACGGATTTACAGAGGTAGGCAGAGCTGCAGCTTCAAGCAGATCTAGCCGTTCCTTGATAGTATCAATCTCCATCTCGGCATTTTTCCGGTCCATGGCGGCAAGTATGAGGGCGGACGATGTGGTGGAGTCTATAGATTGATTCGATGCGAACGAAGCAGTCACGTTGTTCGTATGTCTTCGATCGTGGGAACTGATACTTTGCTCGGCATCAATGGCTTGATGATGCTTCTCATGTTCATCCATGCGATGCTCGACTTCGATAAGCCTACCTTCATACATCTCTAGCGTGTGCTCTAGATCCTCTGGTTGTACCTGGCTGAAAGAGCCGGTTTCGAGAACATCCACACGGCTGATAAGATCCTGCATCGTTTTGGCCACATTGGGTATGGAGTTGAGCAGATTGTGCAACGGAGCTAGATATGAAACCAGCTTCTGAAAACCTTGCGGGCTGGCTGTCGTCAGTATGTGTTGGAGATGCTGCTCCTGGGCTACGGAAGGGGCGTTTGGAAGCACACGCGTTCGCCCAGACGTCGCATCCGTTGATTTGCCTGGCGAGCCAGCAGGTTGCTCCAGTTCCGAAGTCAGACGGGCAAGTGTATCGATGAACTGCTTGCCCTCTTGCACAGCCTGGTCGACCGCGGCTAAATCAGGCGTCGCCTTGACACTGGGTGTTGCCACCTCTGTCGCACTTTGTATGTAATCATATGGATTGTATGTATCGGGAACCGTGTCGCCAGGCACATTCAGCTGGAGATTGCGGTTAAACTCGAAGACTTCGCCGAGTATGCCACGTATAGGGCTCTCGACTGTATTTGCGTCGGTCGAGGTCGCTCTCGTCGCTGGCAGTTCTGGCTCGCTCTGGGATCGCTGCAGGGCGCGGGCGGCAGCGAAGTTGTCAGGAAGGGTAGGAGTAGGAGACTGCAGACGATTAGCCGCACCCATGCTTTCCAAATGCATCATCGACAAGCCCAGGCCTGCGACACTCTGTCGTGACTGATTCGCATCACGCCTAAGACCATTGCCAGCTGCTGGATGCGGGTCGTGAGAAAGCATGCAGACAGAGGGGATTCCAGGTAGGCCAGTCGTGCTGGTCTGTGACGGAGTGTCCTGATCTTGCTGAAGGCGACTCGGCCCAGCGGCGGCGGCCTGCAGCGCGCTCTGGTGTGGCAGGAGCTGGGTTGGACTAGCATGTGATGTGTAAGTGTGTGCTACTGTCTGCGGCAGCGATTGGCATTGTGCGCCGCACTTTGCATGCGCAGGCGCATATGTAGGCAGCCATCGAGGCGGTGGCTGTTCAGGCGCACGCGACACCCTCAGATGGAAGCAAGCATGGTGTCCACATACACACCAGGTAGACCTCGCGCTACCTGGATGCTGCTGTGAGCTCTCGTCGTGGAAGTCAGCGCTGCACTTGTCCCAGAACTGGTCACATCCACACTGGCCGATGGCGGCGTCGCGAAAGTTACAGCGTCCATTGGGGAGGGTTTTTCTCGAGGCGGAGGAGGAAGAGGAAGATGCGCGCAGTGTGGCTGCAGTCGCAGTCGCAGTCGCAGTCGCAGTCGCAGTCGCAGGTCTTTGATATGGCTGTGTTTGAGTCGCAAGAATCGCATCTGGGCCTGCGAACCCCTCCATGGAGAGCGACCACTGGGCATCCCTCAGAGGAATGCGAAGAACCTAGGACAGCGACATGTCTCGGTCTCGGGCATATATACTTTGGGTACTGATGACGGCTAGCATCCCATCAAGTCAGTATGCAACGTTCACCAGAGACATTGTTGGGGCAGTGGGGGCCGAGCGCATACCGAGAGAGTCGTGTGACGATATCCCCTACGAGCAGGAAACCAGGTCCTTCTTCACTTTCGGGAGGATGCGACGGAGACTTTATAGGAAAGGGAGAAGCGATGGGGGTTTCTTGGGTGCACGAGGGGACAGACGAACGCGTGGGAGGAATATGCGGGCGGAGAGGAGAGAGAAGAGCTTGGAGCGCGCAGGCCATACGGTATCTTGTACGGATGGATGGGATTGCATGTGGGCCGTGACTGTATCCTGAGGCCGAAGGAGCATTCACCCCAGCGCTGTGGTTCGCCCATGATTGGCTCACAGCCTCTCCGCCACCACTTGCGGGGAATCGGTATGAGGTGCTAGGTAGTCCCGCATAGATACAGTACATGGTAGCATATACATGTACATGGTAGCATATACATGTACATGGTAGCATATACATGTACATGGTAGCATATACATGTACATGGTAGCATATACATACAGTACTCCTACTATCTACTACCAACATGTAACCACTACCTAGGTCTTACATCTACTCTACATACCAGTCACCCATCCTACCAAATAAACACAATTCTACCCAAAACTATCCCCCGTCCAAAATAAAGCAAAAGAAGAATAAAAAATCTCCCCCTTCCCACACACCCACACCTCAAGGCAGCAGCCAACAGCACAACCCCCGTATATGCGCCACCCATTGCAAACAACGACCTGTCGCATCGTTGCCCTACGCGACGCGCGCCCCCGCCCATTGGCCAGCTTCGCATGTGCAGCACAAGAAAAGGACGATCCCGCTTCGAACGGGCGGGACCCCAGATAGTGCGCGCACGGGAAACACGCTAATCCTGGGTGTCGGCCTTGTCTTGCATGTGGGCGAGTGTCGAGTGTACCTATCCTACGTGCAGGAGGTAGGTACATATATTGCCTAGGTACAGCAGGACGTGTTGTGTGGTAGAGCTGGGTGTCAAGCAGACGTCGTGCATCGTATGCTGGGTTTGGGGGGCGGTAAAGGTGGAAATTGAAAAGGATGGGTTGGGTTTGGGAGTACGGTACCGGTACGGTACGGTAGGTAGATACGCGCGTTGTTGGACACGAGCATTACGTGTGCTGGTAAGTATACTGTAGGGAAAGGCGCGTCCATCGTCGCATCACTATTGTGAGGAAGAGACGACAGGAGTACGCACAATGAACGCCTCTGCTGTATGTAACCCCTCCAACGTGAACGTGCGACAAGGACCTGCGGGGTGTGACATCACATGCAAAATCTACCGGTACGTCGTGCAACATTGTGTCTCACAACACCAGCGGCCACCGTACCTACTCTACTCACATGTAGGCTCCACCCGTTTTCATACATGTCAAATCATCATCAAGCATCCATTGCATAGTACTCTACATACAAGACCTCGTCTCCTTTACGCAAGCTTCAGCCCATACTCGTCCGGCTTGAACCACTCCCGCAGCAAATCACCCAGGATGTCATTCGCACCCTTCTTTGCCTCTTCACTACTCTTTCCTTGGCATTCGATATAAAGCTTAATCTTCGGCTCCGTCCCACTCCCTCTGACTGTAAAGACCGCGCCATCATCCAGCTCACAGGTGATCATCTGCGCACTTGCATCCACTGGCAGATCAGGCACATGGTCCTTGCTCTTTGAGTCATAGCCCACCGTCAGATCTCGCCAGCGCACAATCTGGCGGGGTCCGATGGTGGTAGGGTGTGGACTGCCCAGTGTGCGAATCGCCGTGAATACCAAAGTGGTGACCGAGGGCGAGGGAGAGATGAGGTATGTGTTCGCGTCCTCGAAATAGCCAAGGTACTCGTACAGTCTCTGCAACTTGCTGTGGGCTGTCAGACCTTGCGTTGCCCAGTGTGACGCGGCAGTGAGCAAGACGGCTGCGGCGCTGATCGAGTCCTTGTCGTGGACCGTCTGGGGAATCATGTAGCCAAGTGCTTCTTCAAATGCGTATACGACGGCGTAGCCTTGCTTGTCCAGATCGCGTGCAACATTGCCCAACCATTTGAAGCCAGTCAAAGTCTCTTTGAACCGGAAGCCTTCTTTCCTAGCCAAAGCAGCAAGCATTCTGGAGCTGACCGTAGAAGCAAGCATCACTAGCTTATCGCGAGGTTTCGATTTCGGGTATCGTTCGAACAGGTAGGAGCCCAGAAGTATACCCAGTTGGTTTCCCGTGAATATGTGCCATTGGTCGCCCACTTTCTCAGCCGCAGCCAGTCGATCTGCGTCGGGATCGCTTGCCAGTATCAGGCGGATAGAGGACCTCTCCGCTGTCTCGATGGCCAGGTCCAACGCACCCTTCTCCTCGGGATTTGGAAATTTGACAGTCGGGAAGTCAGGATTCGGGTCAGCTTGTTCCATGACTACCGTCATCTGTGACGCTATACCGAGCGTGTTCACACATTTTCGCATGGCTCGTAGCCCTACGCCATGCATAGGGGTGTATACGAACTTGAGCTCTGGGTCCATGGTGACGCTATGAAAAGGCTGGGCTGCACACAGGACGGCCCGGTGGTAGTGATCTTCGACTAAGCCCAAAGATCCTTCTACTAGGAGACTCTCATCAATGACGGACGTATCCCATGTCACAGGTTTTAGGTTCTCTGATATTGCCTCTGCAATCCCAATGTCGTGAGGAGGGATGATCTGGCACCCGTTCGACCAGTAGACCTTGTATCCGTTGTCCTTGGCTGGGTTGTGGCTCGCTGTGATCATGACTCCCGCAACTGCGCCCAGTTCGCGTACACCAAATGGCACCAAAGGCGTATGCTGTGGCGTCTCATACCACCACACCTTGATTCCTTTGGCGACAAAGGCAGCGGCCGTCAATTTGGCAAACTTCTCCGAGTTGTGTCGTGCATCTCGGCCAACGACTACACCTCTTGCCTTGACATCGTGCTCGGTCTTCAGAAGGTAGGCTGCCAGTCCTTGAGATGCTTGTATGACTGTCAGCGAGTTCATACACGCAAAGCCAGCTTGCATAGGCCCTCTGAGTCCAGCGGTTCCAAAAGCAATGCGATTCCGTAGTCGCCTTTCCAGTTCAGCTGTATCTCCATGTTGCAGAAGTCTGTAAATCTCGTCTGATGTCGACTCGTCTTGATCCAACTCCAACCATTCCCTTGCTAGCTCTTTAATATCTTTGGTCATTGTTGTTGATGGAGTCGATCCCACCCCCCGTGCAGTATAAATGGTGCAGATGGAAAACTTCACCTGAGCGGTAATGACAAAATGATCAGGGACAGGGGTTTGATGTGATTATGAAGACTTCACGTGAAGTGTTTGGTGGTGTCACCTAACGTGCCATGAAAATTGCACGTCTTCTGATCTGCTGATGGCGGAGCTGGCCGGGTGGGCGCGCCTACCGGTAACTACTGGCACCGTACCGTATGCCTTCCTGCACCTGCTGTTTTCGTCCCGAAGCCGCAAGCGCACCTTTTCTTTCATCGATCCTGTTGCAAAGTGAACTACAAGCCAATCTTCAAGGTAGGAACACAATTGGAGGACAATTGAACCCAAACTCGAGATACTATCACGCCTGACTCGTGCTGCTCAATGGGTTGACCGTTGATCAGCGACCGCGCCAGACTTGCGCGCTGCTGCACGTGGGGCAAGGGAGGGTCAGGGTCCAATCGAAGCTTCCTCTCAATCAAGTAGGTTTCAGACTTTCAGACACCGACCTTCTCACCCCATCCTCACCTTGGCGACTGATTTAACACGTTCTTCTCGGATACGAGTTATGACTTGAGGCTGCCCCCGGCTTCAACGCTCTGCTCACGCCTTTTTTGGATTACATGTAGACTTGGGACACGTACTACGTCCCTCACCGCAAACATGAGTACGCCGGTTGAAAGGAAAGCGCGGGTGCTGTCCCGCAAGGAGATCGAGGCCCAAATTGCCAATGGCTGGTCAATTGTCATAGTGGACAATAAAGTGCTCAAGGTCGACGCGTGGATGCCGTACCATCCCGGAGGAGACAAGGCCATGCGACACATGGTGGGACGAGACGCCACGGACGAGGTCACTCGGTATGGCCATTCCCATTGACGTCAAGGCGATTCGTTTTGCTGATCATAGACCCAGATTTCACTCGGCTCAAACACTCGAGCTCGTGAATCGCTATCAAATCGGCCGAATCGAAGGTAGATGGACCAATTTTCTACCGCCAATACAAGGGGGGAAATTCAGAACACAGGAAGAGCTCGATAAGCTTCCTGATGAAGAATGTCTTGGTGGCTCCTTGTCAGATCGAGACTCTGCAAGCTCCCCATCCTCAGTTGAACAGAGCCCCATCTTCGAGCCTGCCGACCGATCGACCTCAGCATTGCGGAACCGAAACGCTCGCAATATCACCAGAACTTCCTCAAGCTCTTCCATCTCTTCTGTCGAACTTGAACACACAAAAATCTCGCCGAAGATGTCGGTGCTCGATCGAAGAACACAGCAAGAGCTGGACTTCGACAAGGCTAAATACCCAGCCCTGGACATCAAGACCCAAGACAACATCACCAAGAAGTATCGGGAGCTGCAGAAACGCATAGTAGCAGAAGGGTTGTATGAATGCAACTTCACGTCGTATGGTATCGAGTGCCTGCGGTATAGCCTGTTCTTTTGCGCCTTCCTATATTTGCTTTGCAATGGATGGTATATCACCAGCGCCATTCCGCTCGCATGCTTCTGGCACCAGCTTACTTTTACGGTCCACGATGCGGGACACATGGGCATCACACATGATTTTACGACTGACACGACCATCGCAATGTCTATTGCTTCATTCCTGGGCGGCTTGAGTGCTTGCTGGTGGAAGTACAATCACAACGTTCACCATCTTGTCACGAACCATCCAGAGCACGACCCGGATATCCAATACATCCCTTTCTTCGCCGTCACCCATCGTTTCTTGGAAAGTCTGACAACGACCTACTATGAATGGGTAATGGAGTACGATGCGTTCGCAAAAATCATGGTTCGTATCCAGCACTACACGTACTACCCCATCATGCTCTTCGCACGCTTCAATCTCTATAGACTGTCGTGGGTCTTCTTGCTTTCTGGAAAGGGGCCAAGGAAAGGCCCAGCATGGTGGCACCGCTACTTTGAGCTGTTTGGAATTGCAGTGTTCTGGGCCTGGTATGGATACGGAGTGGTGTACAAATCTTTCCCTGACAACTGGAGTCGTTTCTGGTTTGTGCTCATCAGCCACGCCCTTACCTCGCCACTCCATGTTCAGATCACGCTATCGCACTTTGCAATGAGTACTACCGACCTGGGCATTCACGAGTCTTTCCCTCAGAAAATGCTTCGAACGACCATGGACGTGGATTGTCCGCAATGGCTCGACTTCTTCCATGGAGGCCTGCAGTTTCAAGCTATCCATCACCTATACCCTCGTATTCCAAGACATAATCTGAGGAAGACACAGAAACTGGTACAAGAGTTTTGCAATGAGGTGGATATACCATATGCGCTGTACGGCTTTGTGGATGGTAACAGGCAGGTTGTTGGACGACTTGCGGATGTGGCAAGGCAAGCGGCGATTTTGGCCGAGTGTCAACGCACAATAGCAGCGGAGGGGGATTATGGTATGCATTGAGACAGCAACATAGGTTCAATATACTACGGCATGAATCCATCTATTCCCAGCACACAATTCCCACACTGGATCTTCAGTTGCAGTGTTGACGCCAAAAAGTAGCAATCGACGACTTATCCGAAAGCCTAGGTCGATCCTGTAGCTACGAGGCAAGACATCGGTACCGAGGCACTGTTGGAAGACAGGCGAATTAGTGTTGTGAAAAGAAAGTCAAGTCGTCCTGCACGATATTTACAACAATGATTGCGGGGCAGTCTCACGGTCAAATGGAGGACTTCTGCTATTAGCAGTACAGCGCGAAACTGTCGAGTGGAGGTCGGATGCTTTTTTACACCTCTTAAGACACTGTCGTGTTCGTTCGGCCGACACTCCAAAACCAAACAACAGGATACGTTTTGGTGGGCATGGTGACTAACTGTATGCGGCAGATTCGTCGACCCCACATCAAACCATGGACCTATGACGCAGTCGCAATCGAAAGACCCAACACGCCCCTCAAAAAAAAATTGACGGTATGATGAAGTAGTGTTGCCGTAGAATGATCTCATGCCCGTGCAACCAAGGGCGCAGACGCAATCCGCCAAACAGATTGTTGCAAGCTTCTGAAGTGGACTGTTACCTGTAAGAGTACCGCGCACCTTCTTAAAGCTTGCCTTCCCGCCGCTCATTATACGATGCCTCTATCTTGTTCAATGAGATCCTACTAATCTACAGTCGGTTTCAATCATCGCTCGATTGTTATACTCGTGCCAGCTCAGACCTTTGTCATCCACCACTCAGTCTCACTTGCAACATCCACACAGATACATCTGAAAGCGGGCGTCTTCCACGCAGCAAGCAAATATGGACGCAATGATCGCTAAAGCGCCAGCTGACCCTGAGACTGTAACCGAAGATGTCGAGCATCTGAGTATATCGCCATTCGGTCCTGCGAGAACGTCCATCACCGAGCATCCACTTAGCGATGATGAAGTTCGCAAGATGACCGACTACTTTCATGCGTCTTTGTACATGTGCTTGGGCATGATATATCTGAGAAGGAATCCTTTACTCCGCGATCCACTTACGCTCGAACACCTTAAGCGACGATTACTGGGGCATTGGGGGTCGGATGCTGGACAGAGTTTCACGTACATTCACATGGTATGATGATCCGATCATGACACATGGCCATTAAAGGTTGACATGCTAATAATATATCCAACACAGAATCGATTGATCAAAAAGTACGACATCAATGCTCTCTTCATTTCTGGACCCGGCCATGGTGCGCCCGCTGTCCTTTCCAACAGTTTCTTAGAGGGAGTATACTCGGAGGTCTATCCTGACAAGAGCGAGGATGAGGAAGGAATGAGACGCTTTTTCAAGTCTTTCTCGTTTCCCGGCGGTATTGGATCACACGCGACGCCAGAAACACCTGGTAGCCTACACGAGGGTGGTGAACTGGGATACTCAATTTCTCACGCCTTTGGTACCGTCTTCGACCATCCTGACCTGATTGCCTTGACAATGGTTGGAGATGGTGAGTCTGAAACTGGCCCACTAGCCACCAGTTGGCACTCCACCAAATTTCTCAACCCCATCACCGATGGCGCTGTACTACCAGTATTGCACCTCAATGGTTACAAGGTATGTTCAAGTGGAGCAATTCAGGGAGGGAGACTAAAATAAAGTAGATCAACAACCCCAGTGTGCTTGCACGCATCAGTCATAAAGAGCTCGAAGCCCTCTTCCTTGGTTACGGATGGACTCCCTACTTTGTCGAAGGAAGCGATCTTCCGTCTATGCACCAAGCAATGGCTGCTACGATGGAACGTTGTATCATCAAGATTCGCGAATATCAGAAACAAGCTAGGGACTCTGGTAAGGCGTTCAGACCTCGATGGCCTATGATTGTGCTTCGAACACCCAAGGGTTGGACGGGCCCCCGAAAGGTCGGTGATCATTACTCGGAGGGCTTCTGGCGCGCTCATCAAGTGCCTTTGACAAACGTCCTCAAGGACAAGGCACAGCTTAGGCTGCTTGAGGAGTGGATGCGTAGCTATGAGCCCGAGAAGCACTTTGACGAGTCCGGCAAGCTCATTCCCGAGCTCAGAGAGTTGGCCCCGACAGGCAACAGGAGAATGAGTGCCAATCCAGTTGCCAATGGCGGTACCCTCAGACACAAACTCCACATGCCCGACTTCCGCGACTACAAGGTCGACGTACCGAAGGGTGGCGTTGCTAAGATGGGCAGTATGGATAACTTTGCGGGTTTCCTTCGAGATATCATCAAGAAGAACCCAGAACAATTCCGTCTCTTTGGCCCCGACGAGACAGAGTCCAACAAGCTTGGCAAGGTCTACGAGGCTAGTAAGAAGGTCTGGCTCGGCGAGTACTTTGAAGAGGACGAAGATGGTGGTAACCTCGCCTTTGAGGGACGCGTCATGGAGATTCTTTCAGAGCACACTGTTGAGGTGGGTTGATCTGTTCACTCAGATGATCATGGTGAGCTGACAAAGCATAGGGCTGGCTCGAAGGTTACATTCTGTCAGGACGACACGGTCTTCTCAACAGCTATGAGCCGTTCATTCACATCATCGATTCCATGGTCAACCAGCATTGCAAGTGGATAGAGAAGTGTCTCGAAGTTGAATGGAGGAAGAAGATTGCTTCACTCAACATCCTTCTTACCTCCACAGTATGGCGCCAAGACCACAATGGTTTCACCCATCAAGATCCTGGCTTCCTTAATGTTCTGTGCGATAAGAGTCCCGAAGTCGTCCGAATCTACCTGCCGCCGGATGCTAATTGTCTCCTCTCCACAATGGATCACTGCCTTCGCAGCTCAAACTATGTAAACGTCATCGTGGCAGACAAGCAAGAACATCTTCAATTCCTAGATATGGAGCAAGCAATTGCTCACTGCGCCAAAGGTGTGGGCATCTGGGATTGGGCTAGCAACGACGCCGGCGAGGAGCCCGACATTGTGATGGCCTCCTGTGGCGATGTCTCGACGCACGAATCCCTGGCCGCAACCGCACTCCTTCGCACCCACCTCCCCGAACTCAAGATCCGCTTCGTCAACGTGGTAGACCTCTTCAAACTCATCGACCCTGCACAACATCCCCACGGCCTACAGCCACACGAGTACAAAGCCATCTTCACCGACAATGTGCCTTGCATTTTCAACTTCCACTCATACCCCTGGCTCGTTCACCGTCTCACCTTTGGACGCAAAGGCCAGCAGAACCTGATTGTTCGCGGGTACAGGGAGAAGGGCAACATTGACACTCCCTTGGAGCTTGCGATCCGCAATGGCACGGACCGATATAGCTTGGCTATCGATGCGATTGATAACATTTCACGACTGAAGAACAAGGGTGCGGCTACGAGGGAGAAGCTGCTCAATGAGCGCATCGAGGCGAAGAATTACGCGTTTTATGAGGGTATTGATCCCAAGGTCACGGAGGACTGGGTCTGGCCGTTTTAGCTGCCTGGTTGAGAGGTGGGTGGGGGAATAGGGTAACGATAGCTATTTCACTCTATGTGTTTTCTGGCCTGGCGAAGCTTGCTGGAATGCCTTGTATGCTATGAGATTAATAACATGATTTTTCTGGTCTCTATTTCTAAGGTTGACGTCCGCCAAAGACTATGTAGCGTCACACAAGTTGCAAATTTTCAATCCTTCTTGGGGAAACGCCATGCACCGCTACCCTCAGTCTCAAATTCACCACATCACAACCGTTTCCGCTTGTCCCGCTCCTACTTACTCAGACGTATGATACCGCTAGATCATCGCCACCCCGTCCCCCCTTTTCCCCCGGCAAAAGAAACCCCAGCTATCCCTCATTAATCCCAACAGGAGTTTTTCACGCACATATCTCTCAACAACCAATTTTTTCGCCACACCGTACCAAATTGCAAGATGTAGAGTCCCTCCCTTTAAACCCCATCTATCCAGCTCACCTCATCATGACACTGAGACCATCATACGAAATCCCCGCACACACAAGTCCCGAAGCCATGTCTCTGAATGCATTGTATTTTAGATGGGGCGGAGTGGCGTCGGTTTGAGAAGAGGAGGGGATGGCGAGGAAAGAAGGAGGGGCTTTATATGTTTGGTTTTTTGGGGGGAGGAGTGCGATGAAAGAGACTCTGACTGTTTTTGTGATGGATCTGAAAGGTGTGTGTAAGTGTGTATATACTAGTATGTAAGAAGCGCCTCTGGAGTAGGTTTCGCTATTTCCCCTACACATTGCACATGTATTTCTCCAGACAAACATTCCGCCCGCACTGTACCCCAGCGCGACAAGGCGGCCGCAAACTCATCCGATGGTTTATTATTGGTTTGGTACAGACTACGGGGGGTGTTGGGCAGAGAGCACAGCCATTCGTTCTCCGTCTTTAATTTTGATTTTGATTTCTAGACTGATGGGTTGTGGGAATGAGAGAGCGCGCGCGGTACATCATGTTTGTGGTTTAAACTTTTTTTTACGGGACATATAATCAACGGCTTGCGGGTTTTGCAATTTCGATCTGGAGGTCGGGGGAAGGGCAGCAGGGGGAAGGGAGCGGGGGATGGTGAGGGGTTTTATAGTGTGCAGTGGAGATGTGGGGTTTAGACATGATAGTAGTATGTGTTGACTGTAGACTATGTTTTGTCCCGGCACAGCAAGGTGTGCGTTTTTATTCCGTGGTTTCTGCGGCGGGTTGTGGGTTGCCAGGGGGAGGGGTTCAGCATGGCGAAGAAGGGCGCGGTCATTGCTTTGGGTACGAAAGGTTTTGGAGATAAGGTGTGTAGATGGGAGAAAGGAGATACTGAGAAGGGCATTGTTATTTTTAGCTCTGGAGGAGACGGGAACGGGGATGAGATCCAGGTTTCCTACACAGGCGAGATGTGATCATATAGACGCGAGTGGAAGATTCGGAAGCACATGACTATATCAACAGTCAATTATGATCCCACCAATGTGGCGAGCATTCTCGTGAGGTGATGTATCATGAATGAGGAGAAGAGCAGACATTTTATATATCCTGTCTATGAGTGTCAAACGACATATCGGCGTAGAGGTTCGGGTTACGCAGAGGAGCGTTCTGCATCCACAAGTGAGTGTTTAGTGGAGAGACGGAAAGAAAGGAGGAGTAGTTGAGTGTTTATACCCTTACCATCTCTGCAATACTAAATCACATGAACATCAACGTATACTGGTTTTGACGTTGCGTTGCAACGCCCCAAAACACCCACACATTTGGTGCATAAATTTTGCTTTTTGTACATCACAACAGCGCACACACTTGCGTGCTATTTCAGAACTTTTGCAAAGCCTCCAGTTATCAGAGACATTCATGCTTCTTCTTTGCATTTCTTGGTAGGGATGTATGTCACAAATGACTTAATGACCTGTTTCGGCAGATTTTTTGGACACACGAAGAACCGGGCAAAAGATGATTCTTTCTTTTTCTTTTCAGGAAAGAAGGGGTGATGGAAGAGGATATTGTGAGAAGTAATAGCTTCTTTATGGGAGTGCTCTGATAGCAAAGGTTCAGCACGGCCATGGGAAAATTTGTTTTCGGGGGCCCCATGTGATGGGGAATGAATGACCTGAAGAACAGGGCCAGACATTCGTGCAGTCGACGTAGAGTTTTGAAAAGGTTAAGGAACAGACAATATATAACGTTGGATGGAGAGGACGCATACGAGCTATGGTCTCATGGGGCAGTTGACGAGCCTATTTGAAAGATTGCTTTCAGACAAAGCGGTATTCGGGAAGTCTTGAGCGTCGCCAACATTGATCAGAGTTCATTCACAAAGATACATGTTTTCTTCACGGAAGAATATTCGAAGAATTATAGACACAAGCAATGACACCCAACTTGGACACACATGACATTTTCGGATCTTGTCTTTTTTTGAATTCAGGTCCTCGACAGCCACATTCACATACCACAGCGCACAGAAACATGAGGTAGAAGTCGAACTCTACTCACCCCAGCGGCATCGAAAAAAGTGTTCGCCGTTTTGGAGTAACTCAAAGTCAATAGCATGATTTGAGTAAAACGGCCATCCAAGCGCCTTGGACGTGCTTGGATACACCCCAGGAAGACACGTCATAGAAGCAGATGTTGAAGAATTGAAGTAAAGTCAAACACGGACGCTTCTACACATGACTAGACCCATCAGGTCTTCGACTGAGCGATTCGGCGACAAAGAAGAAGACATGCTTCAAGAAGTTCAGAGGCTTTGTACATCATGCTAACCTCTTAACCTAGATGATATCTTCAATCTTGATTTGATGAGGCGTGCATAGGCCAATGCCAACCCAAAAAAGACATTGGCTTATACTGAATTGGGCTCTTTTAACATGACCTCAGACTCCCAGAACTGCACCAGAGGACATCCAAATGTACAGCGGATCTTTGAAAAGTCAGGAATAGCCAGTAGTGTATTGGAGATAAAACTTGATCAGAATGGTGAATTTTACTGATTTCAGGCTTGCCCATCATGGATTCGCCTGGTTCCAGTTTTTCATTGAAGAGAAGTGTTAACACTATTGAAAGTGTTGTAAAGCCCAAGAATTAGCTAGAAGATAAGGTTGAGAAACATATCGCGAGCGACAGAATGGTTCAAAATAACATGTTTATCTCAAAGACACATAAATTTATGTTGCCTTACGTGTGTAACCCAGCACATGAGCACGAGTTCACAGGACTTGAAAGGACGCTCTCGAAGGACCTCGCAAAACTAATAAAGAGAGGATGGCGAGGGGAGATGTTTATATAGAAGACTTGGCGGCTAGCTTTGAAACATGCTCTGCAGTTGTCTGGAACTCTCAGTTTTATTACTATAGGTTACGGGCCGTGTGGTGCCATTGAAACCACTGACTTGAGTTTCATTCGTGATTGAATAGCATTTCAGGATCATGTAGATAATGGCACTGAATCATCCTGCCCAATGGTAATGGTCTCGAAGCATACAAACTGATTCACTAATGTTCACTGCTTGCCCTCATAATCCCGCGTCCATACCTCCTTGAACTTCGCCTTATCCACCGCAAACTCCAGCAGAAAGTCGCGTTCGAGATCATGCGTCCTCCGTCCCAACAGCACTAGACTATGCAGCGGCTTGCCCAGATCGGCATCGCAAAGCTGTCCCAATGTACCAGCAACAATCTTCTCGTCCTCGGCACCAACTCTTGCGACTCCCACAGCCAGACTATCCCTTGAGTATACTCCCTCTTGCTTCACGTCCTCCTCGATTTCCAGCATCTGCTGTGCGCACTGCGCGACAGTCATGTACCGCGGTGGTTCGTAGATTTTGCGCCCCCTTGCCATATTCTCGAGACTCTGCTCTTTGACCTTGATGTCCAACAAAACAAGTGTGTGCAGGCCGATGGAGACATTTTCTTTGATGCGGTCGTAAAAGGACGCGGGCTTCCAGTTGTCCAAGAAGAAGACCATGGAGACTGTCTGGCCAAAGTTATAGAGTTGCAGGCCGGTTGTGCCAATCGATGTCAGGATGCTGGCGTTGGGGATCGAGCGCGTGGGGATGGAAAGTTCGCGGGCGCGAAGGACAAGATCGGTGTGTGTTGTTGCTCTATTTTGAATGTCAGCAATGGTACACACTTGGATAACCTATCGGAGATATAACGCACCCGAACGGATCGCCAACTACGAGAAATGCGACATCGACTTTATCAGTGTCTTTGAGGATATCGTCGCTAGACGACTCGACCATTTCACGGTCGGCTATGATGACTTCTCGGCCATAAAAGGCTTCCTACTACCGTGACAATTAGTTCCTCTTCGTATAGATATCCTGTCATGTCGAACTCACAAGCACATCCTTGTCCACCAGCAACACAGCCGTATAGGCCTCGAGATATACGCGCTCAGCCTTCTTGACGATCTCCAGTCCCTTGACCGTGATGTCCTTTTCGTCGGCCAAGCCGAGTCCCACAAGATACAGCATGATATCGGGTGTGACGCGCAATCAGGAAGCGTAGTAGTCAATGTCGACAGGTGGGGTATCAAAAGAACGCCAGTGAAATTCACGAAAAAAGCATGGTGGGGGTTGGTATGGTCAAGGGCCATCCCATAGGGCTGAAGCCAAGCCTTAATCAGCCATAGTTGCCGTTGCGCGCTAGTGGTCCCCCCGAAACCGCGTAGTCAGCCGTCGCTTCAATGCTCCATCGTGCGCCGCCATTTCTCTGTTCTACCTTGTTCTCCCTCGTATCCGGATGCTGTGCGAACGTTGATATTACTAGCCGTATAACTGTATAACAGAAGGAAAAGCCACGGATTACAAATAGGGCGTCATGGCGGACAAGGATAAGATGGCTAAGTACCGGACGGAGATCCAACAGGTTAGTCTTTTGTGTTATCGCCCTCGTCATCTCTTTATTACTATATTTACCGTCACATTCCTCTTTCCTTGTGCGAGAAAGAGATGGGATGCGCGTGCTTGGTTGCTCAGTCTTCTTTTCTACTCCTGTGTATCCCTGTCCTTTGAGGCGTCGAGCTGCAAAAGTATCCTCAATGCTCAAGCGATCACTTCCAATACGTACTGTCATTTCCTAGTATCTAATCTCTCGCGCTGCATATCTTGTTTCTCGTACGAACCATGTTCGTGCTACTGGCAGGCCACCATTGTCTCTCCATGCCCCATCTGCAATCTAGTCATGTACATCACTGTCAAGCTTCATTCGATTCGTCTTCTTGGTTTTCACGTGGATCGCCATTCCTGCCGGCCTTCTATTTTGTCTTCTACTTCTTGTTACACTCTCTCACAGCACGTTGTTCCTCGTATCGTCTCACTTGCTCTCATACTTTTACTACACATGTCGCCCTGCTCGCAGCAGGGCACCAACATATACCCGAGCTCTACTATCTTTACCAACTCCTTGCTCCATCCTCATGGAATAATCCTTCTATTCAGACGTACAGCTAACCTTTTCCTCCCCACAGATGATGTTTGTCTCTGGTGAAACAGGCGAGCCCTCCCCTGAGACCACCACACTCATCGAATCCATTGTCCAAGACCAAGTGCAGCACATGCTCCGTGAATGCACCGCCTTCGCCACACGGCGCGGTTCTAGATCAATCTCCACAGACGACCTGTTCATGCTCATCCGGCACGACCGAGCCAAGATATCTCGTCTGCGCCACTTCCTCCAGTGGAAAGACGTGCGTCGCTCCGTCAAAGATTCCGACGACAAAGGCGGCGACGCCGGCGCAGACGTAGGTGCTGGCGATGCTGACATTGCTGCTGGCGTTGTGGGTGCAGGATCAGGGCCCAGCGGTGGTCCCGATGCAGGCAAGAAGGCCAAACGGGCAAGAGTCGATCTAGTCTGGGACATTCATTCCTTCTTTACCGAATTCCCGCCGCAAAAGGATGATGTGGAGGACGAAGAGGAAGAGGAGATGAACTATGCCACGCTTCAACGTCTCAAGAATGCAGATGAGCGAACGAAGAACATGACGAGGGAGGAATATGTGCACTGGTCTGATTGCCGACAGGCCAGCTTCACGTATCGCAAAGGCAAGAGATTTAAGGAATGGGCCGGCTTCAGCCTCATTACCGATTCCAGACCCAGTGACGACATTATCGACATCTTTGGTTTCTTGACGTTTGAGATTGTGCAGACGTTGACAGAGGAGGCGCTCAAGGTCAAGGATACAGAGGATCTCTATAAGAAGAATCATGGGGGTGAGCAGAATAGGTTGAAGCGGAAGAGGGAGAGGGGCTTGTTCGATCCGCCCGAGGAGGCGAGGGAGCCGGTCCAGCCTAGCCACGTGCAAGAAGCGTACAGGAGGCTGCAGAGAGGCAACAATAAGCAGAGGGCAATGCTGAACTTTACTAGACAGGTGCAACGTACTGCTCTTAAATTGGTAAGTCCCGTCAATCAGCCAGCATCAGGAATTGGCTAACATGACATAGCTTTGAGAACGAACGGCAATCATAAAGCTGTGTAATGACTGAAAACTGGCGTTATTTTCTTAGGATACCCATTAGGGCTGGCGTTGTTAAAATTACAGCATTAATAAATGCTTCAGAGCATTACATCATCATGTTCAACCATCATTTCCGTTGGTGGCACGTAGTCAGTGGCTTAGCATCACCATAGAATCAGACAGCACTTTTGAAAGCAGATTAACTCCAAGATTGACCATCATTCCTACTGTGCCGATGCTCCCATGACCCTATTTTAGTGGACATTCATGACATCGAAATAATCAGAGAGGGGTGGCTAGTCGGTCGTATGCACGGAAAGAAGAGTCTTGACAGACGTACATGAAACATGACCGCATATGCCCAGATAAAAAGGAGATTTACGCCCTCCTTTAACCTTAGAAAGACCCACGCCAGTTGTTCATCATGTCCCCTCATGCTTACTCGGCATCGCCCAATTGCTCGGCGCGCTTCTGCTGCAGACGCTCTTGCCTCCTCTCCCTCGCAGCCTTGGTCTTCGCACGCTTGGCGTCCATCTCTTCCTTGATAACCCTCTCGCGGGCCTTCTCAGCCTTAGCCTTGTGGATCTGTAGCCGAAGTCAGTAGCTGAAGGGCGAGTGGGGTGCGGAGTCATGATGTCATGGTCACGTACGTGTTCAACGAGAGCACGCTTGTGCTTGAAGGTGTTACCCTTGGAGAGGTGGTAGAGCTCGTGGTAGAGGTGCTTGTCAATCTTTCCTGCGGCACGGTACTTGACGAGTAGACGGCGGAGAACACGGAGGCGGCGCATCCATAGGACTTGGCTATGGATAATGTATCAGCAAATGGCTCCTAGCCCAGTAAATCTTCACACTCCACAATATCCTCTTCTCAACGTGCATTGTGGCAGTGATGTCGTGATTGCGTACCTTGGCATACGAGCGTCCGCAGTACCCTTCCTCTTACCGAAACCACGGTGTCGGCCAATTCGTCGGGCGGCGGTCAGAGCCCGGGCACGAGCACGCGAGTGCATGGTGACAGGCTTGCGGATGATGAGGCCATCCTGGACGAGCTTGCGGATGGTCTGGCGGGAGTTGGCGTTGGCGATTTCGCTGGTCTCGTTGGGGTCGAGCCAGATCTTGCGCTTTCCGCAGCCGACCACGGAGGCCGCAAGGCGCTTCTGTGTGCGGAGGTTGACCCTGTGACAATGCACGTCAGTATCATCAATGCCATGTGTGGGGTGAGGTTGTGGGCGACTGGGAGGCGCCCTTCAATAAAGAGGGGTTTGCCACTTCTCGAGTCGCTCGTCAAGCTCGAATGCAAGCCTGGGGAGGTGCAGTACGGATGCGATGTTGCTCGTCGAGAAGCGCAGAGGTGTATAACGGCGGAATCTCTTACATTTTCGATGATGTTGTCGTCCGTGGTCGTGGGTGGATTGTCGTGACTGACGGATTTTGAACGCTCAAACCGAAGAGCGAGGTGCGATCGCTTAGTTGTGCCAAGCACTAACTGCGACCGGCCTAGTTGTGCCCGATTAGGAAACGCGCAAAATTTCCCCAGAACATCATCACAGCAGATGACCGAGCATTTCGTGAGGCTTGGATGGTGGAAGTGAACTGAGTTTAATCCTCTATCATAATATCTCACATGAAGCTCGTATAGCTGCCCTGCATTGCTATTACTGGCAAAAGACACGAAGAGTTGTTCACTTACTTCAAGCGGCCATTGATCGGCAAGAGAGACATCCAAATTCTTACCTCATGGGCTTGATTTGACTGTTCATCTAACAGAAAAGGAAGCCCTTGAACCGGAGCCACGGGTCATGATTCTACAGGTCATGTCCTGTTATAATATAATGAGGTTGCGGCAGCTGTCACCAGCCTCAGGACACATCTTCACATGTAGCCTGGTGATGACAAGGATATTTAGGAGATAGTGCAGCAAATATCACATCCTCACACTGAACACACAATAAGAACGAAGGCTGATACCACAATCTTCAACTGCATTAATTATTGTAACTTCAAATCCTCTTCACTCAGAACACCGTACAACTTCTCGATCTCCTGCCCAATCAGACCCAGATCCTGGGCCAACTGTGCCGTCACCAATGCTGCATACTACGTCAGTATACCGCCATCAATCGTTTGTTTAATGATTACAACTCACCATAAGCGTACAAGAGCTCGTAGTCTTCATCCTTGGCGACGACCCTACCGAGCCCTGTTTGCCGGAACTCGAACACCTTTGCAAGCAATCGGTCTCGCGTATGCTCCACGTTTGGCAATACATCGTTAAGTGGGTATGCTAGTTTCATGGATGAGGCCATGACTTGCGAATGTTAGTTATGATGTCGTGTTGTTTTACATTGGCTAGAGACTTACCTGAGAACAAGTGACTGATGCGCCAACTCAACTCTGTCCACTCCTTCTTCGTATATCGAAGGGCTTCTTTCTCACCTTCAGACTGTTCAGAGTCTTTCAAAATGATGACATTCATCGCATGAAAGCTGTCAAGGATCCGACTCGTTGCACCCAGTATGACCTTGAAGCTCTTATCTGGGAACGGTCCTCTGAGCTCAAATTCCGCCGCAGCTGAAGCGCGCAATGTCTCCAAATGGCCGAGAAAGCGACGCAACTCGAGTTCTTCACGTTCACTCATGAATGAATGTTGTCGTCCAGCACTGTTCTCGTACGACTCGAGCAGTGTCTTTAGAGGCCCGCGCTTCCAGATAAGACCCATCTTCAGCCACAATAACGAGGTTCCTTTCTTGACCTTACGACGTGCTGATATCGGCCAAATCAGTCGAGTTACTATCACTCCCCATAAACAACCAACCATGACGGCTACAACACGATGTAGCACGATCTCCCAGATCTCAGGTGAGATGCCACCTTCGTCGTCGTCATCGTCGTCATCTTTGACAGAGAGTGAGTAGGCGTAGAGGGCGGAAAGGTTGTACGTGAGTAGAATGAAGCGCCCCATAGGACCCTTCCCCTTGCCAACAATGATGTAGAAGCAGAAGAGCGAGACGAGCCAGCCAAAAAATCCGAGGAGCAACGCGTGGTCGTCAGCGGCAATCCATGCAGCAATCGCGAAGACCGCGCCAAGGCATGTACCGGCGAAACGCTGAAACCCTGTTGTGTTGCTAGCGCCGATTGTCTAAGATCTAATTAGCAGTCGTCCGAACGCTTTGGACAGGGTAAAGTACCATCGAGCACACCAACATGTACGACAAAAGCCCCCATTCACCTCTCCAGAGACTGTATAGGGCCCTTGTAGGTTCGATGAAAGACCACATGGCGTAGAGGATTGCACCGATACCGACCTTGACTGCAAACTTCAAATCGTCCCGCCTGAACACGGCCAACGACACCCATATGCGATATGATAGCGGCTGATCATTCTCTGATCGATATGGATCGCCTCTGGTGGATTTACGGTAGATGGGATTGTGGATTTCGTGTGAGCCACCAGGTGTTTGGGTTTCTCCTTGATCAATGAGAAATGCGTCCTCTGTGCACCATTAGTATATTCTCGCAAACAATCTACGGAAACAAAGCTACTCACCAGAGTCATCACCTCCTGGCTGCTTACTGCGACGCCCTCTTTGCCAAAACTTCAGCCAATGATAAGTCCTCCGTCGTGGGTAACGGTTGACATTGGCCTTCAGCTCTTCGAGAATGTCTAGGAAGGCGACCATATCTTCCGCAAAGTCATGTAAAGACAGACTGAAGTACCCACAGCTTGCAGCGACTTCCTCATAGTCTGCAGCTACGGCTGCAGTGCTCGTTCGCGTAGGTACTTTGTTCTTGTAGACAGCTGTTAGGGCGTCTCGTCTAGCATTGGCAAACAACACCTTCGCATCGATAAGACTATGGCGGAAGTGTTCATTGATTGCCTAGTGCTACGCGTTAGAGCTTAGCCTACACAAGACACGGAAAAGGTTAATATACCATATTGTACTCGGGTCCAGGGCCGAAGGGTAGCTCCGAAAGAACCTCAGATAAAGTGTACGCCAGTGATTTCTAAGAGAGTCAGCGTATCAATTGAAACGTTTCAGGAGTAGCTTTTACCATAGGCGGTCCCAGATGAGCGATAAACACAGAGAACATATCTGCAGGCGTGAGGCTGCCCTGCAAGACGGTTGGGACTCTCTGCGAACTTGGTCTCTTCTGACCAGGCTCTTCATCGTCAGACACCTCGGGGGAAGCATAAGCTGAGGCATCTGCAGAGCCTTCTGGAAGTTCATCAATGGACGCGAGGATACTTGAACGCCTCTCTGAATAGCTGAGGCTCGGAGAGAATAGTGGAGGGCTTTGAGAAATCGTGTGCTCTGAGAAGATAGACGATGTGACTGTGCCGTTGCCAGGCATGATCTCCGACCGCGTCTCGCCTGGATCTGACTGAGCAAGTAAGGTGAACTGCGTTTCTGCAGCACTTCTCAATCCACCAATACTTTGCATGAGAGTTTCTAGACATTTTACAAGCCTCGCGTGGATCTTGTATTCTTGTTCAGTTCCGAGTACGTAGTGCTCAAATTTAGCCTCACCCAAGTTCTTCACGAGGGTCTTGAAGGTCGCCTGACTTTTATTCGAGGCCTTGATAAAGGCTTCACTCTTGAGGTCCTGCTCAGCGCCTGAGAGGAAGCTGCGGGTGATGCCATTCAGCATGTCAGCCATGGCATCGGTAGACTGGATAAAAGTATCGCGGAATTCGGTGCGAGCTGACGTAGGTCGTACCAGAAGACAGACAAGTGCAGACGCTGTGCATCCCATGATGACCATCTTCAACACCTGCCAAACTTTGTTGTACGAGAACATGCCCGCCTGTACCGCTCCTTCTTTGGTCAGGACGGTAATCAGCGCCAGCGATGTTAGGGAACAAGCTACATTGACGAGTGGGTTGCCCAGCTTATGTTTCGTCCATCCAACGAGTCCCAGGCCACCCCCTAAGAAGAAAATGAGCACAATCGCATGCCCAAGAGCAAGGTAGCCATGTTGTCCCGAGTATACACTGACAGCCATGCTGGAAAACGAGATGGCGGCCGCGTAGAGAAATGCGCAGAACGCCAGCAATACTGCCTCGATCATGCTACCAGCTGACCGCGCGGGGTGGAAATATACAGTGATGGTAGCCACAATGTGCTTTCCGTCATTTCTGCCCAATAGCGCAGCGATGAATGGTACAAAGGTCGCCAGTGAACCCAGTATGTATGCCAGAGAGCACTTCAATATGCCAACACCGACGGGAGATGCCGCATAACTGTACGCTTGGCAGTACTTGTATTTGCAGTACTCTTTCCACTGTTCCATCCTACTCATCTCTCGATGACGCTCGGGGTCGAAGTGGCCAGGCGCAAGCAGGAATTCGCTGGATGGGGTCGAACGGTGGGCGGGTCGGCGTAGGGTAAAGGACTTTCTGACGCGTTCACCGGTTGTTGGCTGTATCATAGAGGCCGACCGTAGCTATAGCTTATTGTGAGTCTCGTCTCTTTCACTCATACAGTGGGCTCGAAGGCGACGGGTACTTACGTTCGGCCGCAGAAAGCGACGCTGCGCCGGAGTCTGCACAGACTCGCTACTCATCGTGAGCACAACAATGGTGGACTCTTTGCTACGGTAATTCAGGGCATGGTTGAGGGGCTGAAGGAGGTTGTCCAAGACGTCGCGGAGGCGTCTTCCAAGGTGCTACCATGCCCTGTACCGGTAGATGCCCAGAGAATGACATCGACGCGCTAGCATGAGCTCCAGCCACCCTGGCGAGGCGCATCACGTGGGATGCGATGTCGTCAGAATACCAAGTGAGGCGGAGCAAGGTCATCCAAGAATCTCTGCCACTTGCTAGAAAGTGCAGGAGACGATTGGATAGAAGCATGGATGGAGAGACTCCCCAGCTTGCTGAATAGCGCGTCATAGGGCATCGTATAGAGGTACCGTAATTACGAACCCATCTATTATCCGTATCCCATGATTGGTTGCATGGCCCCCAGCCCGTACCGGTACCTAACGTACCAGTACGCCTTTCCTAGAGTGTCGTCCTCAACCTTGCATTCACGCGTTAAAACCTACTACACAAAACGAACAAAGTCTACAGCCAGGCCCGCTATGGATGGAGAGGAAGATATAGATATTGCGGCCGCGATGGGCTTTGGTTCATTTGGTAACACCAACAAGCGGAAGTACGATCGCACACAATCGCCCATAGCGAGTGCTGATGACGCAAGTGGTGCCAACTCCACACAACTGGGCGTTCGACCAAAGAAGTTTGCAAGCACTCAGCAGGAAGCTCCAGAAAATTCGAAGCCATCAGGCTCGAATGATCATTCCACTACGGATGATCTGTCGAATCCTCTTAGCCCTGAGTCAACCCCACATCAACCTCATGAGCAACCTTCTGCCATGGAGATGGTCTCTTTTGGTGGACCTCCCATCACAAGAAACGAGCTGAATGCTTTGAAGTTTGGTGTCCAGGATGAGAATGGAGATACTGCATATTTCCTGCCCAATTTCGTGGAGGATCCATGGGCGAGTCTAAAGAGTAACAACAGAACTTGAGGGTGAGCATCTAAGATGAATACAGTGAATATCGCTGATCTTCTCTAGACTTTCTTTATACGGAGAAGTGCTTCAACGTATCTATACCAAGAGGTACTGTAACGTATTTATACCAAGAAGTCTTTCAACGCATAGATTGTGTACAGCATGTCAAGCTCTGGGCAATGCGGAGATCTCGTACAATCGAAAACTCGTCTCAACCATAAATGCGGCCTGAGTAATGATACTGAGCGAATTCCGAAGATCAAAGAGCGCATACCACCTCATCCATAATCAAGAAATTCAGCCATGAAAAAAAGAGGCATATAAGCAAATATGATCTTACAAAAGAAATACTCCGATTTCAAACTTCAACCTCCCTCAACCATCCTCCCACGATCCCCTACCCGTCCAAAAAGAAAAACCATCGTGCAACCCGTTCCCCTCCTCACTCCCCTTCCCCAAAACTCCGCCATCAGCTGTCAATGTCAGGCCGCATACTGATAACCTCACATCGACCCGCCCCACCCCTCGCCACCGTATCACAACCACCCCCGCGCACCCAAAAAGCCTTCACCCACATACTATAAACCCACCTGCCCTCTCTGCCCCATCTCCCCCATCTCCTCGCAACTCGCGCCCCTCCAAACCTCAACTCCCACTCCCACGTGCGCGCACGCAAGCACGCCAGCATGTCCCAAGCCAAGGAAACAAGACACACTCATCCTCACCACTGCCCCCGCTCCGTCCCGACATGTCGAAAACTCCAGCGTTGTACTTGGGCCGTGATGCTTCCGAGTCCCGTAATACGGGTGAGCACGTGAGCACCGACGCTCGGTACCGGTACCAGTCTACCATCCAGTACATACTCTGCGGTACACTGCAGTACCACAGGCCGTCGCCTACTAAAGTAGAGTATGGTAGTAGTACTATGTAAATATATAGCAGGAGCGGGGCCGCCAGCGCAGGTGCCATGTACACGGTTGACGCACGACATTTTCTGGAACGGGGGGGGAGGGAGCTGGGGGGGAGGTAGTACTACCTATAGCAGTGGTTTAGATCCCTTGCGCACCCGTGCTGTGCATGGCAGCGATATGTAGTATGCGAGTATGCGTACGGTGACGAATAAGCGCGATTTTTTCTCGCTATTTGAAACTTTAATATGGTGTGTGACACTGTGCTAGCGCTGGGATTCACGAGCGCTTGGGGTGGGGTGTGTGGTGTGGTGTGGTGTGGTGTGGTATGGTATGGTATGGTAAGATGGCACGGCGTTGTTTGCGGGTGTGGTAGGTATGTACCAAAGCCATGGTATACTGTCGTCGCTCTTGGGGCCCAGCAAAGGAGTTTGTTTAAGTAACGACCATAGTCAAACAGCCACAGGGCTTTTATTTCCCATAGCCACAGGACTACCGCTTACAGGTTCAGGCAACCTCATACCTAGGTGATTGAAAAGTGCGCAGCACATCGCATCTGCTTGCTCTGCTTGCTCTACTTACCCCCAACCTCCCTCTCCAAACAAACTCAAGACACCAGAACCCGCTCCGCCCCACACCAAGAATCCCGGGTGAAGAACGCCCCCGTCACGTGGAACCTTTTTCGCTACCTAGACGCTGGTTGGACCCGAACGTTACCTACAAGTCGCACACTTTTTGCACCACGGCAGTGGGGTCTTGGTCGCACAAACCCACTGCGTGCCGCCGACCAGGCTCACTGGGAGGGGAGACTGCTTAGTCAGGTCCGGATGCCCAAAATCTCTGGGTCCTAGTTACTGTGTCTCACGTGGAAATTCTTGGTATGGGAGAGTATTGAATTGGGGGAAGGCGTTTTATGTACGGCGGCGATGACTGCCTGGGACAAGTCACCGATATTTTCAAGATTATATAGAGATCATGACATCAACACATGACGAAGGAAACGAAGCCACACCCATACTGAACGTTCCATCAAACACCAGCCACAGAGCACGTCCCTCCCACGCTGGCCAGACTGTCATTCCGTCGGGCTACTTCCTAGAGGAGAAAAATCGACTCGAGACTACACTAGACAAGCTCCTCCCAGCAACCCAAAGGCCCACTTGAGCGTTCTGACTCCCCATTTGTCAAGCTCAGGCAAATCAGAGACGTTCTGCGGATCCCAGCCAGCGCGCAGGACGTCAGTGACTGTCATTTAGCCAGGTCCGTAGCCGCGCCATTCGAGTCGTGGTGATGAGTCTAATACTACCATTCGCTCGCTAAGATACCGACAAGCGCGTAGCACTTGCAGCAAGCAGCGGGCCGTACCGAGTCACATTGCTGAGGAAGGGCGTGGATCGCTAAAGCAGCGAGGCGGATTCTTGCTGGCGGAGCGGAGTGGAGCGGAAGTTGCTCAACGACAGTCGTTGATGTTGAACGTCGAAATGAAGAGATTGCGCTTTCGCCGGAAAATCGAAAAGAAGGAAGTTCCTATAGAACCGTGGGAATCGTGAAGTGAAAGTAAGCCACCCAGAAATTGTGAAAAGAATCCGAAAATTTGTGTATGGAGAGTATCATCAACAGGCCATGAGGCAAATGAGAAAAAGGTCGAGGTGACTAGTAGTCAACTGGAGCCGGGTACCGACGCTGAGCGGTCTGATATTGCTCTGGGTATTTGCGAGCTGCTCGGTCGTTGAGAGCACTGATTTGTCAGTCAAATTCGCAGATCTATGGTGCAGATGAACTTACTCTACGCGTTTCTGAGTCCACTGCAGATCCTTTTGTACATCTTTTGCGGCTCTCATTCCATCTGCAAAATTGGCGCGGGCACCCGCCAATCTTCGCTGGGCAAGTGCTTGCAGTTCGAGGAGTTCTCGGTGTTTGGCATTCAGCTCACCGGATCTGCTCCGTGTCAGTTGGTTCCTTGAGTTCAAGAATTCATCGACTTGGAATGAGGGAACCTACGTCTGTGCCTGCTTTGCCAGACTGCGGTCTAGTGGTAGTGGGTCAAACGAGCCATTCAGACGGTTACCCATATAGTCGAGGAGATCCACGCTGGCGGCTCCGCTAGTCGATTCATATTCGCTTGCACTGCCAGCATAGTTGCTAGACGTTGCTGACGGTTCGTACGACGCGACACCGGATGTTGTGACGCTTTCTGGGCCTTCCGGTGGTGATGCTGACACGCGTCCATAGTTTTGTTGCGGTGGATAATAGTAGCCGGGCTTCTGAGGCATCTGCATTGGGTATGAAGATTGGGGCAATTGATAGTATGGGTGTGTAGTGGCCATGATGTCGATGATATGGTCGATTAATACAGAAAATTTGTATGGTAGCCCTTTTGGCGATGAAGTGATGAGTGTAATTGATAGGCAAGTGTGAGAGAGGTGACTGGAGTTGGTCCAAGCCTGAAGTTGTGACACTGTACTTGAATAGATGGAATCCGAGACTCTGTAGCAAAGTGTAGCTAAAGAATTCAGAAGATGATTTGCTTCAACTCGCATTCTGTCCCCCTTTTATAGCCATCAATGGCGGCAATATCACGCATGAGCTAGTCCACGGGGACATGGCTCTGACCCCAACATGCCGTCTCATGCTTGTGACCCCGCCCGTGAAGTGATAACGGTGCATAGTCTTGCATCCACTGAGGTTCGGTTCCGCTGGAGCCGGTCATGGAAGCGTCATTTGGACTGGGCTGGACGAATGCCCGAGAGCGTAGGCCGCAGCCGATCCACGATACCTCGGCGGGATATGGAATGGAGACAAAAGCCAATTGGCTGAAGGAAGAGGCTAGTGGAATGATTTCTGAGCTGGCTTGAGCAAGGAAGGTTCGGCGGGGCGAATTGGCGTGCAATAACAATAGGGTGCGATTGTGGGAGCACATGCCGTCGAGGACCGACATCAGAGCGTTGGATAAAGCAGCAAGAAATGGTAAGCGCATCAGACGCGAACGCCAGCGCCATGCAAAAGCAGCGAGGGTGGAGAGCTGTACGTTGCATGGGTAGTCTGCTTGATAGACATGTTAAGTGTTGTCAAGTTGATGCGTTGGCTCGACAGCCCGCCAGCGCCTTCCAGCATGCAATCTAGGTAAGGCATGGCAGGCCGATGGAGGGGGAGGGGGATCGATACAGCAAGCCTGGGCGCATTAGACCGACGGCGGTGACCATGGAATGGGAACATGGGCAATAAGATGCATTGTGTGGGTGAGTGGGTGAGTGGATGGGTGGGTGTTACGGCATTGCGTAGGATTGAGGTTGGGTTGGGGTCTGGTCAAGAAAGAAGCGTCGTCGAAAATGATTTTCGGGCTCGGTGAGTTTGCCCCGCCTGCTCCTGGCCCCTCTCTCTTCTCACTCTCTTGTACTCTACCCATGCGTCATCCTTTACCGGGTAGCATTGGGGCAAGGCCACCACCAAGATGATTCGCCGAGCTAACGAAGGAGCCTGTGAAGATGGGATGGATGGATGCGCTGACATCTCTACCGGTAAGCCTAGCCTATCCTAGTACTCTATCTCTACCTGCAATCCCTGTCCTGCACAACCTCGCACGACACTCCATGCCATGGCCTTCGGAGACGTTCCAATGGCAGAGACAACGACGTTGGGCTGGCGACCTGGTTAGTGGCGGTGAAGGAGACGTCTTTAGCTCCTTCGCCTTCCTCATGTGACTATTCCCGGCTCCCGTCTGGCTCCCCCATCCCCTGCAATGGAACCAAGCCGCTCACCACGCACTATGTACAGAGGGAATGATATTGGCCCTACCTCAAAGCCTCCAATCTCCAGTCTTTGATCTGGCCATTGTACATCGTCCATGGTGGTGCCGCCAAATACCACACCCACACACAGTGGCCGTTCCCAAGAGTGAAAAGTGCTAGACATGTAGCATAGGAAGTCATCTACACCACCGTTACATTGGCGTCAAAAACCACTGTTCACGAGCCGATCCGGTGTCACAACTGTCAGAATCAGCCATGCGACTTGCGCGTGGTAGGCTACTAGCCATGAGCTTGTACACTGTGCCCGGACGGTCAGGGTCAGCCAAGACCCACACATGGCTTCCAAGAGCGATCCGTCACGGCTTTTGTGCGCAGGAACTCTGCGCCGAACGAGCTACACGAGGCTGTCAACGCTAGATGGTTAGCTGCTCAGGATGTGCGACCAGGACTCAGCGTTTGCTTCGCGGATCGGAGAATACATGGCCTTGGTTGCAGGCGAGCGAACATGCTTGAATATCGTCTATATGCAAAAGCAGTCCACCGACCCACTCCTACGCATCCCACCATGCCGCTAATTCTGTAAGCCCCGGTTGGCTGCAATCGCCCGAGACATGACCCTGGCGAAGCGGCCAGGCACATCTTGATCCTGCTTTGCCGTCTCGATGCCCGTCAGAATCTTCTTGATGCCAACTCCTACTTCGGCACTACCAGTGATTTCTTGGATTTCACCAATAGCTCGTTGCTGATCACTTTCTGAGAAGGCACCAGACTCTTGCAAAACATTGGCCAGTTCAGCTTGTGTGTTCACATTGGGCACAGCAATCTCGGCATCGAAGCGGCTGAAAAGGTCCAGTTGAGTGAGTACCGAACGCTCGGTAGTCGTCGCGAAAATCAGTAGACGCCGTCCCTGATCCCGTTAGTACACGCTCTCACAGGACACAGCCATTCTCGTACGAGACATGTGGCTGTGGCGGCATGCAGCTAAACAGTGGCTTACCTTGGGCGGTTGCTTCTCCAGTAGGACCTTCAGTGCTACCAGAACGCTATTGCTGAATCGAGGACCAATGGGAACCCAGTCAACGAGCATCTCGATATTGTCAATAACAATAACACTAAGAGGACTCTTGTAAGCGTCTCGGAAGGTCTTGTCAAGCTGCTGTACTTTCTGCATCTCGCTAAACCCAACCATGTCTTCAGGTGAGATCAGCTTGATGAATGGATACCCTGAGTCGATCGCCATCTTTGCAGCTAATGCCGTTTTTCCACTTCCAGGCGGGCCGTGCAAAGCCACAGAAAGAATTGGCGTGGAATCCGGCTTCCTTACTTGATTGATGTACAAGCGTCCCTCGTCGAGAATGTCTCTGATAAAAGGGGAGAAATTTATAATACCACGTAGCAAACGCTTTCCGAGCTCTTCTTCTGCAACGCCAAATAGCGGCTTCACTTCGTCAAGGGCGCTCATAAAATCTTGGCGGTTGACCTTCATGTTCTCCACGTCTGGGTTGATTGCTGCCATTGTGCCCACCTTGATATGCCGACTGAATGCATAGGACGAGGCTGCTTTGACCAACCCGTTGAGCTCGGCACCGGAGAAATTCTTCGTAAGTCTCGCAAGCTCTTCAAGGCTAACGTCTGAGTCGAGAACGTCGTTCGCTCGCATCTTAGTGGTGTGGATTTTAAGAATTTGGGCTCGACCCGACTCATCTGGCAGGGAAATCTCCATATGTACCTCTAGGCGACCAGGTCGTAGAAGAGCCTCATCGATCATGTCCATTCGATTCGTCATTCCAATGAGTAAGATGTTGTTGAGTTGATCCACACCGTCAAGCTTGGAAAGCAGCTGGTTTACTACACTGTCACCAACACCAGTACCTCCGCCTGCACCAGATCCTCTTTGCTTGCACACAGCATCGAGCTCGTCGAAGATGATGATGTGAAGACCACTCTCATCGCCCTTCTCTTTGTATTCTTTTTCTGCATCCGCGAAGAGCTTGCGGATGTTCTCCTCCGACTGACCCACATATTTGTTCAAGACTTCCGGGCCGTTGATGACCTTTGGCTCGCGAGCATTCAACATGCTTCCGATCTGGCGCGCAATCAAAGTCTTTCCTGTACCGGGAGGCCCGTACAAAAGGATACCTCGAACGTGCTGTATACCAAGCTTCTCTACCAGGCCTGGGGGGAAGATACGAGAAGCAAAGGCTCGTCGGAAGATGGCACTAAACTCGGTGTCTAGTCCACCTATACCCATATCTTCGAACTTGAAGCCAGGCTGAATGATCGAATTTGCGGCTGGCCGTCTGGTGGATGCCTTGAGCTTGATGTCTGTCCGAGCATCCTTGAAGAAGTCGATTTGAGTGTGACTTGTAAGGATACCTCGAGCTCGGGGATCTGTAAGAGGAGGTGCTGAGCTGTCTTTCTTTTCCATGGAGAGGTCCACGAGTTGTACGGTCCTGACAGACATGCGCAATGGTATGTTTTTGACGTCTAGCAAAAGCTGTTGGCCAGGTGCCAGGATCTGGTTTTCGAAGTTCTTTTTGAACTGCGTGGCAAGTTCATCTTGGTCGTAAGGCGTATCTGTTGTTTTCCGCGCTGCAAAACCAACCTCGACTTCGACCGCGCCCAAGTATGACTGCCCACCGCTTTGGCTAAACGCGTCATATGGCTGGACTGAGACTACATCCTGGGGACCAAGCGTGATGCCTGCCCAAGTTCTCTGCGCATCTGTGAGGCCAATCTCACCCGGTGGGCATCCTTGAGTAGGGCGTGCAGAGAGGACATAGCCGCCATTCAGTATTATGTAGATGTCGGAACCGTCGGGCGCGGGAGGGAAATCTTGAGGAGAGACTGCGACCCTGCATACAGTAAGCAAAGACCCGTCCGAGTGAGATCCATCACTTTGCCCTACAGATTACCAAATGCGTATGCATTGCCTCCAGGGCTCTTGATCGGACGCAATTGGCGGGCCGGCGATCCCCCTCCTGGCGGTCCTCGAGAGGGCATACGCTGTGAGCGGTCGTCGTATCCGCCCATGCGTGTGTCGGGCCCCGGAGAGCGCTGAGGAGGCTGTTGTTGGGCGGGTGGCCGCCCATAGCCGTCATTGCGCGGCGGGGGGCGTGGAGAGCTGCCGGGCAAACCAGGAAGGCGGTCTCGATTGAACATATTTGATGGGTTGGTGGTTTGATAGCAAAGAAAGTACGTTTGCCACGTATCGATTGTCCCAAGGTAGAGCTGTAGGTAAAGCTGCCCCGCTAGCGTGAAGTGAGTGTGGCGTGCGTTGCGTTCTAAGCTTCGTTGTTGTTTGGGGACTGTACACTAGGTTGTTTTTGAAATATGAATTGGCTTTTTATCCAAGCAGTGTGGAGAAAAAAAGGCTGACTGAGAGGTTGTTGCAGTGTTAGAGACGCTGCTGTTTGGGACCTGTTTCAATATTGCCTGGATGGATGCCTTCCTGGAGCATGGGCCAAGCCACATTGTCATTGCGGAAGAGAGCTCCTCTCCGCAACTGCGCCTCACGGTCCACGCCATTTCACCACGCATGCTCATCCACCGTTTACAATGTACCATATCCCAAAGTCACCAGCTGCCTCGCACTGACATATTGCAGCACTGGAATCGGCCTGGAGCCATCATATGTAATGATTAGAGCCATCCAAAGGCTAAACATTTTGCTCTACGGAACACGCTAACCTGCACCCAACACCTAATAACCCTTACCAGCGTGTACAGTCTCCCCGCCACCATACCATAATGTTCCCATGCGACAATTCAGACCTTGCTCTTCCCCCACATTGAATTCTCCGCCCGCAGGAATGATGCCCCTGTTCTGCTCGGGCCAGAATTCCCTCTCGAGCCAAGTGTTGATTTCTTCAATCTTCGCAACAAACGCTTTCATCTTCAGTGGATCAGGCTTGCCAGACTGATCTGAGAAATCCTTGGTGTCGATGAAGCGTCCAATAGTGAGATGGCTTGAAGGCACAACATAGCGCGAGTCGACCTGGACACCTGCATCTCGACACAAATCGAAGACGTCTCGACGAAGATGATGGTAGGTGAACTTGTCATCTGTCACTGTGCGTCCGGATGGCAGTCCTTCTCCCGCAGCTGGCACAAAGCTAAGAGCTAATGCTGAGGCGTCGTAGCCGATCAGGGGCTTGATCAGACGTGCTCGATGATTGTATGGGTAGTCGGTTATCGCGGGGGCAGCAGTCCTGATCTGTTCGACTAGCTGCTGAATTTCTTCTGCTGTCTTGGAGTGTGTGACTTCGAGCACAGTAATGTGCAGACAGTCCTGCGGCATTATCCACAGATCTGCTCTCCTTCAGTTATGCTCTCGACGTGACCTGTGTTTGCGTGTACTACTACTTACTTGGAGCCACTGTCTGCAGCTCTTGCTGAACGCGATGAATCATTTCCTTGACCTTCTGAGTGGGTCGACCCCAGAACACAAGACAATGCCTTGGGTCTTTATAGCCAGGCTCGATGCTTGGGTTGCTCAACTTCTGGAGAATGGGGTCAATACTGACACCTGGGAAGTCTGCGGCAAGCAGCTTTTCTTTCTGCTGGGCGTTTCGCGTAGTTCGGTGCAGAGTGTATTTTGACTGTATTTGCGCCTACGAGAGCTGATCAGGAAAGTCTGGGATACATTTGCCTTCACGACTGACTGACTGGATCATCTACACATGCGGAAATCAATGCATCGTATGGGTTTCTGAATTCCGATGTCGAGATACCGCTTAGGTCGACAAAGGCATTGCTCACATGAGCGGGCACAGCTTTGCCGTCGGTCATAATGTTGATGGTGTTTGCAAAGTTGGTTGGTGATGGCGTTCTGAGCGTCCTGGCGCCCCAACTTAGTCCGTGACCACTATATATATCAATATATATACTAACAATTTTACAACGACTGGTTCGGATTAGCGTTAAGACGAGAAAGTACATGTGTGTGGTACATTTGTACATCTGATGGGCGTGCAGATGAAGTTGGCCTTGCCATTCGTGGCCTGCACTTGACCGCGATGGGTAGTATAACCGCAGAAATTCGCTTCTGCCTGTCGTCTCTTACCGGTACAAGTACCAACCTAAGTACATACGTAACTCTACTTCTAGTATAGGCCGTTATCGCACAGTACTCTACTCTAGACCATGTATCGAGTCAGGACCCAGACAGGCACTTGTACACGTCTTCTATTTGAGAATCTAGACTGAGTGGTTTAGTCAGACTACCTTCCCACCTTCTCTCACATGTGGGGTGGGGGAATCGGGATCTGCACGTGCCCGCGCGTTTGCCTAGACGCGTCATAACTTCCCAGCATACGTTTGCTAACGCGTTCATTGGACTGTTTAGTCGCGTTAATTGTTATCCAGTCGCGTTAGTTGTTGTCTAGTCGCGTTAGTTGTTGTCTAGTCGCGTTCGCTTGACGTTTGCTTTGCCCAGGTACCATATACCTACACCTTACCTATCTATCATAAGTACTTCGCGACGTTTACCACACTCATCGTCCAGTCTATTAGCACATTGGTCTTTTGGTTACTTGCAAGCAAGTCATATGGAGCAGCAAAGACAGGAGTGCTAGCTGTGCAACCATTGAACATGGACACTGGGCGGCCGCGAAAGCGGAAGCATGTTCCCAGCGCGTCTATCACTTCATGCGATCATGACAACAATCTTATTACTCCTCCCAACACGACTAACAACAGAGAGGTCACTGATCAGCCTGCGAGGAGGGCTAGTAAGCGACTCAATACGATAGCTGGCGGAGAGCCGAAAGCAGCACACACGAATGGTATGTTTGTATATTCAGCTATACCAGTAGCAGAGCATGTCCGATTGACCACTGTCTTTGCAACTGCTGACAGCCCTTACCAGCAGCCGGCTCCACTCTTCCCACATCTACTTCGAGTCGACTTTTTCCATCTTCGTCGAATCAAACTACCAGAGTCATACCAGAAGACTGTTGCTACCATTGCCTGACACGAGGGGGTAATGCGGCATATGAATGCACAAAGGAGGCTGGGGAAGAACTCTGCTCGCGATGCGTACGAGATAAGAGGAAGACATGCCGCTTGCCCACGGCCGAGGAGGCTGTGAAGATCGCGGCACGTTGTCCGCAGTGCACGAGAAGGGGCTTCAAGGGCTGGTCAGTAACTCCAGAGCAAACCATCTTGATTCAAACTAAAGAATTCCCAGCAATGGGAAAAATCCCTGTGATACTTGCATTCGCAACGAGACACCCGACCTATGCCAGTTAGTAGACAGGAAAGCGACAAGAAAACATCAAGACTCTAGCGCGCTTCCAATGACCACGAAAACCGTCAACAAATCCCACACACCTGATACACGCAGATCTAGGAGGAGTAGGTCAAGGCAAGAGAGTCTAAACGCCAATAATACTACACAACATGGCGAAGCACCTGCATCGCATACTTCCACAAGGCCGAAGACAACCAGACGCAATGAGCGCTTTAGCTTTCAAGAAGTTACAGAAAGAAAAAGAGCACACAGTGAGGACACACCATCTGTACACAGTGATACAGTCTTGGAGAGTGACGTCCAGGATCTTATACGTATGGAAGAAGATCCACCTCGCTCCTTTGTGAATATTTCTCCAGCGTCGCTTGTGACCTCCAGTGACACTATAGAAGTCGCACAATCATTGTTCGCACAGCCTGCGGCGCGAAGATTGAAAGCAAGAAAGTCCAAATCATCTCGCAATTTGGGTACGAACCACACAGCAGGTGTACTTGCTAGCGCAACAGAAAACATTGTTAGGTCATCAAACCCACGAGACTTCGCTAAACCCACCAGGCGGAGCCACACCTCAACTCAGCAAACACCTTCCAACATTGGCACAGATAGGACAGAACCTAACCATCGAATTGATACGGAAGTTTCTGGATCTATCCGTCCAAGGCGTAATCGTTCAAGGGTCTCCTATTTTGAAATTTTGGAAGACAGTGATTTGGATGTCGAGCACTTGAATCGGGAAGACTCCGATACCGATGTTTACACGGCACCTACCGAAGAGGAAATTGAGGAAGATGAGGAAACAGGGAACACTTCCTTCGATGATGAGCATGAGCATCATATGAATGTTGAAAGTGATGACAGCTTGTCAGAAGCGTCGCTGTCTGAGGACGAGCCCATAGAAGAGCTTACCAAAAGGTTCAAACAAAATAAGATCAAGACCTCGACGCAACAAAAGGCTGGCAAAGGTATTGACTTGGGTCTTCCGCCAATCAACAACATTAAAGATTGCTTCACAGATCTGGCTGCCAAGGGTATCATTCTTGGCCTCGGTGAAGCCCTGAAGAATCTTGGGCCAACGCCTATCAAAGTAGGAACTATGTGCTCTGGCACTGAGTCGCCGCTGCTAGCACTTCATGAAATCTCGAAAGGTCTGTTTTCTCTAAGCCACAAGCCTGTCTTGATGAACTTTGCTAATTTATGCAGCTCTCGAAGAAGCAGGAAATCCTGTACCTCGTTTCCAGCATGAATTTTCCGCCGAGATTGAACCTGTGAAACAAGGCTATATTGAACGAAACTTTCAGCCAAAGATATTGTTTCGCGACGTCCGTGATTTCATCCCTGAATCTACAACAACTGCAACGACAGCCTACGGCGCTGAAGTAGAGATACCAACCGACATTCACATTTTCGTCGCAGGTTTCGTTTGTAAAGATTTATCTCGTTTGAACAATAAGAATAAGGGCCTCGAGGATGGTGGAGAGTCTGGTGATACGTGGCTCGCGATCTATACATATGCGAAGCGTTTTCGCCCAAATGTTGTCCTGCTGGAGAACGTCAGGTCCACGAAAGAGATGTGGCATGATGTTGTACGTCGTTGGGACAAAATTGGCTATGAGGCAACATGGTTGATACTGGATACTAAAAATTACTACCTTCCTCAGACAAGAGAGCGGATGTACATGATCGCCGTTGAGAGGAACAAGATGGGCCCAGGAGTGAAGCAGGCAGTCAAAGATTGGCAAGATACTGTGGAGCAGCTGCGACGCCAATGTAGTAGTCCATACGAGGCATTCATTGCAGATTCATTGCAGGAGCCAAGCACGTACACTACTCCGCTGTCAGAGCCGGACTGGGCTTTGTGCAAACTTCGGTATGACCACATACGATCCAAACAAAAGCTTGGCATTTTGAGTCCCATCACGTGGTCGAATGGCAGTGGAACAGTTCGGTATGTATCAATGCAGTGACCGCATGCTATAACTTACAATATGCCAGACCGCCCGATTTTGCCAGCCGGGAGTACTTCGAGTCACAATCGTCTCGTGTATGGGATGCCATCGATGTTGCTCACTTACAGTTTGCAAGGAAATGCCAAGATTCGCTCTACAAGATGGCTATCTGGGATGTGAGCCAGAATGTCGAGCGCTTCAAGGCAGATTTGGGTATTGTATCTTGCATCACCCCTGGGGGAAGCGACTTCGCCAGTAATCGTCAACAAGCGCTTTCTGGCAGTCAGCTTCTGGTTCTGCAAGGCATACCATTGGACCGACTGCAATTTGCAAATGAGACACAGCGTGATCTTCAGGACCTGGCTGGAAATGCAATGTCCACAACAGTCATAGGAGCCGCCCTTATTGCCGCGATAACCTCTTGTTGGAGTTCATTTGTTTCAAAAAATTCGCCAACCCTGGATACATTGGATGTCACCGATAATCGGAAAGAAACAGTCAACTGGCTGTTAGACCTCGACAATCTTCAGCATTCTTCGCTCCCAGTATCTGACTACCAACAACTCGACTTGACCGCATTCGTAGGTGCTGCAATGCAAACTACACGCTTTTGTCACTGCGAAGGTACGAAATTGATCTCAAGTTCGCCTATAAAGATCTGCTCAGCCTGTGGACACACGGCATGCGCTGCATGTGCCGGCAACCCGAAACATGAGTATGACAAGGTGATTCCAAGTTCGACCCGATCTCTATCTCCAGACAATTTCATCAGGTCGTGGCAAGCAATCTTGCCTCCTCGCTTAAAGTTCGACACTTTTTCGGATGTTTTCAAATCGTCTACCAGCCGAGGGGAAGACGGCATGTTATCAGAGTACCTGCGTGTTGCACGCGAAGCCCAATTAGACTCCCAAACCTTCTGCATTGGCGAATTTACAAGGCACTTTCAACACTGGACGATCAGGTATAGCTCAACCAACTCCACACTTGAGCTCCAAGTCGGTCACAGTATCAAGTGGCTTCTGTACTTGCAATGTCCCTCAACACTCCCTGGTAATAGTTCTCTTCGCCAATTTCTCAACCTTCCAATAGCGTGCGGTGACGTCAGCAAGTCGCTGCTTTGCCCTGATTGGAAAGTGCACATGCCATCGGAAGCCAACTTCGAACTGCATTTCGAGGGTTCAGCTGAGAGAAGTCCTTCATGGAGGTCTAGGCTCGGCCTTCCAGACTATGAAATGGAGACTGTGCCTTCGGTACTGGCTGTGAGGAGCAATCATCAAGATCTCGAGGCTGTCAATGGTATCTTTGAACATCTACCTCGTTGCGGGACTGCTTCGAGTAGTCTCTACAAGAGATCTACGGAACCTGTGTTATACATGTTCCTTGATCCCAACCCAATAGGCCCATCCGAGGCTGACAGAATCGTCTTTAGCTCTGATTGTAGTCGTAAACACTATGGTGACGACCGTATCGTTTTGGCCAAACTGGAACCCTCATGGCGACCGTGGAACATGACTGGACATGACAGCTCCATCGTTACCGCTACGGTACCCGGTACTTGGCTCTCAGCCAACTTGGAACTATCACCTGCATATACTTCGATCGACGCACGTCACCTCATCAAGAGCCATTCGGTCTCATCACTCTTGGAAGATTGCTCTCAAGTACTCATGTTTCTGGATGTACATGTGCATGAACTTCTTTCTGCTCACAACTTTGATGGATACTCGTGGGCCCTAGAACATGCTAAATCGCTCCCATCATTCCCAGCATGGCAAGAACTGGATATGGAGGTTACAGCAGATTGTGTTTGCGCTCCACGTTATCCGCAGTTGCATTGGATCATCGACAAGAAAGGTATTGCGGTAGCACAGGAGGATCGAAAGTCTGCTGCTGTCTTTGAACGCGCTGTGAAGAGTCGAACTTCGGCTATTCAGATCAGAGTCAATCGTGACCACAATTCCACCCGCATACAAGTTGGTCTTAATATATCCTCATTACTACATCGCGCTAGGGCCAGCCTTGGGTGCTCAGAGTCATCCAGTAATGCATGGAGACTTTTGACAGATCATGCGGATCTGCCGGTTCAGCCATTTACCAAGTTTCATCTCAGAAGCAACACGGAGGACCCTGTCCCTCCTGCGTCCACTGTCCCACCATATCTCCGCGGCGCCCAGGCGAAGTCTCTGGTGTGGATGACTAAGCAAGAGATGGGCAAGCAAATCCCCATTACTGAAGTCGAAGAGGCTGTCCACGCAGGATTGAATTGGAGGCTCGAAGCCCGTGCGCAAACCATGCGGACTGCACGAGGAGGAGTGCTCGCCGATCATCCATCGTTTGGGAAGACTGTGACTACAATAGCGTTGATTCAAAATGAATTTCAGCATCACAATGCGAAGGACATCATTCAGCAGAACCAATCTACGGGAAAAGAAACCTCGTTGGGTTTGATAGACACTGCTGCAACACTCGTTGTCTGCCCTCCACACATTGCACAACAGTGGCAGACAGAATTGGCCAAGTTCCTGGACACCGAAGAGTACGATCTCTACCAGGTACTACTGGTCCAGAACTTCTCTGATCTGCGAAGCCTCACCATGGAACAACTGGTACAAAGTAGGACAATCATCGTGTCGTGGACTCTGTTTGCCGAGGATGAATACGTCTCCGAACTTGCTAGGTTTGCCGCCATGCCTGAAGTTGCGTTGACAAGTCGTCGTGCATTCGAAACGTGGTTGTCTCGGGTCAGTGAGGCTATACCGGACAGGCTCGCTGCGCTGCAAGAACAAGGTTTCGATAAGTTTCGAGCTTCTACGGCAACACTCCTTCAAGAACGTTTACAGCAACCTGAATTTCAAGCCACGTTGCCACTCAAAATTCGACATGGTAGTGCTTACGAGTCCTTCAGTTCTACAAAGTCTTCAAGCAAATCTCAAAAACAAGGAGCGAAGGGTAGATCTAGCCTTGCGGGAAAGGAGTTAGCTACAGCTTGGAAGAAGGCGGTGCCACTACTGCACCTGTACCGGTTCAATCGAATTGTTGTTGACGAATATCACTACCTCAATGATGAGAAGAACATCAAGAACAGTCTCGCAGCGATAAGCATCAAGAAAGTCGCTGCGTACAAGCGATGGGTTCTTTCCGGCACACCTGCAATGGCCAACTTTTCCGACATCGACCAAATCGCTTCCTTTCTTGGGTTACGTCTGGGTAGAACATTCCTTGGCGATGGCTTGATCACGACACAAAGTGAGAAAGTGATCAAAGCCGACCAGACTGCTGTAGAAGACTTCCTATCTCGAACGGAAGTCAAATCAAGGCAGTGGCACCAGGCCCGGCACGATCGAGCACAGGAGTTTCTGGATCTGTTTGTCAGGCAGAATGAAGCTCAACTTGGACACATCTCTTGTTCAGAGACTTTGTTGCCCGTTCAACTAGATGCTGCTCATCATGCAGTATACCTTGAGCTTTCACAACACCTTGTCGCGCAAAGGATGCAGTTGAAGAAATTGAACAAGAAACTCAATTCGGACAAGACTGAACGTCTGAATGAAAGCCTCAACAGATCTAGCAGTGCCGAAGTTGCGCTTATGAAGTCTGCTTTGCTGTTTGAGACGCAGGATGGTCAGTCAGGACTAGAAACCCTTATGAAGAAGCGCTCACAGCAGCGTCTCGATGCAGAAGAGGAACTAGCGGGACTGTTACGTGACTTTGAGCGTATAATACCTAAAGAGAGGAAAGCATTACGCAACCTACAGAAGATCAACCCGACAGCCTACCGAGCGAAGCTAGAGGAAAGCATCGTGACTCTCTATAGCCACTTGAAGACGGACATCATGCAGTCAAATTGGCTTGGCGACAACGATGCCAGTCAGAGCTTAACCCAGCTGCTGGCAGAAGCTGAAGAATCACCAAATCCCGATCCATTTCCACTCCTAGGAATTAAAGGGCTTTCAGACGATAAGCGCCAAAGACTCTTGAAGCAACAGCTCTCGCGAGTGCGCGAAGTCTCACGTGAATTGGCCCTAAGGATAAGATCAGAACGATTCGTTCACAAGATTCAGTCGCAAATGGTCCAGTGTAGTGCACCTCAATGTACAGGCTTGAATACTCTTATGAACATGCATCTCATCACCCAATGCGGACATACGGCTTGCACAATGTGCCTCGCAGGTCGTGTGGACGATGAAGTCTGCGTACAGCCCGGATGTACCATACGCTCCCCATTGCACAACATGAGCATCATCCGTATGTCTGATGTAGGAACAAATGAAACCAACACTAATAGCCGGGGTTTCGGCAACAAGCTACACGCAATCGTCGACCTTATCCTTGGCCTGCCTGACGATGATCAAGGCATAGTCTTTGTACCAGACAAGGACCTTGTCAATGTCGTTGGGCAAGTCTTGGACCATTTTGAAATACCCTACTACTCTCCAACACGCTGTCGAGCTGCGCAGTCGGCAAAAATCATAGAGGACTTCAAGAACAACGAGAATCCAGACGAGCGCAGGAAGTTGGTGATTCTGAATCTTGGCAGCGAGTCTGCAGCTGGCATGTAAGTCTACCTCCAACCCATACCTATCACCCCTTCATTTTACGGTTCTCAACTAACGCTTCTTAGAAACTTGACGAATGCAAACCACATCATCTTTGTCTCTCCCTTGGCAGCCAAGACACAGTACGAGTACGATTCCGCAATGGTGCAAGCCATCGCCCGAAGCCGCCGCTACGGACAAAAGAAGAAAGTCTATATATATCATGTAGTTGCAGAGCGCACCATTGACGTGGACATCATGGAGCATCGACACAAGCGCAACGATGGCATTTGCAGCCCGGATTCAACTTTGAAGCTGCCCGAGCCATGCAGCACTGCCAAAGAACGTACGAGGTTGATCAAGAACAAGAATGGTGAGATGGCATTGGTGCCGCGCTCGTGGCTCGACGATAAGACGAAGAGACGAATGTTGGGTGTTGGTTGTTCGCCTGAGAGTCTCACCTCTTTGATCAAATTTGAGGGGGCGTTTGAGCATGATGAGGAGTAGGACTGGATGGATCTGATATCACTTGGAACGATTGCATAATGTGATGAGAGTTCTTTGACTTGGCGTTGTTTCGCTTTCACTGTTCTTGCAAGAGTTGTTAGCCATCTCGGACGAGACTGGGTTTGATTGTACAGCAGAAGCTGACTCTGTTCCACGTTCCTCTCCATTGCGGGTCTATGTAGTCATGACATGTACCCAGATCGTACGCACCTGTACACCACAAAGGTTTGAATTAAATTTCCCCGTTATAAAAGGCGACGGCATAGTCGAAGCATACTTCATTAAAACCAAGTTTACCCACGAGTTGCTGACCTTGTCACTCCACACGTAAGCATTCCCATCCCACCACAAATTCCACAGCCGTGGGTTGCGCAACGTCAGCATTTGGTGAGCACGGTTGCTAGCACGTCTCCTCATGGTCCCCATATTCGGGAAACACTGTCTGTCTTTTGTGCACCTTGCCAGCCACTCATCCTACCCATATAGTACACTAAACCATGAACATCATCCCGAACACCACTAATCACTACTCATCACACACCCTACCTTACTGTGTACCTCCACAGCATCACCATCAGCAACCAACCCACCCACCAACCCGGATCCACCACCCGCCCCGCCCCAGCCTCCGCTTACACACCATACCACACCATACCCTTCCCGTCCCCCTCCGCCCAGCACAGCAAAGCCAACCACCTAATCAGGAAACTGCTCGCTCTTGGCACATGGCTAGCGCGCGACTGAGGCAGCGATGTGTGGGTCTGTGAGAGACACACTGTGCGATGGTGAGCCGTGGTGGATTTGACCGATCAGGATAATGCAGATTTGCAGTGTTCGATGGGTTGGGAGAGGGTGTTGCTGGATGGGGTAGGTTGGGGGAGGGTGGTGGCTGTTGTGGGGATGTTGGGCATGTAGTTTGTTTGTGGTAGGTTGGTAGGCTGAGTGTGTGGTTCAATGGTGTAAGAAGGATGATTTCAAGTTGTATCGTTCAATTTTATAAGGTATTACAGTATGGTATTGTAGGCAGAGCACGTACTTTTACTCTCCAAGACAACTACTCTTCATCCCGTGCCAGATTCCTCCGCCAAGTGTCTTTATTCGTATTGTTTTGCGAATGCTAAACGAGGTTGGGGCATGTCTAAAACCCCAGACAGATGAGAAACAATGCTTGGTTGACTCTGCAGATGCGCTAGCTTATTTAACTTGATGTTCCAGATAGTCCAGTTAGTGTTATGCTACCCTACGGTACCTACCTACCGGTACCTTCTGCGACAGCGTCCGTTAAGAAACGTCTTCTAACACTTGACAGTTTCGCGTACTCAGTAAAAGCAGCTGTACTTTGCGGTGAGGAATGTTGCTTACGTATTGGTTGAGCTTGTAGACGAGAGCTTGCAGTTGGGATTGCTGGTTTGAAAGATTGGGAAGATGTTATAACGGGGTAAAGCGGGCATTTGGGGGAGTGTATGGGGGTGCGTTTGATGGGTGATTTTGATACCATGCTTGATGAATGCGAAGGATATGAGGAACAAGAAAACGTAATCTCTGCACTGTAATGAGAAGAGCATCTCCATCTCCACAAGGCGAAAGTGCCCGGATGACGGATTAAAAACGTTGGGCATACTGAGTTGAGTCGAGATTCTGCTCTCATTTGTAGGATCGATGTGCTCGATATATGACACAAACCGCGAATCCTGTCGAGCACAAGCATGCAATGCTACACACTGTTATTACTCTCTTAACTGTGTATGGATTTACTAAGTTTACATGATTTGTCAAAAGTGGAATGCAACCAAGCTTTCAAAGGTGCTTTTTTTGCACATGCTAATGTCCCGTCCCAAGCGCCAAACGCCTTACTCGATGAAGAACTTTGCTCAGTATATGCGCCCACAACTAGCGTCTGCTGTGGTCCTAGATGGGGCTTGTGGCTTATGTTTAACCATTTCTTCGAGGTGGATGTTGCCAACCCCGAGCGAAAGGCCCTGCACAGGTCTCATATCACCCATCGGTAACTCGCGTACCGTCCGGCTGTTTCTGACTTTCTGATGATTTTGACAACGGATCCTCTCCTGAGCCCTAGGTACTTTGCGACTGGATCTGTAGACTGAATCCTAGGCAACTGTGTCTCCTTCAACCGGTACCGTTTCAGCAGTTGCTGCTTCTCTTCTGCACTGAGCAGCACGTGCTTTGGCACAAGCTCGTGCTTTGTGATGTTGACGAGCAAGTCTTGCTCGACAAAGACCTCGACACCACCCTTCGGTCCGTCGCTCATGCTCGTCGCGCCGCGCAGAAGTCGTATAGCCATGCCGGTCATGGCCTGGACCGTGATCATGACACCAGAGTAAAAGTTGCCGTTGAGCAAATGGCCCATGTAGTCGCGCAGCTGCTTAAGGCCTACGTTCTCGTCGCTGTTGAATTCGACCCAGATGGAGCCGATCTGCGGTACGGGATTGGGGTCCTTCTTTGTGGGCGCGGGCGTGTATTTGGCAAGCATCTCTTCCGAAGGAAGGCAGGAGAAGTTGAGGCGGGAGCGACTGTAGTCAACGATTAGTATACCGGGCCTGGGTCTCTAGCCATGCGCGGAAGAAAAGTGGCGTACTCTGGCTCTCCGTCTTCGCGCCCAAACTTGCTGGTGAACTCGGCTAGGGACATTGTCGTGTCTTCCTCAAGCACCATGTAGCCCTATTGTCAGTCAGCACGCCTGCTTTCAAGCACAGTTGCCTCAAAGCGCATGTGCAACGAACCCGGTCGCGCATCATCTCCTTGGCCGTCCGCCAGACCCTCCACAGGCGGATAATGCTCGGGCTCGCCTTGTCGCTGTCCATGGCTGCTGCGGTCGCTGGAGGGGGGGGGGGTAGTCGCGGGTCGGGGAAGTGTGTGAAGGTGAAGGATGTACGCGGGAGGGGGGTTCAGCGTCGGCGCCGAGCGTGAATGGGAATTCCGTGTCGCGTTCAAAGAAAATGTTAAAGTCAAGGGCAAGCTCGTAAAGGCTGCGCTTGGCGTGCATTTGGCGCTATTGTTGGTTTCGCACTAGCGCCTGAGCTAACCCCGCCAAACACGGTCGCGGCCTAATCGACAGCGAAAGCGAGGCACACATGGCTTCTTCCAACGAAATACCAAACCTCAGAACTCTTCTCGGACAAGGCCGTGGAGGAGTCTCGCGAGGAAGAGGAAGATCACGCGGTGGCGGTGGCGGTGGCGGTGGCGGCGGATCGGGAGCCTCACAGGCAGGCAACGAACAGCTGCGTGATGATGCTGTCAAGGGAACTGATCAAGATGCGGCGGGGAGCAGGGTGAGCTGTGTCGAGCTGGGCTATCTTCACGATCCCTATGCGAGGCTCTTTGCTACCCAGCAGACCATTAGAAGACTACCACTCCTGAACAGAGGCATGTTTCTCTATGAAGATTCCCTTTTCTCACCACTACTTGTGGGCGTTGCTAATTGCCACACAGGAACCTATGTTCGCACTTCAGCAATCGACCTCTTGGTTGCAAGGTTCCTAGAAACCGATTCTTCCTCCACGAAGCAAATCATATCACTCGGTGCTGGAACAGATACGCGCTTCTTCCGTCTGCTGGACCAATATCCTCAAACTCGTCTTGTGTACCACGAGATCGACTTTTCGTCCAACACAGTCTCGAAGATTGCTGCAATACAGAAGCACCGTCTCTTGAGTGAGAAGCTCGAGCATGCACCAACTACGGCAGATGCATATTACTCCAAGACGTACAATATCCATCCACTGGACTTGCGGTCCTTGGCAGCTGCTTCAAAGGACACGCCTGCACCACATCTACCGAACCTGGATCCCAGTATACCGACATTGATTCTGTCGGAAATGTGCTTGGTATACATGCAGCCAAAAGTCGTGCAGTCAATAATACAGTCTCTCCTAACATACTATCTACAACCTACAACTCCCGCCTCCTTAATCCTTTACGAGCCCATCCTCCCCCAAGACGCCTTCGGCCGGACCATGATCTCCAATCTTCAGACACGCAACATCCACCTTCCTACCCTGACTTCGTATCCCGAACTCGGCGACCAGCGTGCGCGCTTACAAAGTTATGGGTTCAAGGCTGGGACTAGGGCAACAGATACCAGTTTTATCTGGCGCAATTGGGTTGGTGAAGAGGAGAAGGAGCGTGTCGGCAGTCTTGAATTCCTCGATGAGCTGGAGGAACTCGAGTTGCTCCTTCGACATTACTGTGTGGCGTGGGGCTGGAGAGACGGCGATGGCGATGTGTTTGCGCAGGCTTGGGGCCAAGTGAGGGAGCAATAGGACGTATGAAAGTAGGTGTAATACTGTTGAAGGCCATGCTATTATAATAGTAGTACTAGCAGATTATGTGAAACACCATGAATTGCCAACATGCAGTTGACCTGAACATCGTACACTAATAGCTTTCGCATCGCTAGATCACATGGGTTCGCGCCAGGCACATCATTACGCGCTAACTAAGCCCTGTCTGGGCAGGCGCTTTGAACCTTTGTTTCCCCAAGTCCACTCCCAACATCGACAAACAATCACACTCACACACTAATCTGGGCGCGACAAGGAGGAAGGAGCCTCAACTTACCTACACACGATGATATAACGCCGATCTAGTTTCTGCGACTCGACTCATTCCTCTTAACAATTGATTCCTAGCCCACAACACCAACAGCGGACGTTGCAACCATGGCGTGGCACTCGGAAACCTACAACTTGCTCACCGGTCTGGATGAGCCAGCTGCGCCTGCGCCTGCTCCTGCCCCTACTTCACGCGAGCCACTGCGCGAAACATTTCGAAGCACACTGCGCACCACGACGAATGCGCCACACACAGTAGTACCCTCAGACCCGATCAACGAAGACCTCCGCGCGCAAATCAATACTCTTCGATATGAGCTTGAGACGGCCAAGCAGGAGAAAGAGATGAAGAAGCTGGAGCATGCCCAGGAACTCCGCGATGCGCTGAACCGCGCAGAGACCGACTTTCGCAAAGCACAACAGGCCGAGGCCTCGAGTGCGATTGTGACGAAGAAATGGGAGGCGCTAAGTAAGGAGATGGCTGAGGCACAGACACGGGCTGCGAACGAACGACAGGCCCTCGAGAGGCGGCTTAGAGAGAGCCAGGAGAAGGCGCAATCACTGCAGGAGGACTTTGACGAGATCAATGAGGAGCTGCAGACGGCGCAAAGGCAGAATGACTTCAGATACAATACGCTGGAGGTGGAGCACAAGAAGCTGAAAGAGACCGTTGAAGAACTCCAGACGGATCTGCAGGCCAAAGTCAATGCGCTGCAGGCAACACAGAAGAAACTGGGCCAGAAAGAGGACGAGGTCGGTCAACTGGAGGCTGAGATTCTACGCCTCAAAGCGATCACTGGCGATGCAGAGACACTGGCAGTGATCAAGAGAGAACTCTCAGACCAGGTCGCGCATATCAAGAAATTAGAAACATTGACGCGAGAGCAGAACAATGAGCTCAAGCAATACCGAAAACAACACAAGGCTATCGAGGTGGTCGAGGAAGAGAAGCGGTCGCTACAAACAAAATTGCGCATGATGGACGATCTACAACGGCAGCTAGGAGAAGCAGAAATGAGGAAGCAGTTCTTGGAAGAGGAGCGCGATTCGTGGACCTCATATCTCGAGGCTGAAGCCGAAACACATGGAGAGATTCAGTTCGAGACGCCTGCAGATCTTGCAAGGGCTTTTGTTCAGGAGAGGATAGAGCGGACCGATTTACTCAATCGACTCGGCGAGATCAAGCCTGAGTTGTCTGTCAAGGAGGCCAACATACAAGCACTCGAGGAAGAAAAGGCAAAACTGCAAGTGGAAATACAGCAACTTAAGACAGCAGGTGCCAGTACTACAGCAAGCGCCGGCGATGCAAAGGCGCGAGCGCGACTAGAACGACAGAAGGCCTTGGCGACGAAGGAGGTGGAATTCCTGCGCGCCCAAGTCAAAGCATTTGACGATGAAGAGCGTGAAATGCAACCCGAATCATTTGACGCCGCAAAGTCTGAGCGAATCAAAGAGCTTGAAGACCTCGTCGACCAGTACCGCAAAGAAGTGGACGCTCTACAGAAGGAGTTCAATAGCCTCGAGAAACCAGCGTCGGCGACAACAGGCCAAAAGCGCCCTCTAGATGTGGACAATGAAAAAGAAGAGCGCATTGGCGAATTACGCCGCAAGAACCGACAACTTCAAGATGATCTCAACGCTCTTCAAAAGCGCACCAAGCTCATTGAATCCGAATACAAGGCCCAACACTCGCAGCTGAAGAAGCTCAAAGAGTCCTCGCGGATCCGCGTCCTAGAACTCAAATCCAACCCGACAGCTGACGCAGAAGCCCTCAAACTCAGTACTGTACGCCACCTCCGCGAAGCAAACGCGCAGCTCCTTTCCCAGCTCGAATCGCAAACCCCACTACCTTCCAGCGTCCCCGCCGCGACCCTCGAAGCCGCTCAAGACGAACTCGAAGAACTAAAAGCCCAACTGCACTCGTCGACGAAGAAAATCACCCGCCTCAAGCAAATCTGGACAGCGAAGTCGCTCGAGTTTCGTGAAGCGGTGGCGTCTATCCTGGGCTGGAAACTGGATTTCCTACCCAATGGGCGGGTCAAAGTAACGAGCATGTTCAAGCCTGCAGACGACGAGGGCGAGAATAGTATCGTGTTTGATGGCGAGAATGGGACGATGAAGGTGAGTGGTGGGGAGCAGAGTGTGTTTGCGGGCGAGATTCGGGATCAGATTGTTTATTGGGTGGAGGGGAGAAAGGAGATTCCTTGTTTCTTGTCCGCATTGACGTTGGAGTTTTGGGAGAGGGGACAGGGAGGTATGACGATGAATGGGTGAATAATGAGTAGATGGTGGATTTTGTATGATATATGGCGTTTTTGAGGGAGTTCATTCACAGCTACAAGCTTAGACTTGGCTGGGTTGTGGGTATTTAGTACCTAGGGTGGCCGAGATGGCTTCCGAGACTTTCACTGTATATTTTGAAAGAGGCAATGGTATAGCACTACCCCTTTAACCTCTTTCCTCGTTCCAACGAACCACCGTCGCTCTTCCCCCTCTTTCTTCCAATGCATCATATGCCCTCCTAGTAGCCTCATCCCTCCCTCCCAACCAGCACTCACCTCCACAATCGCATCCAGCTCAGCCCACCAACCCACCGCGCCCCTTTCCACCAAGCTAAATAGCCTCACGCAGTGACATTACCCCAGAAACGAGTCTATCCGCTACAAAACCATCCATCTCCTTCACTGCACCAGCACGCGCGGCCGATTAGGAGGAGGATGAAGTTTTTTTGCTAAGTTTTATGGTGTTTTTTTGGTGGATTCCTTGGTTGTTATAACAATCAGAGGTGTTAGAGGATTCCTGGGCGACGCAAAGTATACTGCTTGGAACTAGGTAGATGATAGATGGTGTACGTGGGGAACTCTACCTGGTTGATGCAATTTGAAGTGACTACCCCAACAGCAGACCTACTAATCTAATGTTTCACAAAATTTAGCCTTGGGATGATTATACAATAGATAAACCCAAACGAAGTTCTTATGCGTTCAACGGTAAACATGCCAGGCAGACGCCAGAATGCACGTTAGCATCGTCCCAGTCCCTATTTGGGGTGACTTCGGAACGGTAGCGTCACTCAACCCCGCCTTCAGGCTCCACATGAGGCGCGCTTGGCTTAATACTCTCGTAATCGAGTCGAGCATTGCGAATCCGATCTATATCAAGGCTACCGAGGAGGGATGATGTGGTTTTCAGTTCTACGATGGCAGGAATCTCCCTTCTCCCTTTGCATCCATAATCTATTAGAGCCAAATTGAGATCAAGGCAATGACATGACGGGTCGAAGTTATATCACATAGTAGCTACGGTACTGGCCAATACTACCTAGATTATCCTCCAATTGGAATCTTTTCCCTTGTCAAAATGGTCATCTTCAAGTCAAGACAACCGCCAATTGACTGTATGTGTGCGGCAGATGCGCTTTCAAATATTTCAACTAAAAAGGACCAGCACCAACGGATCTTACTGATTGGGACTGGCTATTCGAATCTGCATACTCTCCAATCAGAAACTACCCCTCCAACGAGCTCGCAGGCTTCCAGAATGCGTTGACAAAAGAGCGGGTGAATTGGGCAGACGTAAAGCGGTATTCGACATACATTTCGACAGCGCTGGTCAAGAACTATGGCCTCAAAGAAGGAGAGACAGTATCTCTATTCAGCCATAATACCGTTTGGTATCCAGTCGCCATGTTTTCAGGCTTGAGGGTTGGAGCAAAAATCAGCGGTGCATCGCCAGCATACAACATCGAAGAAATGACGTTTGCGCTCAAGACTGCGGAAGCAAGGTTTCTCATGACCACACCAGGCAGTATGGAGATTGCTTCGGCGAGCGCCAAAGCTGCAGGGCTCCCGCAATCGAATGTTTTCCTCTAGAGGGCGAGCTTCCTGGGTATACCACAGTCCAGGATCTGATCCGCATCGGCAAGACACATGGAGAAGCTGGGCAAGCGCCCGCATTCAAGCTGGAGCCAGGCAAGAAGAACAAGGACGTCTGTGGCTTTCTTTCATTTTCCAGTGGAACAACAGGGCTTCCCAAAGCTGTAATGATCTCCCATCAGAATGTCATTGCGCAGTGTCTTCAAATTCAACAGATTACACCGACTACGCAGAAGAAGATCATGGCTGTTCTTCCGCTCTTTCATATCACTGGTCTCGTACACCAAATGCACTTGCCCATCTTACTGAATGCCGAAGTAGTCATGCTACCACAGTTCACCATGGAAGGCATGCTAAACGTCATTGTGGAGTATAAACTTGCGGAACTTCTCCTCGTACCTCCCATTCTAATCAGACTGGTCCGCGATCCACTCGTGGACAAGTACGACCTGAGCCACATCACTCGCTTCTCCTCAGGCGCAGCCCCCCTCTCTGAAGAAATCATCCAGCAGCTTCAGAAGAAGTTCCCGCAAACGGGATTCAAGCAAGGCTACGGCATGACCGAGTCGTGCAGCTGTATCACCGCACATCCGCCCGACAAGTATTCCTACAAATACGCACACTCTGGCGGTGCCATCGTGGCCTCCACCGAGGTCAAAATCATCAAGGACGACGGCACAGAAGCAGATGTTGGCGAGGATGGGGAGGTCCTCGCGCGTGGTCCACAGGTTGTCATGGGCTACCTGGGCAACGACAAGGCCACGCGCGAGACCTTTGACGCAGAGGGTTTCCTGCACACGGGTGATCGCGGCAACATTGACAGCGAAGGCATGATCCACATCACCGACCGCATCAAAGAACTCATCAAAGTCAAAGGCATCGGCGTCGCTCCCGCAGAACTAGAAGACCTGCTTCTCGGCCATCCCAGCGTAGAAGACGTCGCCGTCCTCAGCATCCAAGATGAGTATTCCGGAGAGCTGCCAAAGGCGTATATTGTACTCAAACCGGCGGTGGTGCAGACCTCTGCCGTGGCAAGGGAAATTATGGCCTATGTCAAGCAGAAGAAGATGCGGTATAAGTGGATCAAGGAAATCGAGTTTATCGATGAGATCCCCAAGAGCCCCTCGGGAAAGATTCTAAGACGTGTGTTGAGAGATAAAGAAAAGGCTGGGCAATTTGGGATGGTGGTTCGCGATGAAGAGAGGGCGAAATTGTAGATTGTGAGTTAGTAAAATGCAGGTGGCTTTTCCTTGGTCTTTGTTGAAGCAGTGTGGTGGTGACAGTGTTTAAATCCCAAGCCTTAGCGTGAGCCCCACACAATGACGTTTGCGCCAGTTTGATTCACATGCGGGGCAGCGCATGTATTTGATCAGTCTCCAGCACCTTTGTTCATGCAAATTCTGCCATCCGGCTACCGTATTGTAAATTATATATTATCAAATCCTGAACTTGCCCAACAACGGTTTTGTAGTGTAGCGGTTATCACTCCAGATTCTGATTAGTCAGAGCCTTCTGGTAACCCCGGTTCGAGTCCGGGCAAGACCTTCCTCTTGATCAACAGAAATCGCTTTTTTTGCTCCTTTGTCTCGACAGGCTGTGCAGTTCTTACAACGATTTTGTTTTTATTGCACATTAGAGACAATATAGCTTATAAAAAGTAGTCTTCTATTTGCAGTTATAATCATCTATATCTACTTACACATAATCTTAAGTAGCATTATATATGCAAACGGCGCATGCTAATACCCCTCGTTGTGCGGTTGCTCCCTCTATAGTATAGGCTATGCCTTTAATACATCTGGTTCCTCTTGCACCATCGCGCTGTTGCACCTAGTGCTGGTGCAGAATAGAGTCCTAGGCAATAAAGAAGTGTTGAAATTAGTACAAAGCGAGAGAGGGGTAGGCTTGCTTATCTATCGCGACACTTCAAAAATTCAACAGAAGCTTTGTGGTTCTCCCTAACTTCTGTTTATACCTTAGTTCGTCCTTTTGTTCTATGTACATGAAGTCCTAGTCAAACCTAGTTTTAACAAGAGAGGAAATATGTTTTTAGTAATATCAACTCTATTTAGCATTCTAACAAGACGTGAGCAAGTCAACATCTTCACGCAAGTTTGTAAAAAGTCATGTTTGCACAAATACATTGCAGGGCCTTGACTATTATTTGCATAGCAAGGTATATTTTCTAAAAAAAAAAGTCCAGGTTCTTTCTCACTCGCACGTTTTTAAGGTGTTTTGTTAGCTGCAGCCCCACTTCTTTCATCACGCCTTCCCCCCTCCAACATCCCCACCCTCTTGAAAAAATATGTGGACTAAAATGTAAGCAAAAAAAAAGAATGAGAGAATCGAACTCTCGACAGGAACCAATATGGTTGAATGATTCAGGGGATGCTCGAAATCCCGACCTTCAGTGCACGACATTCAGAAGAATGTTAGACTGACGTGATAACCAACTACACCACCGAACCGATGAATTGATGAGAGGTCCTGCCATATTACAATATATATAGTCTAGTTAGGTGCAGAGAATAAGCGTCTGCGTGACATATGTTCGCACAGCGATTCTCGGCAAAGATGTTGCGTAGTCGTGCATGAGCCTGTTGGCGTTGGGTTGGCGGATCCACCGGGTGCAAAAAAATTAGACAATGCTAACGTCAGGTCACGTCGAGGCTAAATATGGTTTAGGGCGTGGCGGCTTGGTTTGGCTGCAACATCCACCACACCAGGATCTTACGAGTACATAGCTGGATGCGAACAAGTTGTTTTTTGCAGACACAAGGGATTGAGGAATCTCATGGATCATGATAATTTTTTGTCAATTTCAAAACAAACATGTGGCCATAGCCTCCTCCATCTTCCGTCCTCCATCTTCCGCCTGCCTTATCCCTCTAAACACACCCACGACCTCTGGTGTCCTTGAACCAAGCAGAACACAACACACCACGCACTAAATAGGTTGTAGTCCATGCTACAAAAAAACTGCGGATATTTGACTCACAAAAGAGATGTCTGTCCAGGACTGTATATGATTACTGTAATAGTATCGATAAGAACAGCGGGACAGGAGATGAAACTCTCCGACACACGAGATAAGAGGAACAAAGGAACAAAACTGCTGCCCAGCCACACTACAAGTGCAGACCAGCAAGCAAGTGATAAAGGTTTGGGTATCGAAAGCGCTCAGTCATGGGAAAACTGGCAGAAGGGAAGAAATTACAAGTACGATGATATGCGTGTGGTCGTGGTGCGCTTGCGCGCGACCGCGTCTAAGCCTCGCAATGAGGCACCTATGGTGATGTCGAGGGAGTGTGAAGAAATATAGTGACAATAGATACAAGGTAGAAAGCAAAGAGACTGGTTGCAACATCATGCCATGGCAAGGGGCACATGCAATCGTATGTCGTGGCCGCAGATACTTTTGCGCAAAGAACAACGAAGAAAGGGTCGCGGAGCGAGAAAAGGGTGGTAAGAGTCCAAAGACAATGGACGAGCAAAGCATGCACGAAGCAAAACTTGACCGTTGCTCGTCAAACATGAACAGGTCGTAAAGCTGTGGGTTCCATCTAGAAGCCACGGAAGGGATCGCCGCCGGCATCAAAGTCTTCGAAAAGACCGCCGGATCGGTTGGAGGCGTCTCTAGTACTGGCACTCCATTGACTGCTACCTCGACGGCGAGCCATTCGCGTCCTCGCATTGTGCCCAGTCAGTTTGTTCTGGTCCACCAGAGCATTGTCGATGCCTGCGACGAAAGCCTCCATGCGGACTGTCCCCATCGTGTCGAAGAAATGCCGACGCGTTGATGTACTGGCTTCCGAGGTTCTCGAACTAAGAGCACCGCTGTTAGGGTTGTATACGCTAGACGGCACTGATGGGGGAACACCAGCACTGTACATGTCCGACGATCCGTTTGAGTAGATTGACGGTACGTTCTGATGCGAGAAGCTTCGGAAGGGTACGTTGGGAGGGGGAGCACTGGGTCCAGTGGAGCTTCGCTTCCTGCCATGCTGTGGTCCACGAGGGATTGTCGGAGGACTCGCAGCGTCAGGAATGGGCCTTTCGAACCCAGAGAGTGAAGGCAAACTAGGCATAGGCTCGTTCTGTGCCGCGTAACGCGCCATGACGGGGTTGACTCGTCCCTTGGCAAGCCGTACCGAGTCTTGGACGCGGCTTCTCCGGAGTGTTGCACCTTGATTACGCCGCAAAGATTCATCAACAGGGGGTGGCACTGGTGGCATAGCATCGAGGTTGGGCATTGGCGAGCTCGAATGAGCCAGGAAGGACAGCGCTGTCAGCCACAAATAGTGACGCTCTCGTGAAGTCGTCGTAAACTTCAATGCTCGGGCGGGTGTAAGGATCAGAATGGATCGATTAAACAGGTTTTCGTTCCTGGGTGCAGGGCAGGTATCGGCCACATCAAGGACTGACTGGATAACGACTAGAGCAATATTAGTCAAGAACTCAGATGATTGCCACGAGACACCTACGTTTGCGACCACTCTTGCCCATGAGTGCAGAGCCAGAAGTTGGCTGCTTGCTACTCCAAAGAATCGCTCTCTCGTATGGGGAAATCCACACCCAGCGCTTGTGTCGCACTCCATGATTGGCCAAAGAGGCTTCCTCTGCAGCGCGACTCATGTCTGCCGGTGCATCTGGGCCACCAAAAGTCTTCCTCTTACGAACGTATTTCCACATAAATTCTCCAATCATAGCGGCAGCAATGGCATCGACTACGCTAGTCTGGTTGACAGAGCTGTTGATCGAGCCATTGGCCGTGTAGGCAGTGGCGTTTGATAACTGATGGCGGTGATTAAAGCCCCTAGCGCTCACAATGTCGCTCGGTAGAGGAGGGATTGACGACGTATCGGCGATGCTTGGGGTAGTAGGTAATGTCGGAGATCTGCTGCGAGAGCGAGTCTTCACTATAGGAGCTGCTGATCTGACCTTCCGCAAGCTGTCTTTGCGCTGATGATACACACCGTATGGACGTCGGCCAGCGTAAGATCCGCTGTTACGAGGGGTTGGGCTTTGAGAGCCTTCGCTCTTGCTAATGGGCTTACGTGAACTCGAGCGAGTCGGTACTGGGAAAGGTGGTTTTGGTACATAGCCACTGGAAGCCACACTCCCAAAGCTTGGACTGCGAGAACGTGAATGTGCTGCAGTGCCATTTTGAATCATCACAGATCTTCGGATACTTGGCTGGCGGGTAATGGTAGTACGTGTTGCTTTACCGACCTTGGCTGGCCTCTCCATTGAACTACGCTTAGATACCATAGAATCTTCCGAGGGCCGGGGTTGAGGCGATGTCTCCTTGTCCTCTGGGACAGGCGTTGGAGGGTTGACTGGGCGTCCACTTTTAGCGTTGCGCGATGACAGCATAGAGCTGGAGAACTTTGGCACGCTATAGTCATCGTCACTATTATACCCAAAATCATCATCATCTTCCTCATCAGAAGATGGCCCGTCAAATCCGGCAAATAGACTGCTCGTCCGGAATGGCCGACTAAGTATGTCGGACTGTTGGAATCGAGACAATGGCCCGTTGTCGTTGTTTCCAGGGTAGCGATTCTCTATCTTCCTCTCTGCAGCCTTTTCGAGTCGCATGAAGAGATCTTGACGAGCAGATGATTTGAGGGCAGGGGAGTCTCTATCGTTTGATTGCGGCTCTGTGCTGAGATCCTGTATGGATGCCTCACTAATGTGTTTGGACTCGGGGGTGCCAGGCTTGGATGAGATTGATGAAGGCAACAAATGAGATGGAAGCTTCACACGACGTTGATCGATTCGTATCGGTTCTGTTTGCATACCGTGGGAGCGCATTGGCGATGCCAGATCCCCTGTTGTCTGTGTCGAGACTGTCTTAGTACATGGAGGTAGAATCGGCTCTCTTGGGGAGGAAGGAGCCGAAGAAGGGGCGTGGATAGCGATTGAAGGAATTGTGATTGCTGGTGGTGGCAATGCCTTTTTGTTATGGAGATTTGACTCCTTGGGCTCTTCTATTAGATCAGTTTGCGTAGAGGTTGACACAGCCTGTGTCGATAGCGTAGAATAAAGTGGCTGATTCACGGACGCAGCTATCTTAGGGGTAGCTGGAGGGCTCAGAGGTTCGACCGTCTGTACCGAGCTGGAAGTCATGGTTGAGCTTACGAGGCTAATACTGAGCGATGGATGATTAGACGGTGTAATTGATGTCCGCTTTCGGCTTTGATTTGCTTCGACTTCGGCAGCCGTCACGGAGACGTCATGCAATTTCTGTTGCACAGGAGTGTAACTCGTCTGCGAAGCGGCTTCAACCATTACAGGCCGGGTAGGCGATTGTGGCGGAGTTGGTTGCACACCAGTGTTGACGTAGATGGGCCGAGTGGGAGGGAAAACCAAGGTGATGTCTCGAGGCGCAAGTGTAATCGATGAGTGACCTGTATCGTAAGAGGTCTTCCGCGGCTCGCTTTCTTCTAGAAGAGATTGGTCCTTGAGGGATTGCTGATTATCGATACTCAGACCCAGTATTCGCTTAGCTTTCTCATCTGGGTTCATCAACGATAGGCGCGAATCACGCGCCCTTCTTGCACGCATCTCGTTCTCAGGGAAATCATCAGAATCCAGCTCCAGTTCTCCCAAGTATTCTTCCTCTTCATCAAAGATGAGCTCATCAGCCAGGCTCAGACCGTTCGATCGACCATAGCCTTCGGACAACAGTGACATGCGATAATTGCGGCCAATACTGCGGTAGCTACTGCTGCTGCAATTCCTTGCATGTCGTCCAATGTGTGTAGACGATCTACGCTGCGGTGACGAGCGTATGCTGCCCGCGTCGCTGTCCGCACCCACGGGGGCTTCGCGCGCCCCCTCTTCACCATCACTCTCGAGTCCAGCTTCTTGGTTGGCAGCTTCATGCATAGCAATCTCGTCCAGAAGCATCTTTAAGCGGGATTCCGACAGATGGACTCGGCGCTCCAGCGTTTGCTTCTCCCCAGCCCAAATCTCCTTTTCACGCGCCCACATATCATGAACCCTTGTCGAATCATCTTCTTGACTACGCGACTTCTTCTGAGCCTGTTCAAGCTTCTCTTTTAGATCCGTGATAGACTCCTTATGCTTGTCCCTCTCCCCAGCAATCTCCTCTAATGCAGCGAGGGTCTCATTTTCGAAGTGTTGAAGCTGGCGCTTGATCGATTTACTCTCCTTATTTGAAGCCGAAAGTTGTTTCGCGAGCGAATCATTGTCAACACGCACCGTGTAGAGACTCGTTTCCAAGTCCTCGATGAACTTGTGCTTTGAATCTAATTCCCGGCGAAGGTTGAGAATCTCAGAGACCAGATTGGCGTGCAAGGTAGGGGTGAAACGACGTGGGTCGAGGATGGAGATGTTCTCATCGTTGGCAGCATCTCCGTTACCGTGACGTTGGTCTGGTGGTAGTGGAGCTGGCGAACTATGTGTCTCACTTCCTGGCGTGCCATGTCGTGAAGTGCGTCGGGACAATGACTGACATGGCGTCCCCTCAGGAGACGGTAGCGGTTGGCTACTTACGCAAACTTCATTCTCAGAGAAGTAGTCAGTAGCCATGTTTGGGAAGATATAACCAGCGCAATCGGAAGTTTAAGCAAATTAGGGGAGTAGGTAAAGACCACAACCAAGTGGTGCGGAGAAAAGACACCTAACGCATGCCTGTGACATTGTCAGTAGAGGAAGAATGAATAGAGACTGCGCGGATGGTTCGGGTCAGGTTGAAGGAAGCATGAGGTTACAGCATGTAGGAAGTGTACATAGGACAGGCGGTAAGATAGACGTACCGATAAATGTTCAAAGGAGAAAAGCAGAGACAGGCCGCTTAGATGAATCGAAGTAATTCCAATGAGCGAAATGATATCAATGTTCGAAGGGACTTTGCCAGTGTTCAAGGCAACGGTAAGGCGCAAGGGGTACGGGCTCAATCTGCAGTAGAACTTAGCATCGTGTTCTGACCGTTGTGTGCGCGCCGTGCAAATACCCAAGAGCGCCTGGACAGATGAGGGACGCCTTGGTATGGGGCAATACATACTTTGGAGGTTGTTTGAAAGATACTGGGGTAATGCTGGCTCTGTCGTGTATGTACTTGGGGGCACCTAGGCGTGTCCCTGAAGTTGATGGGTAGATCAGGCGAGATAAGCAGCAACCAACGACGTTGCTTAAACTAACTATCAACAGAAAGGAACGACAGTGCTAAAGAAAAAGAAAACGGTTTGGCGAAGGAGGGAGCTGGAGTATCGACCACAGTACAATGCAGTATAGGGAGGGTAAAGGGAAAGAGAGACGAAGCGCAACCTGAGCATGAATTTGCGATCGCCCATGCAGCAGGCTTGGGTTCCGATAAGTTAGTCAGGCACAGGTGATTACGCACTGTCCTCTGGGGGAGCGGGACCACGAAAAAAGCAACGGATTGGACCATGATCCCCATCTGTGCCTGTCTGTCTAATTTGTTTTGTCTCCCGAGTCCAGCAGCTTATGCACGCTCTCAACTAGCGAGCACAACTTGCCCTGCATGCATATTGGGTGAGCAACCCTCGTCCCGTAAGCTCACCATTGGCCGGATACTGTCCGCTTTCCGCCGTTTTGCTCTGCACCATTGGCTGCTAGTTGATATCCAACGTCCAGCACTTAGTACCCTACCGTTCAACTGTGTTCCGCAGCCCTGACCACCGCGTTGGCGAGGCCAAATGAAATGACCCGACCAGGGGTACTGTACTATGTATGTAGTGACGATGGCGCGAACCATCTGTCCACTAGAGACTTCGTCCGGCAGCAACATCAATGATAGGGGTGTGACAATGCGTGACGGGACCTCCAAGTGGCTGAGTGGCGCGTGTTGCCGGGGAACGGCTGGCTTCTGGTTTCTGGGAAACGTCAAAGGTTGTTGATCACAGCAATTTGCGAGAAAACTCTGGCTACTGTTAAAAGCTTCCTGTGGCCATCAGCTTGCCTAATCATTAGCTTCCTGACAGGTCTCGCCATCTTAATGAAGACTGATCCTGAGTTTCAGCCTCTCATGGCTACGCCGCAGGCTTGCCCTCTTAGGAGCATGAGCTTTGGGCATGAGGCGTGCTCAGATTGTGATCAGAGCATCGGCACCCAACGATTCTGCATGTTAATAGCCTGCAATTTCAACGTCGATTGGAACGCACCTGGCAATAACCTTATGCGCATGTGAATACAAGACTTTCCACTGCATTCGAATTATGTATAAACATACATGCCCGCTGAAAGGGGCCATATTAAATTCTGCGAAGGAAGCAGGCTGTTGCATGAAAGTCGAGTGTCATGGTTGTATTGTCGAACCACATGCGGAAATGCCGCCTCCACATTGGTGCTAGCAGCCATGTCCTGTGCATTCTTGGCGGTAGAAAGGAGAGGACTCGAGTCGAGATCGACGGCACGAGCCTATTTGTATGGAAGTGCCGGGAGCTTGACAGGAGCGTTGGTCCCGAAGGTATGCGTACCTGTACTAGCTACCCATATAGGCGATTAACCAGTCGATTGCCTCGGACATGATAGGTGTGGATGCAGAAGGCAATAGGGTTTCGATAATCTTGGGAGCAAGAGGAGAGAAGTGACCCCTCTCTTTGGTCACATGCAAGATATAAGTATAGTCGGGACCAAGTCAATCGAATCGAACATCGGTCATCTCGATTCGGTGCGATAGCGTGAGCACCCATGATGACCGTCGTTTCCGAGATTTCAAGGACAAGACGTTTTCCGATGGCGTGGAAACTTTGAGGGAGGCGTCGCGTGTGCCGATGTCGCGTACTACGCGGCAGAACAATATTTGACCGAATGCCGCCAGAGCCAGCCTTACCTATGATCGTGGTAGCCAATACGGCGATGCTGTAGGAACATTAGTCGTCGGATTCATCAGACGAGTCGAGACTCGAGTCGAGTTGTCGAGATAGGAGAGGGGGGCATGGGGGGCCTTGTCCTGCCATGCTGTGTGAAGCAGAGAGTGGGCCGCCCGTACTGCGGACAACCGCGGCTGCAAGGGCAGCCGTCAGATGGCGTCGATCCTGTCTACCTAACCATCTTGCCATTGTGGCCGCAAGAGTGCAATTCGACAGACTGTTCGAAAGCGGCTGGCTCAGGCCAGACGGCAACAGTATTGAGAAGGCATATACCCTTTTGGAGGATTGATCTGCGATGAATGAGGGGTACTGTAAGCCCAGCAAGTAAGGATACCCTTGTGGCAGCTGCAAAATGAACATGCCCATTGCCAACCGACTTCCTCTCCAAAGGCCCCATCTCTCCGTACTAATTGCAGCAAGCGCTATTTGTGGTGTTGCGTTGTCCTGGCAAGTCGTTCGACATGGACGATGCAGAGTCAGAAACCGTAGTTGGCAGCCTTGCGAGTTTTCTGAGGGTTTCTGTTGGACCCCACCAATGACTAAGCAACTATCAAATGGAATTTTGTCCTCTGTTCCACCGTAAATAATTCACGATTGAAGCAAAGTATAACCGCCAAGCATATATCGACGACACTATGGCGGAAAAGAAGAGTCAAGATGCGGCCCAACCATCGTCGGCAGACCTACCTCCAAACATGGCAGAAGTCAAGTCAATGAGCGTGGATGAACTAGTGAAAGAAATGAACCGGATGCCACTGTTCATGACCAGCCTGGACGAGACGGACGGTGAGGGGGGCGAGAACGTGGCCTTGGAGGCGTTGAAAGCGCTGGCCTACGAAGGTACTCGCGCCGAAGTGGCAGAAAACTTCCGTCAGCAAGGCAACGAGTGCGCCAGAGCGAAACAATGGACCAACGCCAAAGAGTTCTATGACAAGGCCATAGCAGCTCTCAAAGGACCTCAGAAAGCATTGGACCCAGACGCTGAAGGACCGGATGTGATTGACGTTGAAGTAAACGAAGCAGAAGAGGCAAAGAAGGAAAAAGCAATTGAAGAGGCATGCTACGTCAACAGAGCTTTGTGCAACCTGGAAAAAAGTGAGTGTGCAAAAATCTTTCTCCTTTGATGAGCCTTTGATCAAAGGCAAGAAATGATCTTCGTTAGATTTTTTACACACCATAGATGAAGCGTAGTGCTGACAACTACAGAAAACTATCGCTCCTGTATCCTAGACTGTGCATCAACACTTCGAATCAACCCAACCAATGTGAAAGCCTTCTACCGTTCTGCGACCGCGTGTCTCGCACTGGACAAGCTCCCAGAAGCAGAATGGGCATGCAATCGCGGTCTAGCCACTGACCCGGCCAATGCGCCGCTCCAGGCGCTCCAGGCCAAAATCACGGCAAGGAAACAATACGTTGCCTCTGTGGAAGCGGGACGCCGAGCACGAGAGGAGAAGGCCGCTTCGGAACGGGCGACTCTGACGCTTGCACTGAAGGCCCGGAACATCATGACGAGGAGCACCGAGACGCCGCCGGATCTAGAAGATGCAGCGATGAAGCTGCAAGACCCCATGGACCCTTCATCCTTGCTCACATTCCCCGTCATCCTGCTCTATCCCACAGATTCGCAGTCGGATTTCGTCAAAGCCTTCTCGGAGAGGGAGAAGCTGGAGGAGCATCTTGACTACATATTTCCCCTGCCATGGGACGAAAAGCACGAGTATACGGTTGAGAATGTGGAGGCTTACATGGAGACGACAGCCGGCGGTTTAATCAAGGTAGGAAAGAAGATGACTCTAGGCAAGGTTCTCGGGAGCGGGAAGACGGAGGTCGTGGACGGATTGGTAAGGATCAGTGTGGTGCCCAAGGACAAAGCCGCAGGGTGGATCGAGGAGTTCAAGAAAAGGAGAGGCAAGACAGCTTAATGCGATGCACATACCCACAGTCACCGAGACTACGAAAAGGATGAAGGATCAGGATGTAGGAACAGGACAAAATCTTTCCCAGCAGATGGTATTGGATGCTTCCTAACTCTGAACACTCACTCTCGAAAAAAAACCTTCCTCCACAGAACACCCCACACGGCAAAACATCCTCCCCCAACCACCACAGCCTCGATGTCAAAGCAACCGTGCATGCAGCGGGAGCCCATCCATATTGCTCACCGCATACCCGCACCGCCCGCCCAAACCTACGATGCAACCCGCATGTACTTAAAACACTTATCCATATATATAACACACCCACCGCACGCGTCCCGAATCCGAGGTACCTACACCCCCAAACCCAGATCCCATCCACTACTTGTATATACCGGCACCTAGTATACCTACGTGTACTGGACTATTGTATATCGATCGCGCCGACACCGTACCCTCCGCCCAACAAAAACAACCCTACCCTCCTCGGAGGCTGAGAACCCCAGTGATGCGCAACACGAAGACGGGGCAAGATTCGGGCGAATTGGGAGGGAGAGCGGGAAAAATGTTGGGAATGTTGGGGGAGGGGGGTGGGGTATAGTGGGAGTTTTATACGTGCGGTACCGGTACGGTAGATGCGCCACTTCGGCGGACAACGCCGCGTGGGAAGATTCCATCCCGTTGTTGTAGGGTTTGGTACAAGTAAAGACAGTAGGTACCGTACTTGAGAGGACGTATTGTACTACAGGTGTATATGTATACTATTGCAGCTAGTGCAAGTTCCTATACCAACATCCCCCCCTCCAGCCAAGCTCCGAAATTACTTAACCGACTCCCTCTCTTTGCTATCCACCTTCCCCAACCGCCCAAGCTTCACCACGGAAAAACCCCCCGACTGCATCGCGCATCTCCAGCACGAGAATTTCAATAATCTGGACATACACATGTCTAGACCGATATGCGTATACAGTGCAGCGGCCTCTGATCCCGAACGAGATTGGGGGCCATGCATATGCATATGCGTGCGTGCGTGCGTGTGCGTGCGTGCATGTGCATGCATGCAGATTCCAGATTCCCGTTCGATGAAAGCCGTGCAACGAACTTGTGGGGTTCCGTTCGCTTAGGTAGATTGTGTCTGGCAGGAGCAGGGTAGCGAGAACGGTGACGTGTATGCGGGAACGGGGTACGAGAAGTGTGATTAGCCGCTTGGGTGGGGACGTGAGAGTGATAGACGGTGTGGGTGTGTTTGTGGTGGTGGTGGTGGTGTTGATGATGATGAAGGGCATTGGGTGTGGATTGGTTTCACGAGTGAGCTTGAAGATTACGTTGTTCAATTTATATGACTTTATTACTGCAGACAGGTATGTTTTGAGCAAGATGATGGAATTGAAAACTTCATGCGTGAACATCTGGGTGTTCGTCTTCTCCATCGAAAACCATGAGATGCAGAGCAACCGCTAACGGGTGCGCCGAGAATCAGGCACTGAGTCCTTCAGGCATGTCTGGGCGCCATGTGTGTAGGTATCATCAAAGAACAAATGATATGGCATGTGATTGGAAAGGTATTAAGTATGAGTACTGGAGACTTCAGAAGACAACAAAACGCAAGGAAAATAGGATCGTGGCAACATAGCCAATCTATAGAAAAGAACACTATCGGTGAGGGCTGGAAACAAAAGCCAGATAGCCAATGGGGTATTAAATATACTGGGATGTGACGTCTGTTCTCATGATCGTCAAAGTCGTGTGTTTGGTGTTCGTTCAAGGTGATTCCTTCTCATACAGCTTCTTCTTCCGGACCATGGACGTCTTGAGGTCATGGAAGACAACAGCGGATATTTTTTCGTAAGGTGTATACCAATCAGAAAAGCTAGTGACCTCGTCGACCTTGATCTGCTCGAGGTAGCCGAGAAATTTGACGTCAGATTTGTAGACATGGCGTCTGCCACAGAACTGCAGCTTGATCTTACGCAATTTGGCCTCGCGAAGAATACGCAGACAATGTAAGAGGAACTCGTCGTTTAGATAGCGTCGCGCCTCGTTCGACCACAAGTACGTTGTGTGTCGTGGGGCGGCATCGTCAAATGCGATCTTGATATCTCGCAGGTACTGAAGGTTCTCTGGTCCGATCATACGAAGAAATTGCAGCATGTCTTGATAGCCCACTTCTTTGAGCACCGGCTCCCAGAACGGGCTGCGGACAGAATGGTTGCGGGCAAAGTAGAATGTGTTCTCGCCGTACAAAACTGAGCATCCTTCTTGATGGACGAGCCGACAGGTTCGTAGGAATTGCGCTGACTGGCAGAGATTCCCGCCAACCTTTGTGATGGGCACCGTGAGATCCAATCCTTTACGGACGAAAACATAATGGTAAATGGTATTTCGTATTTCTGGCGGCAGATCCTCAAAGCCTTTCCGAGCTTCTCTGCTGGAGCTTCGTGCCGAAGGCACCGTGTCGGTACGTGCCCTCTTTGTTCGCCCTTGCCGCATCTCATAAGGCTCAGCTTGCTCCCCAGCATGGAGCATGGAGCCGACAAGCTTTACAGTAAGTGGGCCATGGTAGCCAAGTGGCACATTGAACTGCAAGGTCGTTGGCGCAATTTTGGGGGTGTGGCGATGGAATGCACCACCAGTCTCATCGTCGGTAAGGTCCCCCACCTCCTGGTTGTAGATGATGGGCTCAAGATAGGGCGAGGCCGGTGAAGGACTGCGCTTGCGTTTGGATTTTGCTCTTGCTTTGGCTTTGGCGGATCGACTTGGTGGTCCCATAATGTCATCGTCTCCGTCGTCCTCTTCGTCCTCTTCGGAGCTCAAGGGTATGGAATCATCCTCTTCAATGACTTTTGAATCTACGTAGCCTGCGGCTTTCATGGCTTTGCCTGCACTCTTACGTATCGGGCGACCGGTAGACTTGTTGAACTGGGGTAGTTTTGAAGGGCTAACAAGCTCTGGGCTACTGTTGAGAATGGGGGTTGCAGTTGGACCGAGGGGCGTGGTTTTGGGTTTGCGAGCCATGGTGGAGGTCGAGGTCACGCGTTCAGGTGTAGCAAGTAGGCGTAGGCATAGGCGTAGGCGTAGGCAGGTGGCGGTGTGTGGTTGGTGAGGGAGCTGTTGATGGATCGCAGTCGGTGTGAAGTGTGGGGATGGAGGGTAGATATAGAAGCAACGGCGTGGTGGCTTGCTTACCTAGTGAGAAGGCATGACCGGCGATAGCGCGCTCACAGAAGCGCGTTAAAAAAAAAGTAGTGGAAGTCATGGCCCACAACGCGTGCCTTCTACATACGACGAAACGTTGTGTGTTGAGGTTTAAGCGTAGCCTTGGCGCATACGATACAGAAGGAACCACCCGTAGACCGTCTGTGAAGGAGAAAGCTTATGTTGTGGCAAAGGGAAGAGGAAAGCAAAAGGACACGTTCATCCTGGGTGCTAGTAAGCCAACAACCGTGTGTATCAGACAGTGATAGTGTGTTGAAGTGAAGAAGTGAAAAGCCTGTGATTTATTATTGAGAGACTACCTACGAGCCCTACACATTCATAGGAGAGACAGACACAGACCTGTTGCACACGTCCACCCACTCCCACACGCAATCACCACCACACATGATCATCATCATCATCATCAACATCAACAACATCAACAACATCAACAACATCAACAACATCAAGTGGGATGTGGATGCTTGCCAAAGAATGTGGCTTGTCCTGACCATGACAGTCCATCCAGGAAACTGTCGAATCCGTCCCAACATCATCCCATTGTCATCCATCGAGCAAATCAGCGACGATACAAGATACAACATATGCCAATCATGTAGACTTTTCGTCTTCTATGGGTGGTGAGGTGCCCGAAGCGTGTCAGCAGCTCCCACGTCGACCAGCTTGCGCGGGCCAAGTGAGGATACGACTGAGTACAGAAGCGTTGAATCATCTTGGTTTTAGTTGTGAAGAGAAAAACAACAGACGAAGTCGCGACGTCGGAAGCGAGGATATATTGGCCGTCGGAAAAACTGCCGCCCCGGCCTACCAGCCTTGCGCCGGGGAGTAAGACCCCAACAGACGCCGTCATTAAGCGGGCCCATCACTGGGGTTGCCTCTTTGAGACTACAGGTCCGGCTACGGTATCGCAACAGCTCTCACAGCTGGTTTAAAGAGAAGAGTCACAGCACGTCCTTTGCTACTTCTGCTTTCTTTTGGTGAAAGCACATTCATCATAAGATGGCGACGACTCTCCGAGCCTGTAGAGCGCCATTGCGCCAGTTCATCGCCCGTCCCACTGCTTCTCTGGCCACAAACCGCCCCAGATTAAGGCGGGGCTATGCGACAACCGTGGAGGCACAGCAAAAGGTAGCCCTGCAACTGCGTGTGTTTGGGTAACTGGCAATTGTGCTAACAAATCACGTCAGGTGCTGTCACAAGACCTCGAGCAAGCTGATCCCACAGTATTCGAGATTATCAACAAGGTTCGTGGCCTCCCCATGGAAGGCCAGCTTTACTCAGAGAACACTGCTGATATAGCTTTCTACTGTAGGAGAAGAACCGCCAGAAGCATTTTATCAACCTGATTCCATCGGAGAACTTCACGTCACAGGCCGTGCTCGATGCCCTGGGCAGTGTTATGCAGAGTAGGTTGACTATCACAGTCACGTCTCGCCACGCGGCTCACACGGTGCTATAGACAAGTACTCGGAAGGCTACCCTGGCGCAAGATACTACGGTGGTAACGAGCACATCGACGAGGCTGAGCGGTTATGCCAGGAAAGAGCGCTCAAAGCTTTTGGCCTGAGCCCGGCTGAGTGGGGCGTCAACGTACAGCGTGAGTCAAGAGTGCACGATTGGAAGTGCTGATCTAATGACAATTAAACAGCTCTCTCTGGCTCTCCCGCAAATCTCTACGCCTACTCCGCCGTTCTCAACACCCATGACCGCATCCTCAGTCTCGATCTCCCACATGGCGGCCACTTGTCGCATGGCTACCAGACACCAACCAAGAAAATCTCTGCCGTTTCAAAATACTACGAAACCCTCCCATACAGGCTCAACGAGAAGACTGGCATTATCGATTACGACAAGATGGCGGACCTGGCACACCTGTACAGGCCCAAGGTCATTGTGGCGGGCACATCTGCATACAGCCGACTGATCGAGTACGAGCGCATGCGCAAGGTGGCCGATGAGGTTGGCGCATACCTTCTCTCTGATATGGCTCATATCTCGGGTCTTGTCGCTGCTGGCGTCATCCCATCGCCGTTCCCCCACTCTGACATCGTCACCACCACTACCCACAAATCATTGCGCGGCCCCCGCGGCGCTATGATCTTCTACCGCAAGGGCGTGCGGAAGGTGGATAAGAAGGGAAACGAAGAGATGTACGACCTGGAGGGACCGATTAATGCGTCCGTGTTCCCAGGTCACCAGGGAGGACCTCACAATCACACCATCACTGCCTTGGCGGTTGCGCTTCAACAAGCACAAAGCAAAGAATTCAAGGACTACCAGCAGCAGGTCCTCGAGAATGCAAAGGCGCTCGCCCAACGACTAGGCGACTCCAAGGAGAACGGCGGTCTGGGATACAACATAGTCAGTGGAGGCACAGATAATCACTTGGTCCTTGTCGACCTCAAGGACCGAGGGGTAGACGGTGCACGTGTCGAGCGCGTCCTTGAGCTCGTTGGTGTAGCCTCGAATAAGAACACTGTTCCTGGGGACAAATCAGCCATGAAGCCAGGCGGTCTACGCATCGGAACCCCCGCCATGACCACACGCGGCTTTCAAGCTGAGGACTTCAAGCGCGTCGCTGACGTAGTGCACCGCGCCGTGGGCATCACGCAGAAGCTCGACAAGGAAGCCAAGAAGAAAGCAGAAGAGAGCGGTCGCAAAGCACCCGCCAGCGTCGCAGCATTCAAGGAGTACGTCGGTGAAGGCCAAGACATCACCGACATCGTACAGCTACGGAAGGAGGTCGAGGACTGGGTATCCACCTTTGCTCTGCCCTGGGACAAGGCACAATAGTATGGACATGATGACGAGACAATGCATTTCCCGACATGAGCGCGTTTTGGCGTTTGTCCTGTATATACACAAAAATATGGACTGTCCTTTGGCCACGTTGGGTGCCAGACGTGATTGGATTCACCTTCACCATTTCCGTCTGTGGTCTTCACCGCAACTGATACCTAGCTATTGTGCACATGATGGTATTGTCGCCAGAACTCCCCTCACAGTATATACATAAGCAGTCTTCTCTCTTCTCGTTTCTTGTCACTCAAGACGTCCTCTCTTATCTTCCTATCCACACTCCTTTTCGACAATCCTTTCGTTTCTATCCTTTATATTCACACCCATCTCTACCCACCACACCATAACTACCAGCGCCACCCGCATCAACACACACAATCCCATACCACCCATCCAAACCAACCGCAACTCCTGCAAAACAAAGGGCATTCTCACAATGCTCCCCGCCCTTGTCCTCCTAAGCTTTCTCCTCCTCCTCGTCTCAGTGCAGGGCACGAGTACCGGGTCAAGCATCACAGAGAGCATGCATGCGGGCTGGCATGTCACAACCGATATCAACGAGACCGGTATTCTCAGCACCCCCACCACTACCACTACCACCATGAGCGTCACCAGCACCAGCCCCAGCATCAGCCCCAGCACCACCCCACCCCCCACGCCCCCAACAGACCCCCAGATAAACCCCACCTTCTACAATCCCTCGGCAATCACGACACTCCTTTGCTATGACGTCTTCCTCGCTCTTGCGTTTCTTTGGTGCTGGGCTTGTGGCTGTTTTTGGTGGATGGGGTGGGGGGCGAGGAGGGGGTGGGAGGTGTATATCGTTAAGTGTGGTGCGTGCAATTGATTCATGCGCTCTACAGAGGCAAGACTCCATCACCCAAAGAAGTAAACAGTGCTAATTTTATTCTTTTATAGTGTTAGATTAGTTTTTAATTTTAAATTTAACACTGAAATGTTTGATAAATAAACAAAGAAATCTAAAAATTTAACGTCTGTAGGTAACCCAAATTTTATCTCAATATTTTTAATAATATTTGAATTTGTTATATGTATTAAATTTCTTTTTTTTTTTTTAGTTT